TAAAGGTAATTCATGAATATTAGGGAGCATTTGAAAATTTTTAGATTTATTTTGAATTTAATTGTGATTTCTAATGGGACTCTAATATTAGATGGTCGGTGATATGAATCAAGGATAGAATGATGGATGAAATAGTGGAAGGATTTTTTAGTCTTGGATGTAAAGATCTTCTACCATGCATAAAAATTTATAAATTTGAAGACAAAGTTTAATAAATATTACCCTCCTTACGTATGATCTAGTCTTTGCCTTGCTATTCTTAGTTCTTTTCTTTTTTTTATCTACAAGAAGAAAATAGAAATAAGAATTAAATTATTTTTGTGTACTATAAGAGAAAAATTAAAAAATACAAAATATTATGTAATACATCCTTGACAATATTGCCAAAATTTGATGTGACCTAATCATGGTATAATAAATTATATAATTTTAAAAATTATAAAATTAGAAAAATACTATTTTTTATTTTTAAAAAAATATGTCATCACAAATAAATCAATTATAATTCTCTAAAATGTTTCAAAAATAGTAAGAAATTTCTAGATCAATTATAGGGATGTAAGATAATATATGGCAAGATTTAAGAATATTTTTTTATATAATTTATAGACTAAACGATGAAGATAATAATATATTTAAAAATTTACGAAAAAAATTGGGTGTGGATGTCAAGGTGACGTCAATGCCTTGGTGAACACAATATGTAATGAATGAGGAGTCCGTTTCGGAATCGTCTGCCCTGCACTGACCCCCTGAGTATATAATTCAACAAGAATCACACAAGGGTAGATTCATAGAAACCTATGGTAAAATGCCCCCCTATAAACCAGCAAATAAAGTACATTATATAGTCTATTTTAAGCAAAAATAGAGTTCTACTTGATGATTCTTATATAAACAGTTACGGTGATTTAATCGATCAAATTAAAATTTGTAAAAGCTAGAAGAATTTTAATTGAATGAAGAAGATTTTTAAAACTTAAAATCACACAAAATATCATTAAATTAAGCAAAAAATAAGTTTAAAGTAAGAAAGATAAAGTTTCGACTTTGCGGTGGCGATCACTAGAATTTTGTATGTTGAGAGAATTATTGTTCAATGTCCATGACCTCAAGAGCTTTTTTTAAATATGTACGATGTAGATAATCTCTATATCTTTTTGAGAAGTCTAAAAATTAATAAAATAGGTTGATGAATTGTCTTTAGTAGTTGTCACCTAATAGAGCAGAAATACAAGGAATTTTTAATCTTCAATGACTATCACCTGATGGAGATAAGTTAGATGGAGGTGGGGCATGTCTTCAGATTCGCGTGGCAAAATAAGGCTTTTCATTGCATTTAATATGCTCTCAAGAGGTGGCGACTTGTTTTCCAGTAAATTATCTTCTTCTTGATGATGACTCGTTTGTCAATCAATCAAAGATGATTTACTCAATGAATTTGTGATCTTTTTATCTAAAATCATTCGACAATTAGTAATTATGGTCTGCAAATTACGTTAATGATATTTTATTGATGATTGAGTGATTTTGGTAGCTTAATCGTTGACTAGTGCTCTACAAAAAAATCATTATTTAATCAGATAAAAACATATATTTTGGCTTTAGTGAGATTTGAACACTCATCAGTTGTTTGCCTATATGAAAGAGAGTTAAATAAGTATGGAATACTCTTGTTAAGTGTCATTATAAGGGTGTCTCTTTCTTATCATTTAGGGGTATTTTAGGTATAGAAATATTGAAAACAAATGACAACGAGTGGTGACCTAGATTTTATGTAACATAGGCTATTTTCTAAGTTTTAAGATAAATATATAGTAATACCTCTTCCTATCTTTAATGTAGTCCTCTCACGTGCGTAAGGGGAGTGATGCACATGTGCCCCCAACTGGTCCTTAGTAGCCTGAGCCCCTTGCTCATGGCTCCTCTCAACTGTACTTTTGGTTTGCTTGTGGGTTCGGCTGGCCAATAGGTCCCCCAACTGTGCTTTCGATCCACTTGTGGGCTAGCTGTTTGATGGGGTCCCTTCTTTTTATATATATTTTATTTTATTTCTCTTTATTTTATCTCAAAAATATAATTATAAAAATTATATAAAATCACATAATTAGTCAAAAAATTACATTAAGTAACTAAATTTTTATCAACTTAATATAAATATACGTCTATTTATCATGAGTTAAAGCTTAAAATATATTATTAATTAATTATTAACTCATGATAATGAAGACTTATCAAAGGGAGTATAATGGATTGGGCAATTCTAAAACTTGATGTGGGCCTAGTTTTATGGCTTTGGGCCTTGACGCCCATAAGAATAATAAGAATAACTTAATAACTATCATAGTTTGTCACCTCAATCCCACCTTTTATTCTAGCCCAATACGCCCTAAAATATTTGTGCTTACCTTCACATTTAAGGCTTGAGCATTTCAGAGAAATATCGGGCCCATCTAGGATCTAGCTACTAAGGACATGAGGTGAAGGATTCTTGTCACTTTTACAATTTTGAGACCTCAAATCTGCCAAATTTATTGACATGTGGTATCCATCTATCTCCCCTCTCACTCTCTCTCTAACACTGTGAGGGATTCCATTTAGAGCCCCATTTATGAGATTGGTTATATGTATTGACCATTCATGTTTTGCTGCAGCTGTCATTAGCCACCAGCTATCACCTTTGAGGCAGTGGTGAGTTTCCATACCTGTTGTGCACTGATAAGTCTTCATTATCATGAGTTAATAATTAATAAATAATGCAGTTCTAGCCTTAACTCATGATAAATAGACTTATATTTATGTTAAATTATGAAAAGTGATTTTCAGTTGATTAATGTGATTTTTTGGCTTATTATGTGATTTTATGTGATTTGATATAATTTTTATAATCCTATTTTTAAGATAAATAAAGAAAAAAATGAAAATAAAAAAAAGAAAAAGGGGGCGACCCCTCGGCCAGCTAGTCCCACAAGTAGGTTGGAAAGTAGTCGGAGCCACGAGTAGGGGCTCAAGCGGCTATAGACTGATGGGGGCACGTGTGTGTCACTCCCCTTCCACGTCACTAGTTGCTAGCTAGGCGTCGGGCAAGAGTGGTCATACACAAGTGAAAAAGGGACTCATTGATTCCTAAATCTCGCATTACTATATATGCGTCTCAACATTCGGCGTATAACCAATGTGGGACTAGATCGACGGTCATACTTTCCTTAGAATATTTTGATAATTTTAATATCAAAAACCCCTTATTTATAACAATGAAATACTATAATGATGTCACTATATAAGGGTATTCGACTACTTATTCACTCTCTCTCATGTAGGCAGACGACTGGTGTGGGTTCAAATATTACAAGAGCTAAATTCATATTTTTATTTGATTAAAATCGTGATTTTCCTACAGATCATTGGTGAAGGATTATGTCGCCAGAATCACTCGATTATCGATGAAAATCACGTCAACGCAATTCACGGAGCATTATTACTAAAATTATGGATATCCACTATTTTTTTCTAGACTTTGAAAGGAGATCCAACGAATGCCCAAGTCATCCATGTGTAAAGAGAGCTTTTGAGGCCATGAATATCGTTCAATGATCATTCCAAACAGACAAAATTCTGACGATTGCTGTCGTGAGGCTGGAACTCTACCTTTTCTACTTTCAACTTAATTTTCACTTTATTTAGTGATAATTTGTGTGAATTAAAATTTTCAACCTACTCTTCATTCAATTACGATTCTTCTAGGTTTCACAGGTCTTAATTTGATCAATTAAATCATCTATAATCACTTATGTAAGAGTCATCGTGCAGAACTCTATTTTCGCCTGATTCGTATTCATCAAGTGCTGATGTCATTTTGATGTCTGCACCATTATTTTCTTTTTTCACAAATTTTAAATATATTTCACTTTCATTTCTTAATCTTAAATTCATAAAAAATCAAATTTTTTGGGACAAATTCTGAAATATTACTTGATATTATATTATATCTTTCTAATTGATCTTGAAAATTTTCACTAGTTTTAGAACTTTTATTGAATTATAGTTATAAATATCCCAAAATTAGTATTTTCTATTTTTATAAATTTTAAATTTACATGATTTATTATCCAATGACTAAGTCACATCAAATTTTGATGCCATTGCCAGAGATGTATTACATAATATTTGGTATTTTTTGTTTTTCTTTTAGAGTACATAATTTTTTTTAGCTCTTATCTTTATTTTTGTAGTAGAAAAAAATAGAAAAAAAGACAGAACAAAGATCAGCAAGGACTGGAGAAGACTGAAGGAGGGTAATAGTTATTAAAAATTTTCTTCAAATTTATTGATTTTTATGCATAGTAGAAAATACTTACACCCAAGGTTAGAAAATTCTTACACTATCTTGTCTAAAACAAAAAATTCGAAAGAAAAATCAATTTTGATGGATCTTGAAGGTAATATAGGTCAAACTGAGAATAATCACATGGGAATAAAAAATTATTATATCCCTGATTCATATCAATGAGCATCCAATATTAGAGTCTGGCGTGACTTAGTCGTTGTATATTAAATCACGCAAATCTAAAATTTATAAAACTAGAAAATATAAATTTTCGGATATTTAGAAGTATTTTTGAACAAATATATCAATTATAATTCAATAAATCTTCCAAAAATAGTGGTAATTTTCAATATTGATCACAAGGATGTAATATAATATCTGGTAATTATTCAGAATTTTCCTCAAAGAATACTATTTTATATAAATTTTATACTAAGAAATAAAAAGGAAATATATTTAAAATTCACAAAAAAAGGAAATAAGGGTGCGGACGTCAAGATGACGTCATCACCCGGCGAACGCGAATTGCGGGGAAACAGAGTTCCGCCCGACGATTATTACGTAAGCGATTACAGACGATTTAATTGATCAAATTAAGATCTGTAAAAGCCGGAAGAATCGTAAGTGAACGAAGTATATTTTGGTAAATTAAAATCACACAAATTATCACTAAATGAAGCGTAAAGTAAGTTGAAAGCAGGAAAACAAAATTCTGGCATCGCGATGGCGATGCGTCGGCGATGCACCGGAATCCTGAGCGTTCGGGAGGATCGTCGTGCAGTGTCCACGGCCTCGAAGGCTCTCCTTAGACAAAGACGACGTGGGCAATCTCTAGATCTCCTTGCAAAGTCTAGAGATCAATGAAATGGGTCGTTGACTCGTCTCTGACGGCTATCACCCGGCAGAGCAGAAAAACGGCAACTTTGCGGCTCTCTGGCGGCTGTCACCTGACAGAGAGGAGCTGGATGGAGGTGGGACGCGTGTCAGGGAGCTTCATCCTTAGGTCCGCACAGCACGAGGAGGCTCTTCATCGCATCTGGTACGCTCTTAGGAGGTGGCGACTCGTCTCCCGGCGGATCGTCTTCTTCCCGACGACGGCTTGTTCATCGATCAATCGGAGATGATTTACTCGATGGATTCACGATCCTTTTATCGCGAATCCTTCAGTAATTTGAGTAACAATGCTCCGTGAATCGTGTTGACGAGATTTTTGCCGATGATCCAACGATTCTGGTTGCTTAATCCTTCACTGGCGATCTATAGGAAAGTCGCGATAATCAGATAAAAATATGAGTTTTGGCTCTAGGAGGATTCGAACCCGTGCCGGTTGCCCCCGCCTCTTCTGAGGAAGGTGACGGGTTTAGTCCCACATTGGTTGTGCGCCGAATTTTCGGGCGAATATATAGTAATGTTATATTTCTAAGTAAAGTCCCTTTCTCACGCATGTACGACCACTCCTTGGCCCACAGCTGGCTGGCCACCGGTGACGTGGAAGGGGAGTGGCGCACACGTGCCCCCATCGGTTCAAGCCGCTCGAGCCCCTGCTCGCGGCTACTCCCCGACTGCGCTTTTGACCCACTTGCGGGCCCGGCTGGCCGGCGGGTCCCCCTATTTTGTAATATTTTTATTTTTATTTCTTGTTCTTCATTTATCTCAAAAGTAAGACTGTAAAAATCATAGAAAATCACATAATTACCCAAAAATTCACGTTAATCAATTGAAAACCACTTTTCACACTTTAACACAAATATAAGTTTATTTATCATGAGTTAAGGCTAAAACTATATTATTTACTAATTATTAACTCATGATAATGAAGATTTATCACACCCTCCAACTTAAATCATTGCTAGTCCCTTAGCAATGGAATTTACGAAAATAAAAATTTACAAATCTCAAACATCATATTTCAATACATAAAAAAAAATACAATTAGAAATGATGCACCTTTAGACACTTTGGACTCTTATATCAAGTATTTAAGAATAATGTCAAGCACTTAAATGTTTAAGCACTCCTTGGAATAACAATCTAGACTTCACTTCTTCTATTCACATCTTTATAACTTCTTCACTTATAGATATATTTACAAGATGTTCCAATTATCAATAATCATCCAAGAATAATATTGATCCTACATTTCCCTTTTTCCATGGCTTGATTTTTGAAGTGTGCACTATATTTCTTTATTCTCTCTTTTTTTTTAATATATATATATATATAGTGGATAAGTAACTTTTCCTGTAGACAAATTTCGACAATAAGAATGATGTCTCACACCCTCCATGTGTACTCTTCATTTTCAAGGCTTTCACTTTATCCACTTATTTTGCAGCAAGTGTTCTTCTATACACGATCTTCGACAATGAGAATGATGTCTCACACCCTCCATGTGTACTCTTTATTTCTAGATTTTTCACATTGCTCTCTTTTTTTTTTCGAAATAAGTGATTTCTCCTCACAAGTCCTATAGATCAAGGTGCAAAAATCTCCATTAAACTCAAATGATCAATCAAATTTTCACATCAAGTAAATACTATCCATCAAGGTCATGAAGTGAGAATCTGTAAAATCAAATCCATGTTATCTATCATGTATCCAAGGAGTATGCCAACATTTCACGCTATTAGATCATTCTTTTGACTCAATAATAATCTTCCTAGTGTCTTTTGGTATCAATCAATCTAATTGATTTAATTTTTCATGCATGCAATATGATGTAAGAAATTTGTAAATTAGATAGTTCTGACAATTCTGTTTTCTGTTTTCAGTTCTATTTTTAGCAACAATAAATTTGTCAAAAATAAATCAAAACTATCCTCTTTATAGCTGTAATTTCGAATTTCAGTAATATATGTCTAGGGGATTGAAATGTGAGAAAAGGGTCTCTAGAATTTCAAATTTCGGGCTATTTTTTGTCTGTTATTTTTGACAGTCTGTTGTTCCTGACAGAAAACCAGAAAATAGATGTTGCAGTTTTTTTCAGTTGTTGTTCTAAGCTAAACACATGTTCTTAATCATCCTATAGCATAAATTAATAATGAATACTTCACCCCCCAACTTAAAAATGACATTGTCCTCAATGACACAGAAAAATCGAAATAGAATATGCAGAAAATATAATTTTCAAGTGAAGCATGCATATATGCAAAGTTTAGCATTAAAAATGTTGTCATAAATGATAAAGCTCCGAAAGACATCACCTCAACCTCGATTTTAATTTTCCACTTCATCTTACACTCCTCCTCCTGCACTTTTTCAAAAAAACAAATACAGAAACAAGTACTGCAAAATTCTAAGAAAAACAGAGTTTAAAAAAAAAAATCAAACAGAATGAAATAAAAACCATGGGTTGCCTCCCATGCAGCGCTGAATTTAATGTCTTCAGCTGGACAGCTCTTAGATCATATAAGATGATCTATGGCCATCAAAATATATTTGTATCCCAAGGTAAGTTTCATGATATTCTTTTTCAAATTTAGCATAAATTCATGTACTTCATATATATACCTTGACATACTTTCAGCCAAAACAAGATGGAAATTAACAAAATTTTCCCAAAAATAATATTTCTATTTTGAAAAGAATCTTTCCTCATTTCTATCTTATTTTGTAAGGCTCTCATTCATTAATAAATACTTTCTATTAATAGACCATAAAATGTGATCAGGCCATATAATTTTCAAATTAGCTCTTACCCAATCTAAATTCTTTTCATCTAAATTGATATCTCTAATTCTTCCACTCACCCATTTCTTAATGTCTTCTTTTATCTGCATAATCTTCCCCTGCTCTATTTTATCTTCCATACATATTTGTTCAATTTGTGAGAAGTGAAATATTTTAAGCTTAGAAATAATTCTAATGGGCTGTGGGTTTTGAAGGATGGAAGGATTGTCTTCTTTAATCTCAGATCTAATGAATTCAGTAAAATTCAAATTTTCTCCTCGAAAATTATCTCTATATTCATATCCATTATTTTCGTTTCTCCCCATTAGTTGAATCAACTCTTTTTCTAGTTTTTCATTTCTCAACTCATCAAATTCTTCATCTTCCCAAAAGCTATCTTTTAATTTCGGTATATGATATACATCATCCTCCTCACTATCAACATCCATGGCTGCAAAATTATGATTAGATTTATTAATTTCGTCTCCTACATCAACTGATTTTTCCTCACCTGAAATATGTTTTTCTTCATTTCTATCCATACTCCCTTCTACTAAAATTTGGATGATTTTTCCATGATCAGCTGTTGTTTCTTCATCTAAGGGCTCTTTCTCCTCATCATCCTCACTATATTCATTCATCATTTGTGAGCAATAAATGATTTTATTCAAATTTTCTGCTACTATATTTTCGGCCTTAATATTATCATTTACTTCTAATGGATCATCAATTTCTTCTTCTAATAATTGGAAATAAGGATTAGGTAAAATATTCTCACTCAATTTTCATTTCGTAGGTTTTTTTCTAAATTTATCCAGCTAGACTCTCTTTGCTGAAATCCTACTGTTGGATAGTTTCCTGAATTTTCTATGGGCGGACTAGGTGGCTGTCCCTCTTCTCTCTTATTCCCAAGAGCCTCTATAATTTGTTTCTGGTGCAGCATCATTTGATTCATAGTTTGTTGCATCATTTGGCTCATAGTTTGTTGCATCATTTGGCTCATTTGCTGCATCATTTCCATAGTATCATGTTGGGTTTGAGATGGCTGATTTTTCTGAAATCTGTTTTCTTATTTTGGACGAAATTCAGAGTTTGAATTGGATCTAAGTGCTTCTGGATTTTGAATATTATTTGGGTTTCTCCACGAAAAATTATTCCCCAAATTAGGATTATAAGAATTAGAAAAATATTCCCTATTTTTACTAAAATCGTGGGGTACCTGCACTTGTTCTTGCCTAGGATGATATTGAAATTCGAAATGATCATTTTCACCATACATAGGATCTGTACTATTTGAATTAAATTGAGGGTTAAGAGTCTTTCTAATATTGTCAATAAGAAAATCAAGTTTTTTTAATCTTTAATTAATCTGATTAACCTCATTTCTAAATTTAGATTCATTATCATGATGCAATTCATGAATTCCATAAAAGCTCCTCCACATATAGAATCAACCATATTTCTATGTTGTTCTAATAATCCATCATAAAAAATTATATTGAGCTGCCACTTGGGTATAGCATGCTGAGGACATTTTCTAAGTAAATCTTTGAATGTTTCCCATGTCTCATGTAAAGTTTCTCCTGGTCTTTGAGAAAAATTCCATATATGTTTTCTCATATTTTGAATTTTTCCTAAGGGATAAAATTTTCGAAGAAATGCCTGTTCTATGTCTTTCCAGCTAGTTAATTCTCTATCTAATGTGGATAGCCAATGGCTAGCTTTGTCCCTAAGTGTATGAGGGAATAATTTCATCTTAATAATTTCCGGTGTAACTTGAGGGAGATTAACTAAATCACAGACCATATGAAATTTTTCTAAGTGCTGATGAGGTTCCTCTAAAGGCAATCCATGAAAATTAGGGAGCATTTGAAAAATTCTTGGATTTATTTCGAATTTAACATTGGGTGCTAATGGGACTCTAATATTAGATGCTCTTTGAAATGAATCAGGGATATAATAATTTTTCATGGCCATAAGATTTTTCTCAGTTTGACCTGTACTTTCTTCAAGATCTATCAAAATTAATTTTTCTTTCAGATTTTTAGTTTTGAATGAAATAATGAAAGGATTTTCTAGCCTTGGATGCAAGGATCTTCTACCATGCATAAAAATCAATAAATTCGAGGGAAAAATTTAGTAATTGTTACCCTCCTTCAGGATGCTCCAGTCCTTGCCTTGCTTCTTTTCGTTCCCTAAAAAAAAAAATCAGCAAAAAGAAAATAAAACAAGAGTTAAATTTTTTTTTTGTGTACTCTAAGAGAAAAACAGAAAAATACTAAATATTATGCAATACATCCCCAGCAACGGCGCCAAAATTTGACGTGACTCAGTCGTTGTATATTAAATCACGCAAATATAAAGTTTATAAAACTAGAAAATACGAATTTTCGGATATTTAGAAGTATTTCTAAATAAATATATCAATTATAATTCAATAAAAGTTCCAAAAATAGTGGTAATTTTCCAGGTCGATCACAAGGATGTAATATAATATCTGGTAATTATTCAGAATTTTTCTCAATGAATACGATTTTCTATGAATTTTATACTAGGAAATAAAAAGGAAATATATTTAGAATCTCAGGAGGTGGCGACTCGTCTCCCGGCGGATCGTCCTCTTCCCGACGACGGCTTGTTCGTCGATCAATCGGAGATGATTTACTCGATGGATTCGCGATCCTTTTATCGCGAATCGTTCAGCAATTTTAGTAGCAATGCTCCGCAAATCGCGTTGACGAGATTTTCGCCGATGATCCAGCGATTCTAGTTGCTTAATCCTTCACCGGCGATCTGCAGGAAAGTCGCGATAATCAGATAAAAATATATGAATTTTGACTCTAGCAGGATTCGAACCCGCGCCGGTTGTCCGCCCCCCCTTTTGAGGAAGGTGTGACGCAGGTTTAGTCCCACATCGGTTGTGCGCTGATTTTTCAGGCGAATATATAGTAATGTTAGCTTTTCAGGCAAAGTCCCTTCTCTCGCGTGTACGACCACTCCTTGCCCCACAGCCGGCTGGCCACCGGTGACGTGGAAGGGGAGTGGCGCACACGTGCCCCTATCGGTCCAAGCTAAGCCGCTCGAGCCCCTGCTTGCAGCTACTCCCGACTGCGCTTCCGACCCGCTTGCGGGCCCGGCTGGCCGGCGGGTCCCCCCATATTTTGCAATATTTTAGTTTTATTTCTTTTTCTTCATTTATCTCAAAAGTAAGACTGTAAAAATCATCTAAATTTGTATAAAATCACATAATTACCCAAAAATTCACATTAATCAACTAAAAATAACTTTTCACACTTTAATACAAATATAAGTCTATTTATCATGAGTTAAGGCTAAAACTGTATTATTTATTATTTATTAACTCATGATAATGAAGACTTATCAAATACTAATTTTCTCACAGGTATTACAAAAATTTCATATGGGGAACAATCAGTAGAAATTACAAATTTTGAAGAATTAAATGATCTTAAGAAATGACAAATATATAATTTCCATACTATAGATCTTTTTGATGATTTAGATGTTATTAATGAATGTGCGCTGGAAAAATTAGAAGAAATAAAGAATATAAATTTGTGAGAAAAGAAAGAAGGAAGATCATTCAAATTTAGAATTGAAATCTCTTCCCTCTTATTTAAAATATATTTTTTTGGAGGAAAATAATTTATTTCTTGTTGTTGTTCTAGCTGATTTGAGTGATAAATAGGAAGAAGAATTATTTTATTTACTTCAAAAAAATAAGAAGGTTATTAATTGAAAAATTAATGATTTGAAAGGCATTGATATGAGTGTATGCATGCATAATATATATTTAGAAGAAGGGGCTAGTACTAGTACGGAACCACAATGAAGGTTAAATCCTAATGTTAAAACTAGCTTTTTCTGTTTTAATTAGTTTTATTATTTTATTTTGTGAAATCAATGAGATTAAAGGCTAATTAATGAGCGTTGAACTGTTAAAACAAGGTGAAGACATTCACAGTTGACCTCATGTCATGTATGTGAATTCTCAAGCACACATTCATTCAAGAATAATGGTCACCGTGAAAACGGGTTGACCGTATTTCTCTCATTCTTTAATATCGTCAAGATTCTCTCCATCTCTCTTCTCTCTCCTTTCCTCTTTCCTTTCTCTTCTTCCCTTCTGTTATTCTTCTCACCAAAACCTTTTCTTTTATTATTTCTATTAAATAGTGATAAAATATTAAACTTACTTTATATGTAAACTAAATTAGTTTTTATGATAGATTAATCAATGTTCTTATGTTTGACCTAAGACTTACTTCCATACTAATATTTTATTAAGTCTTAGTTATAAATATTATTAGATAATGGGCCTTTATATTAAGAAAAAGTGACTTTCATTTGTCCATTTGGTAATTTTACTTTTAAATGCATGCCTTTTAGGTTGTGTAATGCTCCAACCACATTTCAAAGATGTATGCTATCTATTTTTTCTAATATGACTAGAAAATATATGAAAAATTTTATAGACTATTTTTCTATTTTTGGTGAATCATTTGATGAATGCTTAGATCATTTATAATATGTACTTGAGAACTGTATAAAGAAAAAAATAATTTTAAGTTAAGGAAATCACATTTCATGATTAGATAAGGAGTTGTGTTGGGACATATTGTGAGTGAAAGGGGTTTATAGGTGAATAAAGTAAAATATAATATTCTATATAATATGCAACCTCCAAATTCACAAAAACAGATTCTATCTTTCTTGAGTCATGCAGGTTATTATAAAAAATTTATTCAAAAAACTTTAAAAATTAATAAACCTCTTACCATGTTATTATCTAAAGATGTGCCTTTTAATTTTGATAATAAATATTTTGAGTCTTGTTTTGAAATTAAAAGATACTACTAAAGCATCAATTTTACAAGCTTCTGATTTGTCTCTTCTATTTGAAATAATGTGTAATGCTTTGAATTATGCAGTGGGAGTTATGCTACGACAGAGAAAGAGTCAAAACCCATAATAATTTCATATGCTAGCAAAATTATATCTAATACTCAGTTAAATTATACCACAATTCAAAAAGACTTGCTAGCAATAGTATTTTCTTTAGAGAAGTTTAAATTATATATTTTATGAGCTAAAATTATTATTTATATTGATCATGCAGCATTAAAATATTAATGAAATAAAAAAAAGCAAAACTGCATTTCTCATATGATAGATTTTATTACTATAGTAATTTGACTTAGAAATAAAGGATAAAAAAGGTTTCAAAAATATTATTGTTGACCATCATTCTAGATAAAGTAATATACGAATAAATGCAACATCTTTACGATATGGATTTCTATATAAACAATTGATGGCAGCTCAACATCAACCATCAACCATGGTATGCACATATTGTCAATTTTTTGACTCTTAGAAAAATTCTCAAATAATGGAAAAAGAACATAAAAAATTATTTATTTATTAAGATTAGAAATTATTTGTGACATGATCATGATTTATATTACTTGGGCAATGATGAAATTTTAAGGAGATGTGTTCCTAAATAAGAATATCACAGCATTCTTAACATGTGCCATTCATCTAGTTGAAGATATTTTTCTAGACAAAAAATAGCTGTAAAAAAATTTCAGTGTGATTTTTATTGGTTTACAATAATTAAAGATTAAATAGAATTCAATAGGACATGTATTTCATGTCAATCTATATATAAGATGAATAAAAGAGATGAAATTCCCATGAGTAATATGTTAGTAGTCAAAAAAATATATGTTTGGGTATAGACTTCACGAACATGGGGTTCCTTCTCACCATCCTAAAAATATGAATATATTTTTCTTGATGTTGATGTATCTAAATGGTTGAAAGCTATTCTTACTTATAACTAATGATCATAAAATAGTAATAAAATTTATACATGAAAATATTTTTCGAGATTTGGATGTCCTAAAGTGATTATTAGTGATACAGGAACACATTTTACGAATAAACATTTCAATAAACTATTGAAGAAGAATGAAGTGTACCATAGAGTAGCCACTCAATATTATTCCCAAACAAATGATTAAGTTGAAGTAGCAAAATAGAAAAATTTAGAGAATTTTTGAAAATACTAATTAGGCCTAATAGGAAATATTAAGCCACAAAATTACAAGATGCATTATAGGCTTATAGAATTAGATATAAAAATCACATAAATATGTCCTTATTTTGTCTCATTTTTGAAAAATCATGTGATCTTCCTGTGGAAATAGAGCATAAAATATTATGGGATATAAAATTAAAGTATGAATGAAAATTCAGCAAAGATCATAGAATCTTTCATTTATATGAATTAGAGGAGCTGAGAAATGAAGCTTATAAAAACCATAAAATATATAAATAAAAAACTAAAGCCTTTGATAATAAATACATTCCCAAGAGCGGCTTTATGATTCTAGGCTAAAATTCTTCTCAAGAAAATAAAAATAAAAATGAATAAAAAGGGCCTTATGTGATAGAAGAGATATATGATCATGGGGTTGTAATGATTAAAGATCTTAAACATAATTATAACCTTAAGTTAAATAGACAACGGCTTAAACATTACATAAAACATGAATGCCTTGTAGAAAAAGAAATTCTTTTATTAGAAAAAAATCAAGAATAAGATTAATGTGTTAAGTTAGAGACAATAAATTCAGTGTTGCATGGGAGGGCAACTCATGATTTTTATTTTATTAATTTTTTTCTAGCTTTTTAGTTTTTTAAAAAATTTCAACATTTTTTTCTGAATTTATTTCTTCAAATAAAAGTGCAAGAGGAGAGTGTAAGATGAAGTGAAAAATAAAAAATGAGGTTGAGGTGATGTCTTTCTGAACTTCACCCTTTATGACACTATTTTAGTACTTAAATCGACATATATGCATGTTTTATTTGAAAAAAATTGTGTTCTATATATTCTATTACGATTTTTTATGTGTCATTGAGGACAATGTCAATTTCAATTGAGGGATAAAGTATTAAATCTTAATTTCTACTATAGAATGATTAACCACATGTATTTGCATCTGTTTTCATGCTCATTTATAAAACAATTATAGAATATATGTGTGTTTATTGGTTTTCTATTAGAAACTGTGGAAAATAGTTAAAATACTACCAAAAATAGTAGAAAAAATAGTCTGAAATTTAAAAATTTAGAGACCATTTTCTCACATTTCAATCCCCTAGACATATATTGTTGAAATTTGAAAATTACAACTATAAAGATGATAGCTTAAATTTATTTTTGACAAATTCATAGTTGTTGAAAATAAAACCTATTGCTTAACTACAAGATGTTAAAATGAAATATGACAATAAAATTTTATGGCCACGAATGATCAGTCAAAAGTGTTGACCTAATGTTAACCTTTTTTCTTGTTTAAATGGCTTCGAGCAACTGGATATAGATTTTATTTTCTCAGAATAAAAAACTTATTTTTAACCATCAAAATGGGTGGATACTTGCCCTAATTGGGATCATGTCAAACAAACCAAAATAAGTCTTGGATTTGAGACAATGCAGCTTCATAGAAAACAAAATTATCAAAAGTATATAATTGACAAATTTCTTACATCATATTACACGCACAAAAAATTAAATCAATTAGAATGATTGATACTAAAAGAGACTAGGATAATTATTGATGAGTTAGAAGAATGATCAGTGACATTAAATCAATACTCCTCTAATACATGATAACTAATGATGTAAAATTATTTTATAGAATTTTCACTTTATGATCTCAACATAATAAGCACTTGACATGAAGATTTGATTGATCATTTGGGTTTGACATAGATCTTTATACCTTGAACTATAAGACTTGTGAGGATAAATCATTTATTCTAAATTGAAAAAAATAATAGCACAAAACTATATCAACAAGAAGTACACATGGAGGATGTGAGACATCATTCTCATTGTTGAAATTTATTTATAGAATAAATGGCTGTTGAAAAAAAAAGAGATGGAGAAATAGCCTTGAAAATGAAGAGTACACATGGAGGGTGTGAGACATCATCTCATTGTCAAAATTTGTTTATAGGAACGCTATTTATTTATTTATGAAAATAAAAATAAGAAAAATAGTGTGAACTTCAAAAATCAAGCAATAAAAAAAGAGAATATAAGATCAATATTATTATTGAATGAGGTTTGATAATTTGATCATCTTTTCATTTATTTCTATGAGGGAATAAAATGTGATTAGAAGAAGTAGAATCTTGATTGTTATTTTGAGGAGTGTTTAAATATTAAAATGATTAGTATTATTTTTCGTACTCAATATAAGAATCTAAGGTATCTCGAGGTGCATCATTTCTAATTGTATTTTCAAATATTAAAATATGATGTCTGAAATTTGTCAATATTAAATAATTTTCATAATTCCATTTCTAAAAGATTAGTGATGATTTAAGTTAGGGGGTGTGATAAGTCTTCATTATTATAAGTTAATAATTAATTAATAATATATTTTAAGTCTTAACTCATTATCAATAGACTTATATTTATGTTAAATTCAGAAGATGAGTTTTTAGTTGGTTAATGTGAATTTTTAACTAATTATGTGAATTTATATAATTTATATAATCATATTTTTGAGATAAAATAAAGAGAAAAAAATAAAATAAAAAAGATGTAAAAAGGGAAGAATTGCCGATTTGTGAGTTAGAAGCATAGTCAGGGGACTCATTGGTCAACTAGAACTGTAAGCAAGTCAAAAACATAGTGATAAGTCTTCATTATCATGAGTTAATAATTAGTAAATAATATAGTTTTAGTCTTAACTCAGATAAATAGACTTATATTTGTGATAAAGTGTGAAAAGTAATTTTTAGTTGATTAACGTGAATTTTTGGGTAATTATGTGATTTTATACAAATTTATATGATTTTTACAGTCTTACTTTTGAGATAAATGAAGAAAAAGAAATAAAAATAAAAATATAGCAAAATGAAGGGGACCCGCCGACCAATTGGGGCCTGCAAGCAGGTCGAAAGCACAGTCAAGGAGGAGTCACGAATAGGGGCTCGAGCGGTTAGGACCGATAGGGGCATGTGTGTGCCACTCCCCTCCCACGTCACCGGTGACTAGCTAGTTGTGGGCCAAGGAGTGGTCGTACATGCGGGAGAAAGAGACTTACTTGCAAATGTAATATTACTATATATTCGCCCGAAACTTTGATGCACATGCAATATGGGACTAAACTCGTATCACACCTTCCCTCGAAAGGGTTTGAAGATTTGAATACCTAAACTACCCTTTACTTATAATAGAGATATATCATGATGATGTCATTTGATGAGGGCATTAGAGTACTTATTTCAATCTCTCTCATATAGGGGGGCAATCGACATGGGTTTGAATCCTCTCAGAACTAAAACTCATTTTTTATCTGATTATCGCGACTTTCTTGCAAATTGTCGGTGAAGGATTAAGCCACTAGAATCGTTGGATCATCGGCAAAAATTTAGTCAACCCGATTCGTAGAGCATTGTTACTAAAATTGTTGAACGATTCATGATAAAAAGATCGTGAATCCATCAAGTAAAGCATCTCCGATTGATCGACGAACAAGCCATCGTCAAGAAGAGGACGATCCACTAGGAGACGAGTCACCATCTCTTACTGTGTAGACCTGAGGATGAAGCTCTCTGACACACACCCTACCTCCATCCAGCTTCTCTCCGTCGGGTGACAACTGCCAGAGAGCCACAAAGTCGTCATTTTTCTGCTCTGTTAGGTGACAACCGTCGAAGACGATTCGACGACCTATTTCATTAATCTCTAAACTTCGCAAGGAGATCTAGAGATTGTCCATGTCATCCTTGACCAAGGAGAGCCTTTGAGGCCATGGACACTGCATGACAATCCTCCCGAATGCTCAAGATTCCAGTACATTGTTAACGCATCGCAGCCGCGACGCCAGAACTCTATTTTTCTACTTTCAACTTAATTTCTACTTCATTTAGTGATAATTTGTTAATTTTAAATTTACCAAGCTATACTTCATTCAATTACGATTCTTCCAACTTTTACAAATCTTAATTTGATCAATTAAATCATATGTAATCGCTTACGTAAGAATCTTCAGGCAAAATTCTATTTCTACCCGATTCGCATTCGCCGGGCGCTAATGTCATCTTGACGTCCGCATCCTTATTTTCCTTTTTCGTGAATTTTAAATATATTTTATTTTCATTTCCTAATATAAAATTGATAGAAAATAGTATTCTTTGAAGAAAATTTTTAATAATTACTTGATATTATATTACATCCATGTGATCGACCTAGAAAATTATCACTATTTTTAGAAGTTTTATTGAATTATAATTAATATATTTATTTAAAAATACTTCTAAATATCCAAAAATTCGTATTTTCTAGTTTTATAAATTTTAAATTTACGTGATTTACTATACAACGACTAAGTCACATCACATAGTCAGATAAAGCTATGAGTAAGGGGCTTAGGCAGCTAAGTACCACGTCATTAGTGACTAGTCAGGTGTGGGGCAAGGAGTGATTGTATATATCTAAGAGGACTACATTAGGGATAGAAAGAGATAGTACTATATATTTGTCTAAAAACTCATAAAATAGCCAATGTGAGATTAAATTTGGGCCACCGCTCATTGTCATGTGTTTTAACTCTCATACTTATTTAACTCTCTCTCGTGCAAGTGGGCAATCGGTGAGAGTTTAAATCTCACTATGACTAAAATTCATATTTTTTATCTAATTAAATCATGATTTTCATGTATAACGTTAGTCAACAATTAAGCTACTAGAGTTGTTCAATCATCAACAAAAATGTAGTCAATGCGATTTGCGAAACATCATTATGAATTGTTGAACGATTCTAGATAAAAAGATTATGAATCTATCAAAGAAATCATCTCCTATTGATTGACAAATGAGCCATCATTAAGAAGAGTAAGATCTATAAGAAAATAAGTCTCTACCTCTTGAGAACATACTACATGTGGTGAAGAACATCATCTTGTTATACAAACTTGAGGCTGAAGCGCCCTAATGTGCCCCACCTTTATATAACTTATTTTTACTAAATGATAGTCATCCAAGTCAATTCGTTGATCTATTTCATTGATTTCTAAACTTGTCAAAAAGATTTAGAGATTATCCACATTGTCAATGTTCAAATAGAGCTTTTGAGGCTATAGATATTGAATGATGATCCTCTCAAATGCACAAAATTTTGACGATCGTCACTATGAAGCTAGAACTTTGACTTTCCTACTTTAAATTTAGTTTTGTATTTAATTTATGATATTTTGTGTAATTTCAAGTTTTAAAAATCTTCTTCATTCAACTATGATTCTTTTGACTTTTACAAATCTTAATTTGATTGATTAAATTATCTATAATCATTTATGTAAGAATCACTAGGTGGAACTCTATTTTTATTCAAATCATGTTTGTTGGGGTGCTGACATCATCTTGACATCTGCACCTGAATTTCTCTTTTTGTGAATTTTTAAATATATTTTATCTTTATTATTTAATTTGAAAATTATTAAAATATATATTATTTGAGAAAATTTATAAAATCTTACTAAATATTATCTTATATTCCTATGATCAACTAAAATTTTATTACTATGTTTGAAACATTTTAAAGAAGTATAATTAACTTATTTATATTAAAATATTTCTAAAAATCTACAAAAATATTATTTTATAATTTTATAATTTTTAAATTTACATGATTTATCATACAACGACTAAGTCACATCACCTCCCTTACTCCCTCAACCTTCATCCCACATTTCTCTATATCCATCGTGGGTCAAAAGAAAACTCTATAGATAGGCCCCCAAAATAGACCTAATATAAATAGGCCCATTATATGCCTTCATGTCTTATGGCCCATTTAATAGGACTAGATCACAAATGGGCCTAGTAATTAGGTAGTATCCATAAAACTTAGAGCCCAAAACAACAACCTGAGATTTGGTCTTTTTGATATTGAGGGCAAATCTCAAACCGTTATTTTGGGCTCAAATCAATAGCTAATCGGTCAAACCAAGGTCGAAACATTAGGGAGCTCTATGGACCAGGCGAGCTCAACAGGGCCACATCTCTCTCTCTCTCTCTCTCTCTCTCTCTCTCTCTCTCTCTCTCTCTCTCTCGTCTGTGCGCATTCGTGAGGTACACACTAGAGAGAGTTTTCGGGCTAGGGTTGGTATGGCTTCCCATTGGGCCCAATTTAGAGGCTTAAAAAGCCCGAGGATTCTCCGCCAAACTTTCCATCTTTGCCTGTATTTCGTTCTACATATGGGTACGATGGCTTGGAGGGTCATGCGTATGTAGTGATAAAGACAGAGATGGCGAGAGAGAGAGAGAGAGAGAGAGAGAGAGAGAGAGAGGGAGAGGGAGAGAGACTCCGGGCAAAGTACTTTTATAGTTTTGGTATGTATTTGGAGGCCTAAATCTTTGAACATCGGCCAGCCTGGGCCGGGCTGGAGATTCATCTGGTCGACGCCTGCCCGAAAATTGCGTCTTTCACAGCACTACCTTCCTTAGGGGTTGGGGCTACCCGCCTGCGTTGGACGATGGAGATGACTGGTAGATGACCAGGATCATACGCGTCGTGGTGGCTTGGGCTTCTCGGCGGGGTTGAAATGGGTCCACGTCAAACCATATCGATCTTGTCACAGATTCCCGTTTTTCACTTGCAATTCCTCTTAAACAAGTCTCTTCTGGGGTCTTCGCTCTATACCTTCTGTCTGTGCTTATTCTCTCTCTCTCTCTCTCTCTCTCTCTCTTAGAAGAGAGATTCCCTCTGGATGTTGGGGAAGGGGAACTAAAGGAGAGAGGGGATGGGTGCCGGGGGCGCTGCCGTTCGCGGGCTATCACGGCAAAAGCCCCCCGCCTTCGCCACCGCCTTGTGCCTGATCCTCCTGCTCCTCGTCTCGGCGTCCCTCCCCACTCTGAACTCTCTTCCATTCATCGTCCTTCACGGTACTTCTATCCCGTTCTTTCTGACCTCTCTATCTCTGTCTCTCTCGATTCCTGGTATTTCCACGATTACCTTCTTCCCTCCTCGTCAGGAAAGATGAAGAACACATGATTTTACCCACGATCCTGTCTTCCCGAATCCATATCCTTCCTCAAGAGAGGAGCCTCTCCTTGCCTATTTCCTTTATGAATTCCTAGACTAGCAATTTGGATGGATAATTTCGAAAATTGGGTGACCTTTGTATAAATGATGAACGTATAATCGGTAGATCTACTTCTTCGCCTCTTTACATAACTTGGTGCCCTTCGACAGGGATTGGTGACCGATGCACCAACGCAGGGTTGACTCAGTTCACCAACCTGCTGACCGAGTGGTCGGGCTCCACCGGGCACTGCATGTAAGCTTGCTGAAACTTTCATTCCTTCATCCTCTTCATCAATTACGTCTGGAATTGCTTGTCCTTGGTTTGATCAGAATCACTAGAAATTGCGAGAATGATGAAGATCATTGTTGCTTCTACTGTGGACTTTTCCCTTTAAACCTAAACTACCGGCATGCTATTTAATTGAAGAGTGAAAATTAATTCATGAACACCCTTGACCACGTCCTTTCCTGCTTATCTCTTCCTTCAACCGGCAACTCTCTCTCTCTCTCTCTCTCTCTCTCTCTCTCTCTCTCTCTCTCGCTTCACGATGGCAATCAGTGACCTGATTATTTATTAGTTCTCAAGCTCTCAATTATGCAGAGACTCCTGGGTTTGAATGATCTTTTACTTTTAAAGATTAATTCATGGTTATGGCCTTGTAATCGGTACAGAATGGAATATGGATTCGGAAAATGCGTTCAAATCACAACTCTCTATGGTTTCTCGTACCCCTTTCAGTCAAAATATTTGATCCTGCTCAATAAATTTTCCACTTTGTTTTCTTACATGTTGAGGAACAATCTTTCTTGATCTTTTTATAAAATATTGTAGAGAGATTGGAGATGGTTCCTGGGATTCCTGGATCATGCCGCTCACGGATCAGGTTGACTTACTAGAAATTATCCTACTTCCCCATGGAAATATGTAGCTTTTCTTCTTGATTCTGACGCATTTTCCTCTGATGAATCAGGCAAATGCTGTCTGTGAGAAGGTGAATGAGCCCTCACTGCTGCCAGAGCCGATCTGTGCGTATATTTGGGGTTGACTTTAGATCTCTTTAATGCGTGTTGAGTTTATGTAACAGGTGAAGAAGATGAAGGAACTCAGTGAGGGCTATCACATTGTTGGTCTTTCCCAGGTAATTGGGATCCTCACATCCCCACCCTCCACAGTTATTCACTTGATTTCGGTTTAAGCCTGATCAATAGTGGCAGTAAATGTTTTCTTTTTTTTAATTTTTTATTCTAATCTGGTGTTTTTATGTGGTGATAATTGGCCAGCTTTTAATACCAAATTGTACGGATGTACCATTTTTATGCTGCGATATTAAAAACATTGGCTGGATTATAACTATATACTTTCATCAGGTTGCAAATAGAAATTTGTTCCATTTACTGTAATGGCTCCCAAATTGTTTTTCTTCATTCTGCGTAACATTTTTCCTATTTCTAACTATTTTGTCTGAGTATTGGATCAACTATTTCTGATGCCTCTGTTATGCTTTCAGGGTAATTTAATAGGTCGAGCGGTAGTCGAATTTTGTGATGGAGGACCTCCTGTGAGATTTCCCATTCCTCTTCCACTTTTCTAGTTTGATATTTATGATCGTTTTAAAATTGTTACTATTACTGTTGTTGTTGTTGTTGCTACTGTTATTAACTCAGCCTTGTATTCTAATCCTGAGGAGTTTTCTTTTCTCTTTCCTAATGATTCTTCACTTTAACTGTGGTTAAAGTTCACCATTGGATTAATTTTCTAATTTCCGACACCTATTGATTTTTTCCTAATACGGGGAATGTTTTTTCCCAGGTCAAAAATTTTATTTCTTTGGGGGGACCACATGCTGGCATTGCTTCTGTGCCGCTTTGTGGAGTAAGCCCTCTTTCAATCCTCCTTATTATTTTTTTCTGAAGTATTTCTGTATACAAATACAAAGGAAACGCTGTAATTTTTTAACTAGGAAAAGGAAAATGGGAACTAATTTAAGATGGAGATTATTGCAAAAAACTAAAATTTATTGAAATTATTTATATTTTAATGTTGAACTTGATATCAGACGATAAATATAAACTAGCTCCTTTCCTCTGAATATTATTTACTTACTTTTAGGTTTAACTAGATACTTACACCACGGTTTTCTTTCCCTCAGACAGGTATCATGTGCATTATTGTGGACAACCTCATCAAATCAGAGGTTTACTCTGACTACGTCCAGGTCACCATTTATATAAGTAGTTATATTAATTCTATGATACAATGAAAATCACACAGTTTCAGGATCAGACTTGAGATGCCCCAACCCCCCCCCCCCCCCTCCCACTCGAGTTGTTTATGGCAAGCCACTGATGATCACGGCTATCTGATCTTATCTGCAGGCTCACCTGGCTCCCAGCGGATATATCAAGATTCCGACGGTGAGTAATTCATGAATAATTTTCCCACGTGTTTATTTTTTATCTTTTCATGCATTTTCCTTGTGTCTTCGAAATTTCATTCATCATGAAATTCACGTCAGTATCTTCTAGGACTGAAATTTCTTGTCGGCCATTGGCCCTGGGAAAAGGCCCGAAAAACCTTGGCTTGGCATCCAACCTTACCGGCCCCCCTAACCCGCCAAGTGCCCAATAATTTTCCTAGGTATTTTCCTTCTCCATTGATTAGAATGGGGAACCAAGCCTGCATTAATCTTCCTGATTTAAACCCTTTGGTTGATTTCAAGGAAAGTTTCTAGCTTCATCTATTAGGACTGGTGGGCTATGATCCATACCTCTCTCCCTAAAAATCGAGTGTCTCTTCTCTCTAGGATATCCCCGATTACTTGGAGAAGTGCAGGTTTCTGCCGAAGCTCAACAATGAACGGCCCAGCGAGAGGAACTCTACCTACAAGGATCGGTTTAGCAGCCTTCAGACGCTGGTTCTGATCATGGTGAACTGACTTTTGCTCATCCTTTTTGTTTTTCTCTTCCTATGATGGTGCCCGATTTTAATGGACCCGCTGACCAAATGCCCACCTTTTTTTTTTCCATTGGCTTTCTGCCGTCAGTTTGACCATGACAATGTTCTTGTTCCTCGTGAAACGTCGTGGTTTGGGTTCTATCCCGATGCCTCTTTCAGCCCTGTTTTGCCAGCAGAAGAGGTAAGAAAACCATCAATGATCCCACCTTCATAACCATGGAAAAAGGATTGCCGGATAAAATTGGATTTCACAATGGGGTCAACTGGGGTCCCAAGCCCGGCATTCGCTGATCAGCCGGCGTCATTTTCCTTGTCTGGCAATTCTTTGCAGACCCTCCTCTACAAGGAAGACTGGATAGGCTTGAAGGTGTTGAATGAGGCAGGTCGGGTCAAGTTCGTCAGCGTGGCAGGGAATCATCTGGGGATCTCTCGGGCTGACATGAGGGAGCATGTGGTCCCTTACTTGAAGGCTGGGGACGGTGGAAATCTCTGGAGCTCTCTCTCTAATCTCTGGGCCACATCCGTTGAGGCCGTCCATGGAAGCTGGCTGGGGAGGATGGTGGGGCTAGCTGAAGCAGCTCCGCCCTGGGCTGCCCCCGTGGGTGAGAGTTGAGGCAGGGCCTCAGCCCGATGCCAGATGGAATGGACTCTCTTCTGCTCTCTACGAGTGTGTGTACAGCGCACCACCTTCATGTGTACCTCAAAGTAATATCGACTCCTCTCTCTCTCTCTCTCTCTCCCCTCCTGTATATATGCACTGTTTCCTACTTGGGTGACCTTTCAGGTGGGCAGTGGAAAATCCAGCTGAGCTAAGGGTTTACCAGGGAGTGTGTGTGTGTGTGTGTGTGTGTGTGTGAGAGAGAGAGAGAGAGAGAGAGAGATTACAAGGTTTACTTGGGTAGAGGAAGATTGATGTGAGCGGGAGAAGGGTAATGAGTATTTTTAGTTTCTAATTAAATTTAGTTTTTTCCCTTACCAAAGTTAACTGGCCTTTTGGACATGAAATTCCTTGGGACTAAAACCACGGGAGTAAATTAACAAGCCAACTTTATAGGGCCCCAAGACAAATTTAATATTTTTATGATTCATTTACAATACTAAGTCCATGATTCTCTACAGAAATGGAGGCCCATTTTTTGTTGGAGATTAATATAAACCCCTCATTTAGAATTTTGTTCAAAAAATAAACCTTAATCAATTTTCCATTTCCTACAAGTACAGTGCATATTTGGAACGGTCGAAGGAGTCGTAAACTTGGGAAAAGGTCGTCTTTGCAAAAAAAGTAACAGAAATTTGTAAAAAAACACTTTGTTCGGACGTTTTCTCCTGAGGCAGACCATATTTCAGAGAACCTCACACGGGTAGAGTATACACACGATATTGTAAATGTAAGTGGTATAACTAAAACTGAAATGCTTGACGGCTCACTTGCTGAGTGGCGTAGCCCATCTGGAAACGTTCTATGATTCTCTTTTCTCTTTTGTGATAATGTTTAAAGCCCATCTGGTGCATTATGGCCCATTAGCTCAAGTTAATAGGTTCTCTTGGGGAAGCCCATTAGTTCCAATTGTTCGCCAACCGTTCGATTGTTGGATCAATCTCAACCGACGGCTAGCCTACTGTGCATGAAGGAGTATTAGGGTTTTGGAAACATATCCTATAAATCGCAGACCTCTCTCTCCCTCTCTCTTCTCTCTCTTCGCAGCAGCCTCCAGACGAGAAGGGGGCGGGAGCGCATAGGGGCGGGGGGCTACCGGCGATCATGAGGGCGAAGGTACAATCAGTGATAAACTGTCATCTGCCATGTTCATTTTTCTTCGGAGGATTTCCCGTTTCGCTTTTGTGAACAGTCGGGACTGTAGTTTTCCGTGTGTTCCATGCGTATTCTTTATTTGATCCGGGTGGCTGGCATAGTTGGTAGATCTGTCTTCGTGCTTCGACTCCGGCATTGCGGTTGCTTTGGTTGGACATTGACTGAGTATTCATTTTGTCTCGAAGAATATGATATCCAAATATCCATGGTATCACTTGTTGTGCGATGTCTCTGGGTAGCTCTCAATGTGAATAGCTAGGATTCCTGGTTGTCTCCATGGTCTGTTAGGTAGAAACTGACTCGTTTTCCTTGTGATTCCCGTCTTTCTACTTCCATTAGATTGATTTTTTCTCGTTGTTTATAAACTTGCGTAAGCTTTTCATTTGGCTTCTAATTGTTGACCTGAATCCTTTTGCCTATTGAGGGCGGCTTTATGATTTATTTCATGTCGCTGATGTTTCTGATTCCGATGCTCTGAACATGGGGCAACATTACTCTTCCGCTAGATATTTTACATGTCGGCTCTGGAATGTCTTCTTTAGCTTATCTGTTGTGTTCGGAATTTTGGTAATGTAGGTTTCTTCAGGAGCACTTTTCCAATGTAGACCACTATGACTTATTTCTAGAGCCACGTCCTCTACGATATGTGGTGTTGCATTGTGCTATCCCGCTAGGAAGTACGAATGCGCCAGCGCCTCGTTCTCTATAAGTTGAATGTCCGACAAGCTGATCTCAGTTCTGATCTAAAATATCAACGAAAAGCGAATGAAAGAGAGTGCGAGAGCTAAAAGCAATGAAATCAGTTTGCATTTTTTTCTTTTTTTCTTCCTTTGATATCGGTATCCTTATTATCGTACTCTTCTGCTGAATTTTGGTTTCCATGGAGAAATAAGGGATAGATAGAGTATTTACTCAATAGCCCTCATTCCTGAAGACAAACAATATCTCAAGTACCTTAACAATACCTCACCTTTAATAAATGTTTTGGATTTATTCATTACTCTCCATTAAATGGCTAGTTTTTCATGCTGGAATTTACGTACAAATCAGAGACCTATCTTAGTGAAATTTTGTGGCATTTGTTTGGAATCTATTTTGACGCTTGTAGCAGATTTTCTACAACTTTGTACCATTTTTTCGAGATCAGAGTCTATAAGTGCATTTCTTGTCCCGCTGGTTAATGCGCGTTTTAATTTATATAGTAAAAAGCAAACATTGGGCCAAAATAGCATTACTCTTTAATATGAATAGAAGGCCAAATTTTCTTTTCTTTGGCCTGATTCTGAAAATTGTGTTAATCCAGTAACATTAGCATGGAATCAACCCTTTCCTAAAGTTTCTTTTTTCCTACCTTTTCCTTTTTTTTCAGTGGAAGAAGAAGCGCATGAGGAGGTTGAAGAGGAAGCGCAGAAAGATGAGACAGAGATCTAAGTAGATGGAGGACAAAGGTCCGGGCGCCATTTTGACCCTCCAAAGTTCTGTTGTTCTTAATAGAAGAACTCCCATTAATCGTGTGATTCAACTTGCAGTTTGATTTAGGTTATGAAACCAGTACTTGCCAGTTTGATTCTAGCTCTTTAGATGACTATTGCTGCGGTGAGAATTATTTTAAATTATTACAACCGCCATTTTCCAATTGCATGATCTTTTTTCTCTGTTCCATCTTCATGCTGTTCCGATGACATGGATTAATTTCCTCAAAAAGGCAATTCATAGAAACCAAGATTACCTAATAAGGTAATTCATTCATTAGGTATTTCTTGTCATGGTTGTTGATAAACCCAAATCAGGTGTGTATTCTAGAGGTTCAATGGTGCGTAAGAACGACCAGGTGTGTGCTCTCCGGTTAATGTCCATGAGCATATGAGCCCAATTTATCCCTCCCAATGTTATCGCTGAGATCAGTTTACAGATATTAAGCGATTCTAGTCCCATGTGAGGGATGAGGAAAGCCCAGGTAAGCTCCATAATATCTTTGGGAATATAAACTTTTTAAATAATTCAGAGAAAGTTGAAGTCGACTAATTGTACTAAGCCGCTCATGTAGCATGTGGCGCCTCCTCTCTCTCTCTCGCTCTCTCTCTCTCTCTCGCTTTTCTTTGATCAGCCAGAGTAAGGTCCCGGGCCATTCAGATCCCCTTAAGAAGCAATATTAACTTGTATAAAGTGACTAAACAGAGAATGTTACATTGATTTAAATATTAACGTGAATGATAATTTCTTCTCACCTACTTCTGAGAAGAATAATGAATTGCTCTGAACGAGCCCACTTGGCCAACAAGTTGGAAACTTCTGGGTTATTTGATGGCAACCTACAGTAACTAAACTATTAAGTTTTAGCTAAGAATGGAAATCAAATAGGATAAAAAGTCAAGAGGAGACCCAATAGATCGGCAAAAAGAAATTATCCATCATCCACCATCCAATCCCAATTCACGGCATTCCAGCCCCACAAACGATCAGCGATCCCATCTGTGTGACTCACCCGCTGGCCAACTCTCCATATTATCTATCACCTTCCCGTGGGAAGAAACGGTTATTTTGTTTTTTTACCAAAAATCCCCCAGTCATCATCAGCCACGGCTTGAACAACTTGTCCCCGAATAAGTATGGACAGGAGATAATAAGAAAGAGACTATGGGGAAAATCTGGGGAGAACGCAAGCAAGAACGTTCTGCAGATTTTTAATCTCTGCTTTCAATTATTCAATCTAAATTGTACAGCAAAGTATGGACAGGAGCAAGAACACGGGTGAGCCTTCTTCCACAGGAAGAATCTCAAAGATACGAATTGCACTAGATCCCAACTCGATAAATTCATGGGGCCGACAGAGCTCGAGTTTATTCAAAAATCAAATGTGGAAGATAACCCATCATGCAAGACGAGGCGGAAACCCAGTCGAGGTTAGAATCAAATATATATACCTTGTTCTTCCTGAATGAGGCAATGGGTGGCCTGGCCTCTGCAAGAGGAACGAGCTTGTTGATCCTGTTCTTGTTCCTGCTGCATGTCTTGGGGAGGAGAACCCCAGAGGAGGAGGAGGAGGAGGAGGAGGAGGAGGAGATCAGTCGAGGAGCAAGTCCAGGTCGTACTGCATGGAGATCCTCTCGGCGGTGGTGCGGCTGACAGCCTCCCTGGAGTGGAGCTCCCCGAGGACCGCCGCCGCGAGCTCCGGCTGGTCCTCGTGGGCGAGGCCCTCGACGAAGATTATGTAGGAGGTCTCGTTGGGCGGGTAGCCCTTGTGGATCATCATGGCGAAGACGTCGACGGCGAGGTCGGTCCGCTGGGCCTTGCACATGCCGAGGATGAGGGCGTTGTAGTTGTCGATGTCCGGCCTGGAGCCGTTCTCCTCCATGACCTCGAAGATCTGCAGGGCCTCGTCGAGCATGCCCTCCAGGCAGAGCCCGCGGATCAGGGAGGAGATGGTGTAGGAGTCCGGGGTGAATCCGGATTTGGCCGTCATGGCCTCGAGAAGCTGGAAGGCCGCGAGGGTGCTGCCCTTCTTGCAGAGGACGGAGATGACGGTGCGGTAGAAGTCGTGCATGGGGCAGTCCTGCTTGCCCCCCAGGCCCTGGATCACGGCGAAGGCTTCCGCCACCATGCCCTCCCCGCAGAGCGCCGCCACCGCGTTGTAGGTGCCCTCGTTGAAGGGGCAGCTCTTCTGCGCCATCATCTCGAGGCAGCGCTCCGCCGCCGCGAGGTTTCTCTCCCGGCAGAAGCGGGCGATGATGGGGTTGTAGCTGGCAGCGTTGGGCTTGAACCCCCCCCGGGTCATCTCCTCGAGCACCTCCAGGGCCTGCCCCGTGCGCCCGTGGGCGGCCAGCGAGCCGATGAGGATGTTGAAGGTGATGATGCTGGGGGAGCACCCGCGGCTGCCCATCTCCGAAAGCAGCTCTTCCGACTCCGCCCACCGCCCGTCGTAGCAGAGGCTCCGCAGCATGATGTTGTAGCTCACCACATTGGGGCGGAAGCCCTTGCCGGGGAGTTCCCGGAAGAGGCGGAAGGCGTCCTCGAAGCGGCCCTCCTTGCAGAGCCCCGTGAGCAGGACGTTGTAGCTGACCAGGTTGGGCTTCCCGCCCTTGACGACGATCTCCTCCAGGAGCTTGGCAGCCTCGTCGACGCCCCTCTCCTTGTAGGCCGCTTCCAGGAGGAAGGAGTAAGTGAAGACGTTGGGGGTGAGCCCCCGCTGCATCAGCCGGTCCAGGAGCTGCAGGCTCTGCTGCAGATTGCCGTGGATGCAGAGGCCGCGCACCAGGGAGTTGTAGGTGGCCGTGGTGGGCGCGCAGCCGAGCTCGTCCATCTTGTCCACCAGCTGCATGGCGTAGCCCACGTTGCCCCGCTTGCAGAGTTGGTTCACCAGGAAGGTGAACGTAGAGGAGTCGGGGGTCGTCCCCGCGGAGACCATCAGGTCCATCACCCGCAGGGCCTTGCGGATCTTGTTCACCTTGCAGAGTTCGTACAGGAGCTGCGTGGCCTGCTCCAGGTTGGGGGAGAGCCCCCTCCCTACCATGTGCTCCAGGTACAGAAAGGTGTCGTTCAGCCGCAGCTCCTTGGCCCGCTGGTCGCCTCCGCCGCCCCCGCCCTTCCCGTTCCTCCAGCTGGGGAGGGCGAACTGCCCCGCCGCTGCCGCCGCCGCCGCCCCCGGGGGGGCTTTGGCAGCGCCGCGGGGTGCCGTGAGAAGGCAGATTGGGGCCCGCCGTCCCTCGGGCCGGTGGGAAACCCTAGCGGGCAGGCCGGGGGAGGAAGAGGACTGGAGGAGAGCCGCCATCGCGGGCGGCGGGCTCCGGGCTTGCCCCTCCCCAGCTGCCGCGGTGGCTATCCGCGGTGCCCCATTGCAAGCTCGTCCCTTGATCTCTTCTTCCTCTCTCGACTCTCCTCTCTCTCTCTCTCTATCTATGCTCCCTCTATTGAATGCCCACGGGATGTGGTGAAAGGGGAATTCTTTCGCCTCATCCACAGCCCCTTATCGCCCCCCATCCTTCCGCAAGGCGTCCACCCTTCCACCGTCTGGCCCCTCTTCTGCATCCGAAAACTGCACGCTCTTTTATCTGCCAACGCCGTCAACGAAGGCACGGTCAAAGCCCCCGGCCACAGATCTAAACAGGGCCGCCGAATGGACCGCCCCACTCCAGGCCCTTCTTCTGGGCCGAACCAAAAAAAAAAGACCATTCCCATATTTATTTATTAATCCCAGTGAATAAAGCAACTGAGATTATCTAGTGTTAGACTTCACCGTACCCTTATTTTATTTTATTCTTTTTAATTTTAAAATAAATTACAGGAGAATATTGTCTTATTATTAACTACAGCTGAGTGGCCGACATGCATTTATCCAGTATGCATTTCAAGAAGGCTTTGGATGCTCTATATAAACAACGGCAATGCATCCTCCCAAGCAAGGCCGATGGAGAGGAAGGAGAGCCGGTGTTCGCTTCCGCAACAGTCGAGAAGGCCTTCTTTGCCCCCCATGTGCTGACGGACGGCGCCGCCGCCGTGTTCATGCACGTGGTTCTCACGGCGGGCCTCGCTCTGCTCCAGCTGGGCGTCTTCCTCGCGTACGCGGCGCCGCCGCCCTGTTCACGTTCCTGATCCTCCGGCATTGACACCTGGCTATGGAATTAAAACAGGAGTTACGACGCAGCGTGTACTCCAGTTATTGCCATCTTGATGTTCTCCTATTAGGCTTACGCTGTCTTAATTGTCTACCGCTGCATACCGGATATATATGTAGACATACAGAGAGAGAGATCCAGACGGAGAGCAGTGGAGAGGAGGGAGAGAGAGAGAGAGAGCAGTGCAGAGGAGATATAAATGCAGAGGCAGGGGGGAGAGAGAGAGCAGCGGAGATGAGGTGAGGAAGAGAGAGAGGCGTCGGCCCTGTCCTCTTTTCTGGCCACCCCCTCCGCGGCGGCTGTGTTCCCCGTGGTCAATCGAGATTTTTGGGCCCACATCCAAGGTTCTGCAAGCTTGTCCGTCACGTGGCAACCGAATCTAGACGACCTTTCTGTCTGTCTCATTGCTAACAGAGGGTCAGAGGCGTTCTTCCCTCTTCCCTGCCCGCTGTTCCACTCTAAGCCAGCGAGAGAGAGAGAGAGAGAGAGAGAGAGAGAGAGAGAGAGAGAGAGAGAAAGAGAGAATAAGAGAGAGAAGAGGAAGAAAAAGAGTTAAAGGTGAAGAAAATACTGATTCCATAAAATTATGCCCCAGGAAATGAAATTATCATGAGGAGAACGCTCAGATTGGACGGCTGGGATCTCTTTTGTGAATGCCAAGCTCCATCCTGATCTAATCATTTATTATTTATTTAACATTTCGATTTTAAAAAATTAAAAAATTAAAAAATTAAAAATCGAGCAGTAAAGTAGTAAAGATTTATTATACGAATGTGGTCTGACATCATGATTAGCCTCTTCTTGAACGGCTACTCGAACAAATTTGCTACCAGTGCCGGCCAGCAGAGGCCATGGCCTCCGTCTAATGGGGGCTGAAACAATGGATGAAATAGAGAGGAATCAGACGGTGACGCCCATCGTGCCAACACCGGGCATCATTGAGCCACATGAAGGAAGGAGTTTTTTCGGTGGACCTTGTCACCTGGGAGTAACACCCGCTTGCCCATATCAGTGTGGGTAGCATGTGTTGAACTTAAGAGGCTCAATTGTAAATGTCCACAATTCCACACATGGTGAGCTAGCGAATGCCTGCTGTGCACCTGCCATGGTGTACTCGCCGAGCCATTTTGTGTCAATGTTATGTCGTTGTAGTAGTGTCATGGTGTAATGTCTCGTGCCATCAGCCTACGAGGTTCATGTGAAGCTTCTCAAAACCTTCCTTTGCCTTGACAGAGTCATTCTTTCATCTCCAAGATGGTTTCAAAGAGCAGTAGCTATCATTATGTCCAAATCAAAAAGGCGGAGATTAACCGAAGACAACATCAACGACTGAGTTTGATTCAGACCCAGAAATGACTTCTCCGAAATGAGTTGTATTTTTCAATAGCACCTAAATTGGTAACTTCACTTGCTATGGACATTTTTCAGTACCATTCTTTTTGGGCAATTGATTAAAATTCCTCCTTTGTGAGGAATGTGTGTATGAGCACCAATTTCTGCTGCTAAGAGAGATCCAAATTCAACCAGGCCTATATATAGAAGGCCCACCCAAAAATATTAACTCCATTCCAGAGAGAAAGATGCAAATTTAGAGAGAGCTCGCATATCAGATGATGAGGACTTGAAAGTTTCAACGCATGGTCATTCAAAAATGTAGCCGAGAATTAGCCAGGGGCAAAGAGAGAAATAGAGAGCATGAAAACTAGTGCATAAACTAAATAAAAAAAAGCAAGAGGCCCTCATATCAGATAAAGAATGATACACAGTTCCAGCGCATTGCCACAAGAACCACCACAAAAATCAGAAAGTAGCAGAAATTAAGGGAAAAAAAAACAGGACATTTGCGGTAAAAGGTAACAACACTCTGGCATGGCCCGGATGACGCTTTCTACACCTTACGCTTACCAGGAATTCGAGAACGACATAAAGACGGTTACTCCCTGCAGGAGCCAGATCAAACAGCCAAATCCAAAGAGCAGAGCATAGCAGGGCCTCTGTGGAGCGGCTTTAATTCCTGCCCTCCACTTTCAAGTACAAACTCACCACCCGCCTGCAGTAACAGAGAGAACCTGTACAGTTGCTACAACCCCTACCCCCTCCGTCGGGAACTGATGTGAAAGAGCCAGCAAAACAAGCTCTCAGTCTGGCCACAACTCCCAGAAAACCTCAAAGAACAGAAAATGCAGAGGCCAAGATCACCTCCAATCCACCAACCAGGAGTGCAGAGAGAGAGAGAGAGGCCTGCTATTCATGTATACTGGACTCTCAGAAGAATGCCTAACCACATGCAAAATATCTCGGGAGGCAGCGGGGAGCAGCATGTTAGAGAGAAATAGTGATCCACCTCTGAATGACGTCCATCAATCCTCAGCCCGGAATAGACTCAGAGCTCATTTGCCCCCTGCCGCCGCCACCATGACCATTGAACCCAGCAGCCGGCATGGTAGACCGCTGTGCGAAGTCCATCAATGTCTTCCGCTGATGCTCATCTGTGTGGGGGAGACTCGCTCGCAGCAGCTCCACCGGCATCTCCCGGCTCATCGCTTTCACCGCCTCAAACTTATTGACAACAGCATGTGGTGTCTGCATGTCCAATGACTGCATTATGCTGTCATATTTGCTCACACAGTACTTGGTCAGAAGCCTGAAGAAGGCGTCAAAGGAGGCCTGCCACAGAGACCTGTTAGAGACGTTGTAGCTGCCGGACGCATGCGGACTGGTCAGAAGCTCCGTCGCCCTCTCCAGAACGGACTTTATGATTACAGAGGCACCGTCGCCGGCAGAGCTCCCAAGTGGCCGGAGTGGCGGCTGCTCCGAAGAACAGACTATGGCTGCCAGGCAGGCACTTAGCGAGTTCAAATCCATGCCGCTGATGCATGAGGAGACGGTCCTGGAAAGATTGGCTGTCGTCTCAGCCATGGTGGAACCTGGTGGCAGGCCGCCAAAGAGGAACCTCAGGTGGCGGAAGATGGCCATGCAGACCACCCGTGTGAGCTCGCTACCGGGGAAGAGAAGCTGGAGATAGCAGGAGAGGAGCTTTCGTCCCTTGGGGAGAGAGACCAGCCGCAAGAAGACCAGGTCGTCATTTGGGCCCAAGCTCACAGTGTGGCCAGACTTCCCCGGGCCAAGGGGATCGACAAGCTGTAGAGATGTAGCCAACCCTTCAAGTAGCGCATGCCGCCGCCGCCTCATCTGAGAGCCACCATCTTGGGGCTGGCTGAACTGCAGAAGACGATCTATATCATCCACGTCAAGGAGAAGGCAGAACCCATCTTCAATGGCTATCCTGGCCGCCAGCAAGGGCTCCTGATCCAGAGGCTTAGCAGCAACGGTAGCAGCAGACTTCTGGCCATCATCTCCAGAGGTGGGTGGATCAACCTCCAGCAGTGGCCGTGGCCGGCGAATGGAAGAGAAGGGGACCCTCCCAAGTGCATCCACCTGGAGAAAGGCATGTGGCTCACTGTTGGCACGGACCTGAGGCGGAAGGTCACGGATGGAAGCCGGGCAGAAATGGTGCCTCATTCTCGACTTTGCTGCCACGCAAGCTTGATGATAGTAGTCATCAACGTAGGGGTCATTGCTGTGTGTGGCAGCATGCTGAATCCTCAATATACCCTCAATCTCCTCCGCCGACATGTACCTTGACCTGAACTGCGGCCATCCATTGTCACTCTTCTGCCCTCCTCCATCATAACCTTGCCTGGGGATCCGACCACCTGGTCTCCCCCTTGGAGGCGGCCTCAGCAATCTCTGCTCCCTCAGATCGGCCATCCCAAGTATCGAGTCATAATTGTTCATCACCTGGGGAACCAGGTGTTGGCCGACCAGCTGGGGCTGGAGGTGTGAGAAATGAGGTGGCAGAGACTGACTTTGATGCATCCTCTCTTGCTGCTTCTGGAGCAGCAGCTGCGGGGACATAAGGCCATTGGAGTGAGGCAACCGCTGCTGCAGGAGGTTAGGCAGAATACTTGGGTGATCCCCTGGGGGCATGTTAACCAGGTTCATCCAGTTCTGAGGCCGGCTGTGGAGGCCTGGAGGGGTGAACTGGTGGGGCATGCCCCCACCATAGGGGAGCCCATGAGACAGCCCAGCCGCCAGATGAATCTGGGAAGCAGAGAGAGGAGAGAGATTCGGCGAGGAAAAGGGCATCTGGGCACCGGGTGGGGGGAGAGAGGGAACGACTGTGTGGTGTGACTGGTTGGGAGAACCCTGGGATCGATGGCCGGGTGGAGGGTAAGATGTGAAGGAGGAGTTGGGCACGGGGATGGGCTTGCTGGGAATGATGTGTTGCTGCTTCTGTTCCTGCTGCGGCTCGGGGTATGATGATGTTCTGTAAATTCGTCCGGGTTCTTCGATTTGGGCTGGAGAATATGCATCCAAAAACCGCTGCTTGCCTTCCTGAATGCCATCAGCATCTAATAATGGCTGCTCGAGCCAGTTCAAGTCCATCTCCTGAGACCAATCCGCAGCAGACGAGCCTGAGGAGATGATTGATCAAGGAGACCGGGTCAAGAAAGTTCATTGAAAACAAAAAACTTCAATCAAGCGGCAGCAGACAACTCAAGTCAAAGGATGAACAAATATTAAATTAAAAAACTGTGGATCAAAGAGAAATAATTGTATATATAAAACTATGCTGATCATATTAATTAGGTAAGGAGAAGATCTTGCTGGTTGCACCGACAAGGGCCCCACGAAGAGGTGAACCCAGAGCGAGTTCCACTGCAAAATGTAAGCATCAGCAAATCACATAGACCAACGATTTTATCTGAATTCAGTTTCATCCAATAATGTTCGTGAAGAATTCACATAAAATCAACGTAGAAAAAATATAACCAAACTTATAAAAGGGTCTCATGAACTCCAGATCAATTTTCATTGTAAACGATTACCAAAGAAGTAATCGTTGTCCCTCCAAGAATAAAAAAATGAGAATGCTCTTAGGATCATGCCATGGAACCCATTTATTTGAGCAACAGAACGTAATTTCATGGAACCCATGTTAGGCCCGCAACAAGGATGGATTTTTGGAGCAGACTACCGTGATTGGTTGGTTTTAAGATTAGACAAAGCATCTTGTCCATAAATATGCATGAAGGAAAAAAAAACTTTCCAAAAAATATGTATCAGCAAAAAGTGGGTTAAAGATGATAAAAGTATAAAGTCAATGGGCAAATGATTATTCTATGAAAATTTATGGAAAAAAGTTATTTATATCACAGTGAAGCTGCGGGAACATAACCCACTGAAGTAACAACAGACTCAATTTTGAGCAACAAACTGTTTTCAATGGTGGTGATCACATAACCCACCAAGACTCAAATTTTCAAATAAATTATAAAAAAAAACCACTGAAGTAACAACATAACTACTCACTTTCTCTTGGAAACAATCCTCTCTCACCAATGACTCCCACGCTCCTCAGTTCATTAACATCCTTGTTCAACTGAGAAGAAACAAAAGCAACATTATTGTACAAGGAAAGTAGAATTCGACAACAAAGAGTAAAATCGAACCTGAGCATGAATGAGGCATGACTTATATGCGAACATAACAAGAATGTGAGACTTGCAGCATGTTCAAATAAGATATTGCAGCCATGATTGATTGGTTTGAAGATTAGGCAAAGCATCTTTGTCCGTAAATATGTATGAAGAAAAAAAATTCCAAAAATATGCAACAGCCAAAATATCTTACATCGATTGATACTGTATATCAACCAATACAAAAAACTTTTCTTACAGCTTTAGGATCTTTTTCTTTTGGCAATCACAGAAGCCTTATCAATATGCTCTACTTCAGAGCGACCCTCTGCCCAATATATCATAGAATGTGCAGTGTAGCCTGATATCATGATTTAATATCTACTTCCCCTGATCGATAAAACGATTTTTTTCCCTCAAAATAAAAATTACACCAAAGGAAGGATAATAAGATGAAGAAAAAGATCGGGCAGGAACCCAAACCAAGCAGAAGTATTCTGATGAGCAGCTTAATTGTTTCAGAAGTTCTTTGGGCTACTAGAGTTATCAAGATAACCAAACAAGTGAATAAATTTGAAATTTTGGTCAAAATCAGTATGAGTAAAAATATGACACTACAGTGTTGGAAAAGGGAATATACACAACATTTGAACGGAGAAACAAGTCATTTGATGATGGATCATGGATGCTGCTCCTCATACATAAAACTATAGGGAAGATATGTGAAGTATCCATTTGAAAATCAAACGTTACCACCAAAAATATGTTTACAATAAGATAATCAATGATCGTCCACAGTATACCAAGTGCATTCTATCCACCATGTCATCATATGTATAACATTCTCCCTGAAATATAATTTTATCAAGAAAACAAGACGTCCATGTGACTAACCTTTGACAATGTGTTTGTAAGATCATCTAAAGATGATAAAGATCCTAATTCTTCACCCTGCAAAGAGCACAATAATGGTGTCAACATCAATGGAAAACAGTGCCACTGGCATCTTCGTTCCTCAACAGCTATTGAAAAGTTCATACAGAGCACAGATATCATAATATACCAGCGGCCACATTCTCTTTGACAAATTGAGAAAAGATGTGCAATAGGTACAGCCATTGATGAAACAAAAAGTGTACGCCATACCTATGAATAATAACTGCTCATTGATCACGATGATCAAATATTAGCCGATACTTTATACAATTTGAAAATTTCAGCACATGACTAGCACACTTCATTAATATTAGTCACTACAATCAATGTCATATGCATGAATAATTAGTGAAAATCGAACGAGATAATAAAAAATGATCCAATATTTCCAGCAAAGAGATTGTCAGTTGAAATCAAAATATAGTTCTACACACATTAAAAAATTTAAAGAAAACTACAACAGCCTGAAGTTTGACTGAGTCTCGTTTCATTACCTCTCTAGGTGGACTTTCATATTATTTGTTTCTCTGTTGTTCGTCAAAGAAAGTTATTCATGAAAATGGCAAAGGTCTTATTGGTCTCTTTATGAAACACATCCACAGGATCAGACCAGGAGGATGGGCTAAGAAATCAAAAGGTTTCAAGACAGACCTAAAATTGGCTTATCCTTGTGGATCAGCCACCATGCAATGATCTGGGTGTTCAATTTTCCAACACAATCTCAAGTCAAACGATGAGGGACTATTCAGCATGGAGAAAACCCACATTCGCAGTAACGAAAGAATATCATAAGCATAGAAAAGCGAAAATGAAGAAGAAACGAAGGTGTGGGGGGATGAAGATGACAAGAAAGAAGAGTAGAGAAAAAAAGGAAAAAATAATAAAATGGTCATAAAATAAAAAATGAGCATAAATACGAAAAATGAAAAAATCATTAAATTCATAAAGACATGGGGAATACCAACTTCGACAACATAGAATAACAACCAATAAAAGTAGCAAGCACAACACGTTGACAACAACAGAAAAAAAATTACAATACTTCAATTCAACACTTCCTGACTCTACAAGAAGGTTTCTTTTAACCATTCACCATTTCCAAGCAATAAAAAGAAAATTTGAGCAGAACGTGGCATTGGAAAAAGATACAGGTAACGTCTATCAATTGATCAATTAACCAGAAGTACATCAGTTTCCGCTAGATGTGCAATCTCTTATCGATACAAATAGTAGCTAGGTACTTAAGACATTCTCTCAGCCATTAAAATGCGGTCAGAAATCAACAAGCTCCCAACTATTTTTATTGCAATGAAAAAATTAAAAGGAATCTGGTAGAAGACATTAAGTCAGAAAAAAATACGACAGGAAAACACATTAACTAGCACAAATCCAGACAACAAATTCCGATTTCGTACTAACTGAAGTTTATACACGTAGTATGAAACTCGGTGTTCAATGAAATGAAAATGAGTTAGAATTATTTTTTTCTCCTTAACATGAACAGGCACGCCTTAACATCCCCAAATTTTGGTAAAAATTAGTGGTACAAATTTTCATGCATACAATGATCACGAGCTCATATAGAATCTCAAAGAATTTCGTCTCTAATACGATTTCAAGGAAAATACGTGAAAAAAACCTGAACATTCTTTAACCTCAGTAAGGCACTCGGGAGGACATACAAAAAGAATTTTTAGGGAAGCTTTCATCAGAAACTATTTCAGTGAAGAGGAATACAAGGAGACCAAAAAGGGAAGTCTTCATTTACCACCACCGAATTCTGAGGCCTAATAAAGCGTGGAAGAAAGTTATGGAAACATATTTCGACGTGAAATGAAGAAGCTACCTCATCCCTGTCCCCAAGTGAGGAATAGCGGTTATTAATGTCGTCCGCCCCAAGGAATACAACATCTTCATCCTCGTCATCCTCAAGTCCCCCCAATTCAACCTCTTCTACCGCATCCTTCCCAAAGAAGGCATACTGGGAAGCATCAAATCTTGTATCAACTGCGGAAAGACCCAATACCCACGTCAGGTTGAAGACGCGGCAATTCGATCGAACCAATATTCTGGATATGAAAGGGAGGCGTTCGGAAAATTAAAGAAAACATAAAAATAATGCAAAATCCAAAGAATTTATGAAGCGAATGGCTGAAACAGCCTAATGTTCCTTCCCAATATGTAAGAAATGCAGTATTCTCCGGCCGATTGAGAGAGTTCGATAAATTAACGGGAGAGAACAAAATACAGCGAACGGACGCCGCAACTGGTTGAAGCAAGTCCATATATTTCTTCCCAAAATGAAAAAAATACTGGGGGACTGGTCCTAGCATCCCCGACGCGATTACGGGCAGATTTCTATCATAAAACCAAACGATTAAATATCAATGACAGATGCAGGGGATAATAAATTATAAATTCTGGAAAACCAGATCAGTTCCGGGGGGATTCCCCCGCAAATCGGGGAAACCTGAAACCATGAGCAAAAATATGAGAAACCCTAAAACAGACCTGGGCAATCCCCACCCAGTTTCCCCGGACCGTCTCCGGGAGCCTCCCCACAGAACCCGAGTTCGTCCATCTCCACAACCCCGAAGCCACGCCACGCCACGCCGCCGCCCACTAAAATCTCGGCAGCGCCTGGATCCCAGAAACCCTAGACAACGATTAGAACCGCCAGCCTTCTGGGAATCTCTCAGCGACGATCGGGTGCCGGTAGCATGGGAACACGAAGCCTATCCTCGGCTTGCAAGACAAAGGATTTGTGTTGCCGGCGGTGGGGGGAGAGGTAGTGAGACTGGTGGAAGCGGCCTTCCCACCTCCCCACGAGGTATACACAACGGATCTCCTCCGTTCGTTTCGCCTCTCCACACTGATCTAACCTCCGGGGGGAAAACTCCTACCCGGACCCGGGCGAAGTCAAAATCAGCCTTTATATGGAAAATACCGAATCTTCGAAGAATAATGAGGAGGAAATATTAGGCACACAAGTTTAAGAAAAAAGCGTTAGCCCCTCCTGATGATGGGCTCTCTCTCTCATCATATCAACATTCCTTGCTGATAGGATGGGAGAGAAAATGTGCTTCGGGCTTTCTGACTGGAAAGGACTAGCCTGAGAAAACCATGAAGCCTGAATCCAGCTTTGATAGAGACCAGGCGTAACCCATTTTGTTCGAGTGGGCTGTTAGTAGGCCATTGCCTCCCCTGATTTTGCCCAAATCCCATGAACTGGGCCAACTGGGGTAGATACGTGATGGCCCAGGACGAAAGCTTTTACTGGGCTTTTGATAGCCCAATTAGGAAGCTGGCTCATGGACCTCGGCCCGCCACAATATTCCATGAGGCTACTTATGAGATATGTGGATGTGACATATGTGGAAGCTGCCATGGGCCAGCCGAAGTAGTCTATGAGGTCATTAAAAGAGGAGCCTTGACCTGCCAGAATAGCCTGTGAGCTTCTAAAACCCCATGACCTTGGGCTTATGTAATAGCTTATGCGATCGCTTCCTCTCATCACTCAAGACCATCTCTTTGTTCTTGGTATTCTTCTTGGGAAAGCCCTTTAGGAGTGAGATGGAGAGAGATTTTGATGTGCCTGTAAATATTCAATGATTGAAGGTTTTCTGCAATTCAACACATTTAGAAGCTCTCGAAATAAAATAAATGTATCATCAAGAAACCCGCCGCCACTGGGATAAATCGTCCCTCTCTCTCGCTTGTCGGCCGCGGGATGAATAAACTGTGCAGTCAAGTGAAGAGTGAGATACCCGGAGACCGAAAGGCCGGAGAGAGACAGACAGATAGAGACAGAGATAAAGAGAGATAGATGTCCAGTAACGGACAAGTCTTGTGAAGAGAGAGATAGGGAGAGACTCGCTGGCCGAGGGACCAGGATCATGGGGAGAGAGAGGAAGGTATATTCTGAACCACCGACGGGCTATGCAGATATAGAGAGACAGAGAGGATCCAATTGCCGACTAGCAGATCTCTGGGGTGTGTCTTGGCGTGTTTGTGTGTGTGAGAGAGAGAGAGAGAGAAAGATGAATATACTACGGTTACCGACGTGCCGTGTAGAGAGAGAGAGAGACCTTGAGCCCCGTCTCAGGTCAAAGTGAATGCACCCGACGAGCGTGGAGGGCCCATCTCTGGTCATGTCAAAGATATTTATAGACAACGAGAGAGAGAGATAGGAGAGGGAAGGGAATGGGCTTTCGGGTTGGACCCGACTTTAAGACAAGGTTGGAGAATCGGGTGCCAGGTTGAGCGGTAGGCTTAATTGGAGGTTTAATCATAAAAATTCAAGGCTCTAGGTTTAAAATAATTTATTATTCATTTCTGATATATTATCCATTTTTTAATTAAGCTCTTCAAGTATCGATTCACAGACAAAAAAATACCCGAGAGAGAGAAAGCGAGGGAGCGAGGGAGCGAGGGTGGCGAGGGAAAGGATGTTCCTCTAGAGACGGCCCGGGCCCAAGTCAGTATCGGCCCCACTCTAAGGCCTAAACCCAATCAAACCAGAGGCGCGCCACAACTTACCAAAAATAGTAATGAGAAGATTATGAATGGCCACCTCCGCCTACGCCCCCCCCCCCGTTCCACGTGGCCAAATATCATTCAATGGCTGACGCCCCATGATTTCTTTTATTTTGCTGAGATCTATGGCTATGGCTAGTATTAGAAGTTCATATTTCTATGTATAATTATTTTTAGTAAGAGAAATAATTTAAAATTTCATAAAAATTGAATATAATGCAAACTAATCGAATAATTTCCTATATGTATCATTTATCAAGGAAAAATCACACTAATGGCATAATATTTATATTACAAAGTTATTTATTATCATAAATATTATGACCCTTAATTTTTTTTCTCACTAAATGACTAAGTAATGGAAAGCTTCATCTCTCTATTATGACCATGTTCTGGGTTTAAGTGAAAACCCTTGGAAGGAAAAAATGGTAACCACAAAGCATGAGAGAGGGAATGGGTGGCCAACTGCATCGTCCATCATTTGAGTGTCATTTTTTTTTAAAGATGGTAATATGTATATTCCCCTACTGGGAAATTTAGTACAAGTACGAGTGGATATGATAAGATGAAATAATTTCAAATAAAAGTACAGGTGTGCCACGTGGATGCTCTGCCCGCACCTGCTAATCATCTTAGGATTCCCGTATTTAGACACTATTTAATTGGCCATTCCCCTGCCCAAAACCGGATCTTGTCAAGATAGTAGGAAATTGACGGCACGTGCGAGCAGCATGGCCCTAGAGCGGGGGCCTTCTCATCCAAGATGTCTCATTTTGTTAAATAATAATAAAAATATGAGGAAGTCAACGGACCGAGGGTGACTGAGACCCTGATGAAGCGTGGAGCTGGGGCCTCTAGTTGAACCTACCAAAGAGAGAGAGACAGAGAGGACGGAATAATTAAAAGATAAAAAGGGAGGAATATCGTGTATTTTAAGACAAAGTGGTCGCGATAGAGAGAGACAGAGAGCGTGTATTTTAAGACAAAAGGATAATATAGAGAGATGGAGAGAGAGGATTTAAAACCTAAGTAGAGAGCGAGCGAGAGAGAGAGAGAGGATTAGACCAGTCGCGTACAGAGATGTAGGGGGAGAGAGAGTTTGAATACACGCTGATAGAGAGAGGATTCGACGACAAGTGCATAGTTCACAGGTTTATGCGTCATATGGAGCCACGTAGCAGAGGGACAGTGCGTAAAGATAGAAATTGAGATAGAGAGATAGAGGTAGATAAGCTACTTACATTTCTATATTTGTATGCGGAGACGAGGGGTGAGGGGAGGGGGGGGGGAAGGTAAGTAGAGAGGGAGGGAATAAGGTCGTTGGTAGGTGGGAGAGGGGGCGGTCAAACACACGTGCGACCGGCACGTTGGGGACCTTCAAGTGCCGTGCTGTCCGAATCCGAAGCCTTTGACCGACCAGTTTTCACTGTCGGGCGGCCGACTGGCAGCCGACAAAGGTTTTCCTTGCTCTCATGCTACCATTTCCGGACTTTTTCACATGATAAAATATTATAATAAAATGTTTTAATTTATCTTAAACCGTAAATTTGGATTAAGCTGCCGATCGTATCGGATGGGTGAGGTTTTAATCAGTCGGAGGAGCCCACGTGGATTAATAATATTGTCTGGACGTTAAAATATTTAATAATGACGCTATATTTATGAAAAAATATAACAAAAAATATCTATTAATTAAATAACTTTGTACAAGTTTGTAGATATACATTTATATTTATCCAAGCCGCTGCTTAGGACAGTGCTTTGTCCGAAGATTTGGGAAAAGATAATACGCGTAAACCCTCCCTCCTTTCGAGTACTATCGTGCGCCGGTTCGTCCGGGTCTCGGGCAGCCTCATTTATCCTACGCCGATTTGCCGCCCCACTACATATATGGGATTTGGGCCAGGTGGTATTCTTCGTCCTTCCACTTCCGCCTCTCTCTCTCTCTCTCTGTCACTCGCGCTCGCTCGCTAGGCTCTCCCTGTCTGGTCTGTCTCTAGGAACCGGTGGAGAGGGAATGTCGGCGCCGGCGGAGATTGCTCTGAAGGAGCCGACCTTCAACATGGACAAGCTCAGCTACGAGATCTTCTCCATCCTGGAGTCGAAGTTCCTCTTTGGATACGACGAGCCGAATCTCCAGCTCCACGCCGCGCTTCCGCAGACGGTCTCTGCCGCATCGTCTTCCACCGGGAGGATCCGAATCCTCTCGGTGGACGCCGCAGGGGCCACCGACGGCCTCCTTGCCGCGGCCTCCCTGGCTCAGCTCGAGTCCTCCCTGGAGAACCTATCGGGGGTGGCTGCCGCTCGAATAGCCGATTTTTTCGACGTCGCCGCAGGATCTGGCGTTGGAGGAGTCCTCGTCGCCCTCCTCTTCACCCGCGGCCACGGCGGCCGTCCGCTGTTGTCCGCCGCCGAGGCTCTCGAGTTCATCGCCCGCAATCGCCGCGCGCTACAGTCGGCGGGGAAGAAGAAGGGGCCATTCGCCGGGATCTTCCGGAGGAAGGGGGCGGCGGAGCCTATGGATCGGATCCTCAGGAGGATTTTCGGCGAATCGACACTGCGGGACACGTTGAAGCCTGTCCTGATCCCCTGCTACGATCTCTCCACGGGCGCGCCATTCCTCTTCTCTCGTGCAGATGCCATCGAGACGGTGGGCTATGACTTCCTGATCCGTGAGGTGTGTGCCGCCACGGTCGACGCAGCGAGGATGCGGTCCGTCGACGGGAAGACGGCTATTGATGCTGTAGATGGTGGCGTTGCAGTGGGGAATCCCGCCGCAGCTGCCATCACGCACGTTCTCAACAACAGGATGGAGTTCCCTTTTGTCACCAGCGTCGAGGATCTTCTGGTGTTGTCCCTCGGCAACGGGGAGTCCGTGCCGGTGTGCGGCGGCCGACGGAAAAAGAAGCGCTCTCCGGCGTCGGCGTCAGAGATCCTGAGGATCGCCGGCGAGGGCGCCTCCGATATGGTATAGAACCTCCTCGCCCGCCCCTTCAGGGGTCCTCGAACCATTAACCGCATCAGTCCAGTCGAGGAGGACATCCACGTTTCAGATCCTCACGATGCGCGGTTATGATTCGCTGAAACTTTTTCATATTATTAATTCTTTTCCTAATATGGTAGGTGGACCAGGCGGCGTCCATGGCGTTCGGTCAGAACAAGACGAGCAACTACGTCAGGATTCAGGCACACTCCCCGATCTCCCACCATTCGATAATCTCGCAAAGAAAAATCCTTCGTATTACAGCGGGGAGTCGAATTATCATTTCCGTTTCCTCAATTTCTTGATCCAGGCCAGCGTCTTCGACTCCGGCAGATTCCGCGCCGGCAGCGGCGGCGCCGAGCTGCAGGCCGCGACCGAGGAGCTGCTGGCGCAGAAGAGCGTGGAGTCTGTCCTATTCAGGGGGAGGAGGGTGTCGGAGAGCTCCAACGGGGAGAAGCTGGAGTGGGTGGCGGCGGAGCTGGTGAAGGAGCACGAGGGCCGGAAGAGGTGCCCCATTCCCGTCGTCGTCCTCAAGCAGGGCAGCCCCCGAAGCTCCTCCTGCTCTCTCTCGAGCTCCTGCTCTCATTCTCCGATCCCCGCGGCCGCGTCACCCAGGTAGCCCCCCCCTCCTCCTAACATATCCCCATCCGCCACCCTCTCCTCCTCCGGCGGCCCTTCCCCCCTCGTGAGAAAGAAACTCGGGGAAGAAGAAAATGAACCCGTGGTTTAGCAGACAAGTTACATCTGCGGGTAACCCATGAGAGACTGCCTTCCCCACCCCCCCTTGCGGATCTTTTGCAGAACCGGTGTCGGCCATGAGCGGCAACTATTGTGGCGCCGCCCGGGGGGGGGAGGGGGGGGGGCGGTGCGGGGCATCCCTTTGTCTTCCTTCCTCTGCCACCTTCCACCGTCCTCTGCAGTGTGTAGCTCCCATCGTTTTTTTATACCCTTTTAGGCTCCTAGGCGGCACAATCCTGACGGTCCATATTGAGCGTGGTCCGATGATGTACAGTCGATGTCAACGTTCAAGTGTGGGTGACCACCACCAGCAGAATCGAGATTCGCATCTTCCTCCCAAATTTTGCATTTTAATCGCCTGCAAATCTCTAATCTTAATCTCCCCTCCCCCCAGAAAAAGACTACAAATTCTCCTTTCTTGTGAACATAACCTTTTCAAGACTTTCTAACCCCCATCATCCAGAGCTATAATCGTTGGAATTACGTAAATAAGACCCATATGATTAATTTCCCAAGGGAAGTTAAAGTTCCTACTTTAGCTCCACCACTTTCTCTTTTTCAAATATATTCATGATAGATATAATTAAATCATTTTTAAAGAACTCTTAGCGTTCCTCGATCAGACGCGTGTCACCCTCCCTCTCTCTCTCTCTCTCTAGCTAGGGTAAGTAAGTGCACATGAAGGGTTGGGGAGGAGCTTTTAGAGAGTGGAGAGAGAAAGGAGAAGAGATGCAGTCGGGCTTTTCCCCGTCCTCTTTTGCGGCGTGGCTACTCTCCGTGCTCCACCCTCTCCTCAGTAGAAAAGAGTCCCCCCCTCCGGTGGGTCAACGTGGGTTCTCCCTCTAACTACTGGGCGGATCCTTGTAACTTCACACCGCCCCACTCTCCGTCCACTGCCGATGGGTCACCATCATCAAGGTAGGGGGGGGGAGAGAGAAAGAGAGAGAGAGAGAGAGAGAGAAACTTATATCAACAGGGAATGAATAAAAAATAAAACATTTGTAAAATAATTATTCAAGAATGTATTTTTCATATTTTTATTTATAAAGTAATGACGATATTTAAGATAATTAGTAGACGAAATGTCCGGGAGTGGACAACTAAGGAGTAGTTTTTATCATTACATGTTGTGGTGGAGAAAGAGGGGAAGGTTCCCAAAAGATAAGGGATTGCCATAAAGAGACGTGGCAGAAGTAATTGCTTCCACGTGGCAATCAAAGCTTATGGCCTAAAAACTCTTCGATGCCCAGCCTTGGTCCAAAAAGGGCATTATCGCCATTGGTGAGAACCCAATTTTATTTTCATTTTCTGAGCCATGTTAAGGCCCAAGTTCGTTTAAATGGGCCCATGTGTTAGGCCCACTTAGCCCATTAACGCGTAGGATAAGTACAGTTGACTACAGATAACCGTACCTCGGACGATTTGAACAGTTTGGGGGAGAGAGAGACAGAGAGAGAGAACGGAGGACGGTGATGAGGGGGGCCCGAGCTCGATGGATTTCGTTCTTCCGTTCTTCTCTGCGATCGGCACGATCGACGCCCTCTGTTACTAGTCGACACTTTTCCTCAGGGTCTGTTCAATTCCACTCGGAGGTAGGAGCTAAGTTTCAATGCATTACTTTGTGACGCTCAATCGTCTGTGAAAGGGTTTTGCATCTTCTTTGTCAGTTTATTGAAACCGTGATATGCCAAATTTGGTTCGGAGAGTTCCTTGCCGTGCAGTGGGCAGACTTTCTGACTGACTGTGAACTTTCTCTGGTTTTTAATTATCTATGGCTTCACTTTCTTGGCAATTTTGTGATGACCGTAAATCCTCCTGTCTAAATGATGGTGTTTAGAAATTTTCATCACATTTAAAAAAAAATGTCTGTGCTCATTTTCGTCATATTTTTGATTCGTCTGACAAGCAAGTTCGTCGGATTCTGGTGCGTTCTAACCTACTTTATTAGTTTATTTTTAAGGATAGCCTCTTGATGTTGGGGAGTTTGAATTTTTCTATTTGTAACATTTTCGTCGAATATGCAGAATATGGGATTCATAGGCCTCGGAAATATGGGATTTCACATGGCTAAGAATCTCATTAATGCCGGCTACAAGCTCACTGTTCATGACATGTAAGTTTCATGCAATTCCTCCGAAATTTCTCAATGTCACGGCCTTAGATTTTTAATGTGGACGAGCTATCCAATACCTATTTGTGTATGTGCTAGGTTGGGCATCAGCATTGTCCATGAATATTTTATCTAGTGTTTGGTATTTGATAAGGCTTCATTTCAGGTTCAAGTCCAAATTTAGTTCGTTAATGGGGCTTTGCTCATTCCCTTGCCACGCTTATACCCTGTGGTAGCCGATTCCTTTATGGGGGAGGATTCTGCTCCCCCCAGAATATAGATGTATACTATATACAAAACAGTGAGGGTCAGGTGAATTTGAACTAGATTTGGCCTAAGCTCATCGTACTTAGAACCAAATAATGATAAATAGACTCAAAAGTGGATCATCCAATTCAGATTGACCAGTTCTAGGCTAAATTGGATCGATATGGTTTGCCCTAAGGTCTAGAGTGGGGTTAAATGATCCGGTATATGAATGGCACTACCTACCAGTCAACTGGCTGCCAATCAGGAACTGGAGCTCTTCCCTCAAATTATGCCATGAAATAATGGCCCGTAATCAATTCTTGCCGATTTTCCCGTGGCAAGCAAGTTCCAAATTCTTGCTGCGACTAATATTTTAGTCCTGTAGTTAGATTAGGACGAATGGATGCCACGTGAATGAATTTTCTCTGAAGGATGTGATCAGCACAGCATTTCCAAACCTTGCCTTGGCCAACATTGATTCAAGATTCAACCAATGTTAAAGTATGCAATTTAGTAACTTTTTAGAATTTATGATTTATATTTTTTCATTAGTAGCTTTTACCTTGTTCTCTCAGGCACGATGGAACTCACCAAGCAGTGTGGCCTTACTCTCTCTCTTGCTGTTTATATATACATATACGAATATTTAAGTATGTATATATATATATATCGAGTCTCTCCATATCTTTCCCTTAACCGCGCCTATCTGTCCATCTCTCCTTCTAGATGCTCTGTATCGTTCTATTTGTTCTATATTGATGATAATCAATAAATTAATGTTTTATGCTGTTGATGTTTTTTGAGTAAATTAGTGTAGTATATTTTGTATAGGTTGTGCTCATGATCGTTTAGAGGATAGTTCAAGTATTTATATTTTTTTATCTTTCTATTGAAGCTGATTAATAACTAAGCAATTTTTTCTTTTGAATTTAGCAACCATAATGCCGTGAACAAATTCAAAGAAATGGGGATTGCTACAAAAGAGACACCCTTTGATATTGCAGAGTCGAGTGACATTGTCATTACAATGCTACCTTCGTCAGCCAATGTGAGTTATGTTGATCCTGGTTTGACAATATTTAGTTTGACTATATTCTTTTTTCAGCTTCTAAACCTTAAATTTTCCCTTCTTTAGCCGGTGGTTGATAGCATAATTTATGACAGTGTCTTGGTTCATGATAATTTTTGTTGCCCTTCCTTCTTGGAGGAAGGGCTTGCAATAATGGCATCCATTGATTTTCTACTTCCATTTTAATTTACATTAAATTAAATTATAAAAATCACGGGCACCAAGTTTCATTTCTTAAAGAAAAATCAAGAGGGTGGTTGTTACCTTAGTTTTTTCCAGAAAATAATTGAGATTATTAATATAATTGTTTTTTCTAAGTGCTATGGTGGTACAGTAAGTTTTTTTTAATCGCCTGCATCGTAGGTTTTGGAGGTGTACACTGGGAGAAACGGCTTGCTGCATGGGAACAATCCTTTACGACCTTGGTTGTTCATTGACTCTTCGACAGTGGATCCTCTAACTTCAAGAACCATTTCAGAGGAAATATCAAATCGCCTCCTGAAAGAATGCAGAGGTCAGCCATTCCTCTTTGGATATTTAAGAGAATGTTTCTTCATCATTGATATTTGTTAATTTTTAAAAATTTATGTCGGAATTATTCTACCAAATAATAAGGGGTAATAAATCTCCAGAACAGACCTTTTGCCGGAAAGGCCTTGAAAGTCAATATTTTTCTGCTAGAATTTGGTATCAAAATCTGTTATTCTCTTAAGCAGATTAGTTATCTTCCCATTTCTGTGTAAACCCAGAATTTTTTACATGCAGGTGACTCAAGTAGTCCAGTCATGTTGGATGCTCCAGTTTCCGGAGGTGTTCCCGGTGCTGAATCCGGGACCCTGACCTTCATGGTACTTTTAGGATATCATTTCCTCTCTTAAGTGGCACTAAAAGCTTCTAATGTACTTTCTCACCCGTCGTAATCATCAAATTCCTTCTGGTAAAAAATTTCCTGACAATCTGAATTAGCTTTTACCAATACTATATATATATATTATGATTGGGTCCCTTTTTTTGTGGATCAAGGTTGGTGGCTCTAAAGAAGCTTTCAAGGCAGCAAGACCTGTGTTTCAGTCCATGGGGAGACAAACTGTCTACTGTGGTGCAGCAGGGAATGGTGCTGTAGGTTTCATATTCCCCAGGCTGCATTCTTAGGCACATTTCTTCATAATTAAACATAAACCATAGTTTTCTCACCCCAAATCATGTGAAGGTGCCTGAATATCAAACCATTATGCTCCTGATGGAAAATGGAATGTTTATGACTTATATCGGTATCTCTGATCTGATGTAATCACCAGCCTGGTTGATGAGGTTTACCTGATTTGTGCTCTGTAGGCGGCGAAAATCTGCAATAATCTGGCTATGGCGGTGAGCATGGTTGGGGTTTCCGAAGCCTTTGCTCTTGGTCAGCGCTTGGGTGTCTCTGCGACTGTGTTGACGGATATCTTCAACTCGTCGAGTGCTCGTTGTTGGAGCAGGTACCTTCATTTCACCCTACTCTGTTGATGAAAACAGGAGCTAATGGCAGGTGGCCTGATCGGCAATGCTAATTCCAATAGAGAGAGAGAGAGAGAGGTGCACTGACAACAGACAATTGACCACCCACGCAATACGGAGAGAGCCATTGCTAAGCATCATTGAATCTGGTGAGAAGCTCGGTCGATTTCTTAACGGTTCTCTGATCCATGACAGCGACACCTATAACCCCGTTCCCGGGGTGCTTGCCTCGGCTCCTTCCTCGAAGGGCTACTCCGGCGGGTTCTCATCGAAGCTGATGGTATGCATCCCCTGACCTCTGCATATACGGGAGAACTCGTTGACGGGCTCTTTCTTGGTCAACGAAGACTTTTGGCCTCGAATGAAGCAGAGGGTGGATCATCCGATGGTTGACAAATGTCAGACCGGCATCACCACCCCCCCTCATTCTGGTTTCTTTTTTTTTGGGGGGGGGGGTGGTCAACATTTTGATCCTTGATTTTGCCGCAGCTCAAGGACCTGGCCCTCGCATTCGCCTCCGCAAACGGCGTCCGGCTTGGTTGCCCGCTAGCCGCCAAGGCTCTGGAGATGTAAGCCCCCCGTGCTCCGCCAGGTAGTCCTTTCGCTTTCGACTGATGGATCGATTGACCGATCGGCCTCAGCCCTACAGATACGCGGAGCTGTGCGAGGGCGGGCACGAGGCCGAGGACTTTTCCTGCGTCTTCCGCCACCATTACTCCGGCAAGGATGAGAAGGGTTTCTAGAGAGAGAGAAAGAGAGCGAGAGAGAGAGAGAGAGAGAGAGGCGGAGATGGATCGGAGCTTCTAAGTAAGCATCAGATATCAGAGAACTTAAGAGTGAGAGAAAGGCCGTCTGTCAGGTTGAGAAGACGACGGGAACGGGCCCGTCTGTCAGTCAGATGGAGGAGAGATCCTCGTAGACGGACTTGATGCCCGGGCGCTCGGACGGGGGGCGAAGGCAGCGGAGGGCGAGGCCGAGGACCTCCTTCATGCCCTTTGCAGCCTGCGTGTCAGAGGCGACGGCGAAGGGGTCGAAGCAGTCGGAGCCACGGCCGCCGGCGACACGGAGCCGGACCCAGTCAGTGAGGTCGACCCCTCCCTCCTCTCCCGAGACGACGTCCCCGGCGCACCGCCCGGTGAGAAGCTCCAGCAGGACGACCCCGAAGGCGTACACGTCGGACTTGAACGATGGGGACGGCTTCCGGGCAGCCGCCAGCTCCGGCGCACGGTATCCCAGCACCCCGGAGTCGAGCACCTGCTCCACCGTCCCCGCCGCCGTCATCAGCCGGTGGAGGCAGTAGTCCGCCACCCTCGCGTTCAGCTCCAACCCGTCCAGCAGGATGTTGGTCGCCTTCAGGTTCCCGTGGGGGGCGGTGCGGTCGAAGTGTAGGTAGTTCATCCCCCTCGCCACGTCCACGGCGATTCTCAGACGTTGCACCCACGTCAGCGGCGGGCCCCTCCTCCCCGGCCGATCTGCACGCGGCATCACCCACAGAAAAAGCAGGAAAGAAAGAAAGGAAGAAAAAAGTTAGCAAGGAATCCGAACTTGGCGAACAGAAGCGTCGGCGGCGACGGTGGTGGAGGTGGCACACCGTAGAGGAAGGCGGCGAGGCTGCCGGGGGCGACGAAGTCGGAGAGGATGAGTTTCTCGTGCTGGGTGGGGCCCCAGTAGTAGCCCCGGAGAGGGACGACGTTAGGGTGGCGGATGTTGGCGAACTTCTTCGCCTCCCGGGCGAAGTCCCTTTTGGGCTTGGCCACGCCTTCCCGCAGCCACTTCACTGTCAGGAGGATGCCGTTGTCGAGGGTGGCCTTGTAGGAGGTGCCATGGCTGCTCCGCCCCAGCACCTCCGCCGGCGCCCGCGACAGCTGCTCCGCTGTCAGCGCGATGGCGTCGTCCAAAAAGTGCAGGTCACCGGCGAGCCGCCCGGGCGAGTGCATGTTGTCCATCTTCCCCCGGTGCTCCGCCAGGTACGACTCACCAGACTCCGGCGACCAGGAGAACCGGCTGGGCTTCGTCGGGGAGAAGCCGCCAGTGCCGGCGGAGGTGGCGGTGCCGGCGGCGGCGGCGACAGTGACTGCCTTCTCGTCCACGCTGAGGGCCTCGGAGGAAGCGCCGCCCCCTTTCTTCGCTCCGCTGCCGGCTGCTGCCGCGCCCTTGAAGGCCTTGCCGGAGGCCTCCTCTTCCGACGGGGAGCTCCGGGAGATCCTCCTGCAACTTACGACGACGACCGCAAGGATTAGAATCAGGACCACGGCAACTGAGGCCAGGATCGCCGCCAGCTTGACGACCGCCCTAACGGGCCGGTGGGAGGAGGAGCTTCCGCCGGGAGAAGCGCCGCCGTGCCCGGCCGGAACGCCGGGGAACAGCAGTCTGGCGTTCCCCGGGCGGAAAGACGATTCAGGGAACTTGCGCAGGTTCTCAGGGACGACCCCGGAGAGGTCATTGTACGATGCATTGAAGCTCACCAGCATGTCCGGTAGGGTTTCAGGCAGACGCCCAGTGAACTGGTTCCCGGAGATATCCAGGGTGGTGAGAGAGATGAGCTCCGACAGTGCCGCCGGCAGACGGCCGGAGAATCTGTTTCTGGCGACGTCAAGCACCTGGAGTCCGGCAAAGCTCCTGAAACCACCGACTCCGAGGCTTCCGTTGAGCCTGTTCCCGGACAGGTCAAGAACCAGGAGACCCGACCTCCTCTTCTCCGACGAGCCGGACTGAGAGAAGGAGATGCCCCCCTCGAGGAGGTTCTCCTGCAGGCGGAGCTCCTCGAGGGTCGCGGAGAGCAGCAGCTCCACCGTCACGGCACCGACGAACCTGTTGAAGCTGAGGTCGAGGACGGTGAGCTTGCTGTACAGCGCGGCGAGATATGGGGGCAGAGCTCCGGAGAGAGCGTTGTGGGAGATGTTGAGATGGTTTAACCGGAGGAACTGGGATGTCACCGGGGGGAAGGAGCCCGCCAGTTGGTTCCGGCTGAGGTCGATGAACTCGAGGCCGTTCCCCCACTTGGCCATGGCGGACAGGTTCCCCGTGAAGCTGTTGCCGGAGAGATCCAGCACCGTGCAGCCCCCGGTGAGCAGAGGGAGCTCGCCGGTGATGGAGTTGGAGGAGAGGTTGAGGTACTGGAGGGTCGTCGAGGTGATCATCCCAATGTGTCCTGCACCGTAACCATGGCATCATCTGCAGATTATTAGTCTCTCTTCCTGATGAGCAGGACGAGCTGAAAGAAGACGGCAGACGAATTCCACGCCGGCAAGCAGCTTGAAACATATCTCAGAGGAATTGGAAATCCGCAAGAAAGAGTCAGATTCAGACAAGAACACTACCCAATCCCAATCCCATCAGTTCTCCAAATCCTAGAGAGACCAGAGAGACTTCACAGGAAACTGGGTATCATCACTCAGGATTTATCTTCAGAAACCAGATTATTTGATTACCTGAGAGATTATTCGAGCTCAGGTCCAATTCCGAGAGCACGAGAGAGTCCTCTTCCAATAGCCCGCCGGGTACGAAGCCAGAGAATCCATTATTTCCGAGCCTGAGGACCTCGAGATTGTAGACGTAGTCGAAGCCTGGCAGCTCGCCGGAGAGCCTGTTGTGGCTCAAATCCAGCACCCTCAAACTCCCAAAGGTGGATATTCCCCCTTCGCCATTGATCAGAGACCCCGTCAACTGGTTATAGCTCAGATTCAGGTACCTCAGGCTGCCGGCGACGTCCGACAGGAATTTCATTTCCTTGGGACCCAGGCTGATCAGAGAATTCCCGCTGAGGTCGACGTGGACAGCGTTCGATTCTATGAGGAAGGTCCACTCGATGCCCCCCTCGAGATGGTTCCAGCTCAAATCGAGCTCTTCCAGCGTCCGAATCTCCTCTAACCCGGTGATTATCCTGCGGGAGAAGCTGTTGGAGGAGAGATTCAAGCTCACAAGGCTCTTCAGATCCGTCAGCCTGGAGGTTAGCGGGCCAGAGAGATTGTTCCTGCTGAGATCGAGCGACCGGAGAGAGATAAGCTCCCCGATGGAGATCGGCAGTCGACCGGAAAAGCTGTTCCCGGCTAAGGAGAGGTTCTGCAAACTTCTCAGCTTGCCGACCTCTTCCGGGATACCACCAGAGAAGAGATTGTTGGAGATGTCAAGGTACTCGAGACTCTTGAAGTCTCCCAACTCCCTCGGTAACTTGCCCGAGATGGAATTGTTGGCCATGGAAAGCTTCATCAGCATGGAAAGTTTCGCGAAGGCGTTCAGGTTACCGTCGCCGACGAGGCCGAGATTGTCCAGAACCACGCCGGCCACTTCGGCGCCATTGCAGACGATGCCGTTCCAGGACGATGGACAGCCATTGAAATCAATGGCCTCCTCGTTCCACGATTCGAGGATGTAGCCGGTTGGATCGTGGTTGATCCCCTTCTTGAACTCAAGGAGGGCGAGGATTTCCGGCGACGGCAGTTGCGCCATAGTCACCGCAGCGAAGAAGCACAGGGATATCACCACGGCGGCCACCATTGCTCTGCAACTCGGTGGAAACTTTGCGAAAGGAAGAGGGAAGGATGATAAAGTGGCACAAGAACCTGCCAATGTGGCTCGGCGCCTCCTCCTGGGCAATTACTAGCGACAATGAGGAAGAAGAGTTCCACGCGGATCTTAACAAGTCCCCTGGAGATGGGAATTCATCCCCCGGAGACCCACACCATTCCCATCCCTGCAGATCAGGAGAAACCCTCGGAAGCCACCGGACATCGCCATTAACTATCAGAGAACAAACATTTACAGAAATCTTCAGAGCACCACCATCTTTTCCTGTACCTCCCTCACTCGCCGCCGCCAGTAGCTGGAGAAACCCGGGAAGGGCAGGCCACCTGCTGGCCCGCAGGTGGAGCTGAGAGGCCGACGCCCTCCGCTCTTCTCTATCCCCCTCCGCTTCAGAAAGCAGGGCCCTTCCTCACCACGGGACCCCGACGGGAATAACAAGAGCTGGGGATGTGGAGGGAGGAGAACAAGGGAGAACCCTAACCCTAGAGGGTGGAGCTTCTTGCCGTACACATGCCACTGGTCACACTCCTCGAGCCCATCTCTGTTGCGCGCGCGCGAGAGAGAGAGATCCGAAGGGTGAAGGGGAGCACGGTCTTATTAGATGGGCATTCTTTCTGTGAGAGAAAAGCTCGGAATCCAATAGCCTATATTATATATATATATATTTCCAGTTTTATTGGCTTCCCGCCAAAAAGGTGTGGGGACAGGCTCCAGCGGACGCCAGTCACTTTCTAATGCAGTTTTGGAATGAAAATCACGTGCGATGGCCCTTGGGCGGACCCACACCACCCTCTCGGCCAGAGTTGCTGAAGCTTTAAATCAAAGGAACATAATTTATATTTGACTAAGAAATACACACATTGGCCGGATAAGAGGGAACACACACCATACACACTCCATTTATATGGGCTGTTAGGGCAGTGAGAACCCTCCATTTATGCGGGAGAGTCACCTGTGACAAATCCCCAAAACTAACTTTGTTACGTCATCCTCATAGAAGATACATCATCTTCAATGGAGTGGGACCCCATACACGTCCCATAAACACCATCTAATTTTGGTGGTTAAGTTGTCATCTCGAGATAACAGTTTAGCCAAGTTTTCAAAAGGGTGGCGCTTGCGAGTTTAAGTGGGTCGACCTCTGTAGCCCATTTGTTCGTGCACTAGATTGACCCTCTAGCACCATAGCCTGACCCTCTCGCATACTCAGGCAACATAATAAATTAGCAGGCCAACATACCTGTACTCGTGTGTAGAGGGGTGTGACAGAGGTTGGGGGACAACAAAGTAGAAAAAAATTCGATCAGTCCTCTAGATAGCTGTCTTCTAAACTGGGAAACATATAACTAAATAATTGAGAAATTCAAGTTCTCAAGTAAACGACTAATATCTTCATGGATTCGTGGTTACTTTAAATACCTCTTATTCCACCCACATTTGTAAGTAGACCACATTGTTGAATGCCCAAATTGGGGGATCCCCACCTTCCTCTATTTGAAAATTCATATATCTTTATTTTATTTTTATTAGGCACATAATATATTTGAGAAATTAACAAAATTCGACAACTATTTGAATTGTTGACGAATCTGATCTTGATAAAGAAATCTAGGTTCTAAACCTATAGAACTGACAACTTGAATTGTTGAACAACCTTGAATCCAAGATCAAGATTATTCCCTTGAGTCCACAAGACTTATCTATCATGAAGTAAATTCAGACTTTCTTGTAGTCATTAATAGAGTTCAAAAATAATAAGATCTTCTTTTTGACATTATATCAACAAGACTCTATACATCAAAATGAATATAATCCAGCACTCTTTTGTTGTTATAACTGATTACTTTGAATTTTACCTTACACTATTTTCTTATCACATAATATTTGTAAAATTTTAATTTGCAAGTTTTGACTTTCTTAAGCAATCTACGAATATTAATTTTTTTACTATCATTCTCACTAATATGAATTAATCTCTTGTGCCATAAAAGTGTGGTATCTTCCATGAGACCGTTAGGTGTTACTGGTGATGATTCACCTACAATATTGATTCCATCAAGTTTGTGTACATTGCCTTGTAGTTTTTCACCTTTTCTTATAATAACACCCCATTACGAACTTTTAAAATTTCATTATCACCTTTGTAAGTAAAACTATTTGAATCTAATGTTCCAATAGAAATTATATTATTTTTGAGATTAGATATATATATGTCTCACATTTCCTCAAGTTCTCATCATTCCATCAAATATTTTCATTTTTATGGTGCCAATTCAATGACCTTATATGAAGAATCAATACTCATAACATAGCATGTATCATTTGCTAAGTGTCAAATCTAAGAATCTTTTAATCCATTATTTTAGTGAAAACATAAAGCATTTCACCACCATTGTTCTCATTTCTTCCTTCGCAACATTTCCCAAATATATAGAGTCATTATTACTATTTTTCCATTGGTTTCTTTTAGGACAATTTTCTCGCCAAGTGTCATTGTCAGGTCAATTAAGATATTCTTGATTTTTAAGCAAGTTATCCATAGATTTTGATCTAGACTATGATTTTCTCCTCTTGGTGGACTTTATTTTCCCTTATTATAATTTATGGAGACTTGTCTCTCTATTTCCACAACTTCCACATTTATAGATGCTTAATGAGGATGACACATAAAATATTATAATTTATAGATAATTTTATATAAAATTATATTTCAAAACACTACCTCTCTATTTCTACAACTTCCACATTAATAGATGTTTAATGAGTACATCGTATACAATGTTATAATTTATGGGGACTTTTATGTTAAATTACATTTTGAAACACCACTGCTTTGTTTCTACAACTTTCACATCAATAGAAGCTTAATGAAAATAGTATAGATAATATTATAATTTGTGGGTACTTTTATTGGAAATTATGTTTCACAACAAAACCTCTTGTTGTGCTCAAATTGTTGTCTATTAAATGAGTTTTTTAAAAAATAAAAATAAAAATAAAAATTGGAAACTAAATTCCAAGAGAATTACATAGGATATCTAGTGAAATTAGGTTGTTTCCACAATGATGGTAAAAAAATAAGGGTGATTAATTATTCTATGATCTTGATTGATCTAAAAAATGTGTTAAAATTAGTGGAGTTTCTTTCAAGGACAACATTAGTACAATCAAAATAGATTTTTATTGAAAATAATTTCACATTTGTCTTAAATTGAGAAAAAATGAATTTTACATAAGTGATGTTAATTTTTGGTTAATTATGTGATTTTAAATGAATTTTATATTCATGTTTTTAAGTTAAAAATAAATTAAAATAAAAATAGTAAAAAGGAGGGAACTTGCTAGCCAAGTAATATTTGGTAGGCAACCCCTTAGTTAGAGGGAGACTACTTGAGTGGGTGGACTCAGATCATGAGGAACCACAAGCTAGACAAGTGATTTGAGTACTCATATAGAACATGTGTTTATCACTCATCTTCTACGTCACCGAAGGGGAGTCAACACATGAGATAAGGTATGATCTCGTCACATGTGTTCTATGGGGGTGAATCACTTATTATCTCTTCTCCTCAGGTGGTCCTAGTAATAGTATCATTATCATGAGTTAATAATTAATAAATAATCTATTTTTATATCTTAACTCATGATAAATATTTTTATGTTAATACTAAATCGAGAAAAATGATTGTTATGTAATTAATGTAAATTTTTAGTTAATTATGACTTTATATGATTTTTATATTCATATTTGCAAATTAAATGAAGGAAAATAAAATAAAATAAATAATACTGAAAATACTCGTAAGATATTAGAAAGAAACATAATTATGAGCTCACTATTTCAAGAGTATTTTGGTCTTTTGTTAACACTATCTCATGCAGCCAAGCGATCTACGAAGATTTGAATCCCACAAAAGTCAAAATTATAGTTTTTATTTATTTTAGTTTGATTTTTCTGTAGAGCACCAATCAATGATCAAGCTGTTGGAATCATTTGATCATCCATATAAATTTCATCAAAGATATTTGTGGATCATCGTTACCTATTGATGAAGGATTATGGATAAAAAATCATGAATTCATTGAGAAAATCATCTCTAGTTGATTGACAAATGAACTATTATAAAAAATAAGGTGATCCATTAAGAGATTTGTTAGGATCTTTTTATAGTGTTCCAAATGTAATAAAGAGTCTTTTTTTGCTACTTGTACATGGGGATGAAGCTCCTTGAGATGCAATCCACTTTCATTTAACCTAACTCCATCGAGTGACAACCATTGGAGATGCTTCATCAACTTTCAATGTAATTTCCTAGAATTTGAACATGAATCTAAAAATTGTTCAAATCAAGCATGTACAATGAGAGCCTTTGGGGCCATGGACATCATAAGAAAATCTTCTCAAACATCTAGAATTTTGATGATCACTGCCGTGATGTTAGAACTCTATTTTACATGTTTTAAATTTGATTAATATTTATATTAATGAGATTTTCTATGATTTAAAATTTATAAATTCTTCTTTAATTAATTACAATTTTGTTGACCAATTTACAATTTATAAATCTCAATTTGATCAATTAAATTTTATGTAATCATTTAAGTAATAATTGTTGGGCAAAACTTTATTTTTTACCCAAATAATTGTTCATCATACATTGATGTCAACACCCAAATTTCTCTTTTTTATGAAATTTCAAATAGATTTTGTTTTGATAATTTGCTCTAAAAATCATTAAAAATATATTCCTTGACAAAAAATCTGAAATTTCACCTTGTATTAAGTTGAAAAATTCTGACTATTTCGTGAGCTGTTTATTTAAATTATAGTTAATATATTCATTCTGAAATATTTTTATAAATTTTAAAAATAATATTTTCTAGTTTTATAAATTTTAAACTTTGGTTATTTATTATACAATGATTAAACCACATTACTTAGTCATTTTTTGCTTATGGGGGAAAAAAGTCATATTCATAAGAAAACCCAAACTTATATAGGTCTAAAGTTCCCCAAAATAACTGAAGTTGAATTAAATTGTCAACTTTGTCAATCTAAATAATTCCAAAAATACCCATACATAAAGAGAAGGTAAAACTTTTATGTTTTCATGATTTTAAGGGTATAGTGGAAAAGAATTTAATTTATTTTATGCAACAAATCATATGCTCCCATGTGATCGCTAGACCTTTGAAGAACACTAACATTAAAGAATTTCTTTTATTTGACTCTATGATTTTTCTATAGGGAAATAGTTAATAGAAAGAGTGCGGGAGATGGTTGACGTGACTTAATCATTATATAGTAAATCACGCAAATTTAAAATTTATAAAACTAGAAAATATGAAATTTCAGATATTTAGAAGTATTTTTGAATAAATATATCAATTATAATTCAATAAAACTTCCAAAAATAGTGGTAATTTTCCAGATCGATCACAGAAATGTAATATAATATCAGGTAATTATTCAGAATTTTCCTCGAATAATACTATTTTCTATGAATTTTACACTAGAAAATAAAAATGAAATATATTTAAAATTCACAAAAAAAGGAATAAGGTTGCGGATGTCAAGATGACGTTAGCGCCCGGCAAATACGAATTGGGCGGAAATAGAGTTTCACTCGACAATTCTTACATAAGCGGTTTCAGACGATTTAATTGATCAAATTAAAATCTGTAAAAGTAGAAAGAATCATAATTGAATGAAGTATATCTTGGTAAATTTAAATCACACAAATTATCACTAAATGAAGTAGAAATTAAGTTGAATGTAGAAAAATAGAATTCCGACGTCACGGCGACAATGCGTCGGTGATGCACCAGAATCTTCAGTGTTTGGGAGGATCATCGTGCAGTGTTTACGGCCTCGAAGGCTCTCTTTAGACAAGGACGACGTAGGCAATCTCTAGATCTCTTTGCGAAGTCTAGAGATCAATGAAATAGGTCGTCGAATCGTCTCCGGCAGCTGTCACCCGACAGAGTGGAAAAACGACGACTTTGTGGCTCTCTGGCGGCTGTCACCCGACGGAGAGGAGCTAGATAGAGGTGGGGCGTGTGTCAAGGAGCTTCATCCTCAGGTCTACGCAGTAAGAGGAGGCTCTTCATTGCATTCAGTACACTCTCAGGAGGTGGCAACTTGTCTCCTGGCAAATTGTCCTCTTCTCGACGACGATTTGTTCGTCGATCAATCGGAGATGCTTTACTCGATAGATTCACGATCCTTTTGTCATGAATCGTTCAGCAATTTTAGTAACAATGCTCTGCAAATCGCGTTGACGAGATTTTTGCTGATGATTCAGCAATTCTGGTGGCTTAATCCTTCATCGGCGATTTGCAGGAAAGTCATGATAATCAGATAAAAAATATGAATTTTGGCTCTAGAAGAATTCGAACCTGAGCCGGTTGCCTGCCCCTTTTTGGGGAAGGTGTGATGTAGGTTTAATCTCACATCGGTTGTGCGTCGAAGTTTCTGGCGAATATATAGTAATATTATATTTCCGATCAAGTCCCTTTTTCACGCATGTACGACTACTCTTTGTCCCACAACCAGCTGGCCACTGGTGACGTGGAAGGGGAGTGGCGCACACGTGCCCCATCGGTCCAAGCTGCTCGAGCCCCTACTCGCGGCTACTCCCCGACTACGCTTTCGACCTGCTTGCGAGCCCGACTAGCCAGCGGGTCCCTCTCATTTTGTTTTATTTTTATTTGTATTTCTTTTTCTTTATTTATCTCAAAAGTAAGACTATAACAATCATATAAAATCGTATAAAATCACATAATTACCCAAAAATTCACATTAATTAACTGAAAACCACTTTTCACACTTTAACATAAATATAAGTCTATTTATCACGAGTTAAGACTAAAACTATATTATTTACTAATTATTAAGTCATGATAATGAAAACTTATCAGTTATCCACACTAGTAAAGTTATATTTAAAGGCCCCATTCTACCCCAAACTTAAAGGACTTCAACTTCATTTATTTCTCCATGTTTTTTCCCAGCCACATGGCATTAAACCACACTAGTTGGATGAAAAATTATGAAAATTGAAGGAAGGTTAGATGTAGTTGCTTGAGCCCAAAGAAGGCTGAGCTCAATAAGACATGAGGGCCAAATCTTAAGCTAATTGTTCTAAAAATTTAGTCTACTATAGAAGGTCAAACCCTTACCTTGTGGTGGTGCTCTTGAGAAAGGTCACTTGATCCCACTAGTAAGAACATAGCTGATTCTTAATGCTAATCATTCATAGGTCGATGAGCTGTACAGAATAAAACCTATTGGGTCAAATAGTTGACTAATTTCCAACCCCCCTCCCTCCTCACCCCCCCCCCCCTTTCATTTTCCACCCGCCACCCCTTTTGATGATGTTTGACGAGCTAAAACTTGATCAGTTAACATGGGGAATGTGGAGATGAAGACCTCATTGTAGAAGAGCGGAATGTATGTAGGTGATTAAAGTCAAACTACCTCATAGTGGGACTAAAAGGAACTTTGTGGGCCCACGTCAACCACTCGGCCAATGGATGGAAGTGGGCCCTGATGTGGAGCCCGTGAATGAACCTCCCCTGGGCCTACTGAGAGCCGCGCCTTCTGTTATTATTTTAGTTGAAAGTATGTTGTTTTTTAACTATCATGAGGAAAATGATATGTCACGATTTAATAATATAATTAATGGCGTAACAATCTGTGTCGTACCCCGGCCACAGTCCTCTCTCTCTCTCCAGATTTTCAGATTCGCCTCCTCTTCCGATCGGCTCACATTCTCTTGGAAACTAGGGTTTGCTACGCAGATCGATTCTTCGGGATCGGAGACGGAGCATGCCAGAGCGCGAAGCATCCTATCATTTTGTCTTGCAGGAAGATAGAGGAGAGGAAGTGTGTGGGGAAGAATAGGGTTAAATGCTATCCTAGTGCCGGAGATCTCCTATTCTTGCCTTGTCCGAGGATCTGGGGAGGAAATGGACGTCGAGGGGGACCAGATGCGCGAGGAGGTCACCATTTCCATGTAGGATTAGGGTTTACCCCTTCAATTTCTGCTTATCCTTCGCACTTCGTCGGCCCCCCACCCCCCCTAGGTGTCTGATTTTGGTCGCCATGAAGCGGCCGAAGAGCAGCGGCGAAGTGCGAGTTGCCGTCGGGGTGAGGAGGTGGAGACCGCTGCACATGCTCCTCGGCGCGGCGGCGCTCTACCTTCTCTTTATCTCCGTTAAATTTCCCCGTTTCCTAGAGATGGCGTCCATGCTGAGTGGCGAGGACAGCTTCGTCGGCCTCGACCGCTCGGTCGCAGGGGACGACCTCAGCAAGGCCCTATTACGTTCTACCTACAGCGATTCATTTCATCGTAAGCTAGAGGATAGCCGCAACCAGAATGCCCCCCACAGGCAAGAGAACTTGCCACGATGGAGTAACGCGGACTCACGGATGGTCGTCCGGGGGCACGAGCACCAGTATGGAAGGATTACCTGGCAGATCATGAAACGGCGGCGAAATGGAACAAATGGTGATGACCTTTCGGAGTTGGAACAGATGGCGGATGAGGCATGGACGCTGGGGACGAAGGCATGGGAGGAATTGGAGAGCTATGAGGCAGCTGGCGGCAGCGATCAGGAGACAACTGATGTACCTGTTTCTGCGAAGCCTGAGACTTGCCCAACCTCACTATCTCTGAACTCGGAGGATATGGCAGCTGCAGGTGGTGGTGGGGAACAACTCATGTTCCTCCCCTGTGGGCTCTCAGCTGGGTCATCCATAACAGTGATAGGAACACCCCATGTTGCCCACCCGGAGTATGTTCCTCAGCTTGCGAGGCTGAGAAGAGGGAATGGGAATGTAATGGTCTCCCAGTTCATGGTGGAATTGCAGGGTCTTAAGGCTGTGGATGGGGAGGACCCCCCAAGGATCCTGCATTTAAATCCACGGCTTAGAGGAGATTGGAACCAAAGACCAGTCATTGAGCACAATACATGTTATCGCATGCAATGGGGCAATGCCCAGAGATGTGATGGATTGACCTCTAAAGGCGATGATGATACTGGTACGAGATTGTTCTTATCTTTCTTTGTGATATCCACAGTTGATCATGAATGAAGGATGGATGGAGTTATTACTAGGCCATTAATTCTACTTTTTTCACTAGAAGGAACCCATTAATGTAGGCCATCACTTCCATTCAAAATAAGGACTAAAGGTTTTTGGCCCAATAGGCCCAAAAATGGTGGGCCAGGTGTCCAAGAAGCTTAAAAGATGGCTAGAAAGATCAGAAGACCATAAAAGGCTCAGATCAGATTTAGCCAAGAATAAAACATCTTAAATGCATCATAGATTAGTTGTCCCACTTTTAGCTTATTTTCCTCCTTTTAGTTTATTTTGAGTTCATGTAAACACACCTTAAATTTGTTTTAAGGCGCCATTAAAATGGAACCACCTTTTTAGGGGTTCTCTAATAGAAACTCATCCTATTTAAAGACCCCACATTGTATCCTCAGAAGTATTATTCAAATATCAGGAAATTTCTCCTTTTTTGAGATTCTAACTATTTGCTTGTGGATTCAAACGCTTCCCTTGTGAATTCAAAGGCTCCATTTGGTATTGTGGATTCAGGCTCACCACCTTGTGGATTCAAGGGTCAAAGTTTAGAGAATTCAGGGCATGACTCTTCATGGAAATTTGTTTCTTATGGAATAAAGGAGGAAATTTCTCCATGCAACTCCGGTTACATCACCATGGAGAATTGGCCTTCTTCAATCTCAGATAATTTTAGATGGCCCTTTCTTCTGTACATTTTCCATCTTCCAATTGATCACATTGAAGACTATAGTTTTCTGCCAAAGATTATTTCGCCTCTAGGAAATAGTAGGTGCTTATAGACAGCTTTCTTTGTAGCTTACGTCCTTTGTGGAAAAAAGCTTTCTTTGCCTTGAAAGATACTTTGGTGTCCTCTTTCTAGAAAAAGACGATGGCACAATTCAGAAACTATGACTTCAAAGTGATGCCGTGGACTGGGTACTCATCATCCAACTTTCCTTTGCGAATTATAGAAGAAAGACATCAAAGTCATGATTTTAAATTGAGGCACCTAAGTGCATCAGCATTCTGTGTCTTTATTTTTTTTCGTCGAATTTGTGGAGTGACGTTTTCTGAAAATTTTATAATGAATTACATAATGAATGCTGGTGTTTTGGTTGTTTTGTTTACGTCAGCATGTTTTCCCTGAACCTTTCAACCTTCTTTAATTTTTTATGTCAACAGTGGACGGATTCATCAAATGTGAGAAGTGGATACGCAGTGATGTGGTTAATTCCAAGGAATCTAAAACAACCTCATGGTTACGAAGATTCATAGGCCGTGCAAAGAAGCCAGAAATGACCTGGCCTTTTCCTTTTGTGGAAGGCAAATTGTTCATACTCACGTTACGAGCTGGTGTAGAAGGCTTCCATATTAATGTTGGTGGTCGGCATATAACTTCTTTCCCTTATCGAACTGTAAGTTTGTGCTTTTTTATTTTTCTAATAATTACCATACCTGTGTATATCATGGAAACTGTATTTATGATATCGTGTAGCATTCACTGGATTATGCGATGTTTTCAAAGCATTCTATAGTCTAGGTGTTTATATAGCTCATTTATTCTGTGATATGCGGTATTATGATTAATGAGGTCCTTTTTTCAGGGCTTCACACTTGAAGATGCAACAGGATTATCAATTAAAGGAAATATTGATGTTCACTCTGTATATGCTACGTCACTTCCTATGTCTCACCCAAGCTTTTCACTTCAGCGAGTCTTGGAAATGTCTGAGAAATGGAAGTCTGTTCCTTTATCTGGTCGTCCACTAGATCTCTTTATTGGCATTCTTTCAGCAACCAATCATTTTGCTGAGCGGATGGCTATAAGGAAGACCTGGTTCCAATCTTCAGCAATCAGATCCTCAAAAGTTGCTGCACGTTTCTTTGTTGCATTGGTAATGTCATTATACTCTGGATTCGTCCATGGAAACGTTTTCTCAATATATATGTTAGCTTTTTTTCTCTTAAAGTTTATCTTTTGAATAAATGCTCTGGGCTATTTGAGATCCCGGCATCAAGGCTTCTATGATGCCTAGACTAATTCTAATAGGAGCAAATGTAAACATCTTTAAACCGTACACAATTATCTGTCATTCTGATTTGACTTTTTCCCTTCGTCTTGATTTTGGACTTGATGCATTTATGTATTCCTTGCGGGTTTATAAGGTTTGTTAAAAGAGAAATGTTGTTTAAAAGTTTTTTTTTTTTCATTGGTTGGATCATCCCTGTTGATTACATCCAACATTAATTGCACTACTCTAACAAATTAATCTCCTTAATTAGTTGCATGTAAATGATCGCTTCAATAAAATGGTTGATACAATATTAATGAGCTGAGGGTTTATCACCTTCTGTTTGATTTTTGGAAATAGGATAATAAACATTCACTTTGGGTATTTTAAAAAACTTTAAGAAAATTCTAAATATTAAACAAATTAATGCGATTTTCATTTTTTGTTTAATTATTTTTTGATAATCCCATTTTTTACTGAATCACATACCGTTGGGACAGAACCCATTTGGTGGCTGTTTTAACCCTATTTGATTTAGGCTTGGAGCCCTCTAGAGATGGTTTGAGTTCAACAATGATAATGGCTGGCTATTTTCTAGGTTGGAACCTAATTGTTTATGGGTCAGATCCCCTTCAATTTTATGTCTGTAGGTCATTTTCTTCCATGAGCAGGCGCTTGATTCGTAATGGAGTAGCCATTCAAAGGCGCTCAACTAATGTTAATAGTTTGTGACTAAACTACTTGGTCCCCTTAGGTGGCTTTGCCCACTTGATTTAATGGGCCTGAACTTCTTGAGCCCATTGGGTGGTGCAGCTTGAGTGACCTAATGAGTCTGAACTCCTTGGGCCTGTTTGGTAACGGAGCCGAAATCTATTGGTCTGATAAGTCGGTTTTCCTCACACTTCACAATAGGTACCCAAATTTTCAGTCTCAAAAGGCTATTTCCACCTAACGTAACGGGCCTAAGGTTCTTGGGCCTATTATGGGACTTTGTCCCCCTAACCTAATAGATCTTAATGCATGTAGTGCTGCAGGCTTGGGGTTTTTTCAGTTGAACCGATTTGTTTGCTATCCCACCGAACATACCAGGTCCCATCTTCTTGTTATTGGCCTTGTTGTATAGTGGGCCTGAATCCCAACTGGGTCCCCGTAGGCAGCTTTGACCAATTTTGGGGGGAAAAAAAACTTTTCTTCGAGCTTATTGAGTCCTAGGGGCCCTTTATTTGCCATGGATCCTTTTTTATTTTTTTTATTTTTTTATTATCTTGCAAAGGATCTTCTAACACACACTTGGCATATCAGACCTGCACTTCTTGATTGTGTGGGCTCATTAGGTGGATTTCCCAAAATAATGTGCCTACTCATTGGTTTTAGCCAATTCAGCTTCGCCATTGTTTTCCTTTTTTTCTTTTTCTTTTTTTCTCTGGGACCCTTTACTCCCTCCACTTTTTATTTCGCTTGTTCTTGTTGGTGGTCTTTTGGGTTCTTCTGCCAACCCCTTTTCCTTTGGCATCTTTCCCCACTTCTTGAACCCATTTTTCCCTGCCCACAAGTCATCCTTTTCTACGTCAAGAATCTAAGCCTCCTTTGTGTGCATTAGTCAACAGAGCTTCCAGCGTCTGGTGGCAGGTTTCTTCCCTTTTCTTAGTTGAGCGGCAGAAGCTTCCTTCGTAACTGTCCATTGTGTGATGGTGGGTTCCATTGCCCCCCACCCCCCACCCCCCCTCTCCCTCCGCTAATCTTTCAGAGGACCAGAATCTAGGGGGACTAGCAGGTTGTTTCTGTTGACTTGTTGTCCAGTGATGTTTCTCTGAGATGGCCAATGGCTAACTGACTTCACAGTGGACTTTCATGTACTCATGTTTATCATGCTTTTAGTAATGTGATTATGCTTTCTCGGTGAGATGTCTGCTTATTCCATAGCTGATGTCAGAACCCAAGAAAAGAGGTCAATGCGGTGCTGAAGAAAGAAGCTGACTATTTTGGTGACATCGTGATCTTGCCATTCATAGACCGCTATGAGCTCGTGGTCCTGAAGACCATCTCAATATGTGAATTCGGGGTGAGTCAGATTAACTCCCTGCCTGCTTGTTGAGTGTTTCAGTTTTTATTTTATATTTTTTGTGTCCCTGTGGGGAGTCCTTGAGCTGTCCAATTCCCATTCAGGTCCACAATCTGACTGCCGAGTATATCATGAAGTGCGACGACGACACGTTCGTTCGTGTGGACACGATACTGGGGGAGATCCAGAAGAATCCCCGTAGGTCGCTATACATGGGGAACCTCAACCTCTTGCACAGGCCTTTGAGGAGTGGAAAGTGGGCTGTGACATTTCAGGTAAGGTCACGGCGCTGAGCTGTCCATACTGTGGACCTTGTTTGGTAGATTTTTAAGAAGTCAACTGTTGCACACTTCTCGGGAGAAGTTGACTTTTAGTGTCTCTAATTCTCTGGAACAACAGGAATGGCCGGAGGCGATATACCCGCCCTATGCCAATGGACCTGGCTACGTGATCTCCAGCGATATTGCGGCCTTCGTCACCTCCCAGCACCAGAATCAGAGCCTCAGGGTGGATTATCCACCGCTTGAATAAATAACTGATCCATTTTCATTCATTAGTTGAGTTTATGTGATCTAATTAGCGATGTGGATGACGTGGCAGCTGTTCAAGATGGAGGACGTGAGCATGGGGCTTTGGGTGGAGCAGTTCAACACGAGCTCGGCGGTGCAGTATTCCCACAGCTGGAAGTTCTGCCAGTACGGCTGCATGGAGAACTACTTCACTGCCCACTACCAGTCCCCCAGGCAGATGATCTGCCTGTGGGACCAGCTCGCCCGCGGCCGGGCCCACTGCTGTAACTTCAGATGATCCCCCTCCCTCCCACATGGGGCCTGCCTTTGCCAGTTTTGGCTGCCATTTTTTCCCTCCTGTCAATATCCCTCTCCGTTGATTGCAGCCACCGGTCCTGTTGACCTCGCCCCTTGTAGAAAGTCTAGTATATGCCCTTTGTTCTTTCTCATTCACTGCGCAGCCTGTCGACAAGGAGATGGTGGCAGTGGGGAGAGTTGTGTTCAAACTCGGTGTCCCCGGCCCAATTTCTAGTTGTGTTCATCTCGGGGGGAGAAGAGGGAAAAGTCAACCCCCGTGTCTTGTGCCTCATTTGTTACCCTACATGTGGTGGCGGTGGGGAGCTTGGTGTAATCTCTCGGTGGTCCTGACCCATCCTCTTGACCCCGTGTCTTGTGGAAGTGGAGTAGAGTCAGGCCCTCGCTTCGCGCTGTGATAAGATTGACATTCAGACAAGGCGGAGATGTCCGTGATCTTGGTGACCCCAAGCCTGCTTTCTTGGTTGACTATTGTGGGAGCCTTCTTGGGAGCAAAATGTAAGAAGTCAACCCTTCTCCAAGACGAAGAAAGAAGCCCAAAGAACTTTAAGATATCCCCATTGTCAGCGTGACTTGAATGGTCCAGATCGTTGTTATTAAAAACGTTGCGGGCATTGTAGAGGGAAACACCAGGACAGTCGTAACAGGTTTGTGAGACGGACGATCCTCAGCAGAGCAATGAAGATCAATGAAATCAGTGACCAAAACTCATACACAGATGAATTCGTCAGCTTGAAGGTCGTAGGGTCACATTTTTTTTAACATAAATTAATCGTCGCTCCTAATGCTACTGTCTAGGACAATTTCCTAATAATTTTAAAGTAAATTAATAGAAAGGGCAGAACGTGGGCATATTCAGAATTGGTCCAAATTTAATTTGTAATTCAAAGGAAAACCATCTTCATCTATGTCCGACACACCGATTCCTCGGCGGCGGGAACTGCAAGGCTTTGAATCCGGCAGCCAGCGATGGAGTCGAGGACCCACCGGTTGGTCGCTGCCCTGCCGCCGGTAGCCTCCGCGACTGCCGCCGCCTCAGCCCGCCGGCGTTCCAGGACCGCATCCGCGGCCACCCGGGCGGCGCTGCCGTCAGCGGGCTCGAGGCTGTAGACGATGAAGACCGGCGCCGGAGACAAGCCTTCCCCCTGCTTGGCGACGGGCTTCCTCTGTAGAACCGCACCCCCCGCTACGGTGACCAGATCCTGCAGGTAACCCCTGTAGACTGCAGGGAAGTTCCCCGTGAAGTAGAACTTAAAACCATCGAATAACTTCGGCTCCTGTACATAAAAAAATTAGTAATAGAAAACAGAAAGTCAAAGAGTAGGTTGACCAATTTTTGGACATTAAATAAAAAGAAGCCCATCAAAAAGGCCTTCTTCGTGGCCAGAGAGAACCTGTCTGAGGGCCCTTAGCCTTCCAAGCCGGGGGCCGTCGCTCATTCCATGGACGTCCTTTCTGATCTCGTAAGGATCCTCTTCAAATGGCTTCCCGCCCTTTAAGCACGCGTTGACCCCTGCCACATCATTAGGTCAACGCATTATCACGATTTGTCCTCGTTGTCCCCTTGGAGGTGGTCTGAAACCGACATGAAGAGCCCTTACAGCCCATGTTTAGTATCCATTTTCCTTCCGCGATGGCCATCAGGTATTTGAGCGTCCTCCTGCAAGCACCCTCCTCGTCGACCGACGCGATGACGTGGGTGACCGCGGAGCTCCAGCCCTTTGAGAGGAGAACGCCAGCGAGCTTTGCCAGCTCAGAGACGGCCTCCTGTCAATTGGAGACGCCGAATTAAGGTCTCTATACAGAAGGAGAGAGAGAGAGAGAGAGAGAAACAGACAGACAGAGAACTTCGAGCCCACCTTCTCCACTGGGGAGAGAGAAGAACAACAAAGAACCCACTTTGGAGATGACACGGCTGACCATCGCCAAGGCTGCCGTGTGCTTGCTTGGGATCGAGATGCTCTGTAGAGATGAGGTTTCAATTAAACCAAATGCGCATAGAAAGTATGTTTCGTCATTGAAAACCTACCGTCTGTGAGTTGACTTTAGCAGTCCCTGGCGTTGAGAGCCAGGAGCATCAAGAAGTAACCGCGACGACACATGAATAGGGCACAGCATCACGAAATTTTCCTATAACAAAGATTTCAGCGGGTCAATGCAGTTGACCTTTTTTCCCGATCAACGTCAGAAGATTCTTACCTCGTCCCAGTGGCATCCTGAGATGAGCTTAGCGCAGGTGTAATGGAAGCTCTTGCGGCAGCTCCTCTTGAGACAACCCAGAGCAGCCCCTTTGACCCCGCAGTGGCTGCACCTAATCCTCCTGCTCCTCGCCACCTCGGCCGCAAGATTGACGACCCCATCACCGTCGAAGAATACATTTGGCGCCCTGCACGCATTAAAGTCAACCCTGTCAGCCACAAACGACCGCTGCCGGGTGGGGAAGAAGACGATGAGAGGAGCGTCCAAGCCGAGGGCTGCGACCATTCCGCACAAAGCCTGTGAGAGTGTATAATCCTCGCGCCTCCATTGAAGTCCGAAGCGACTGGTCTGCCGTCGAGATAGTGTATCATCTCCCCGCTAACCTGCAAATATGGCTCCACAGCATGATACTCTCCGGCGAGGACAAGAACAAGAACGAACAAGGTCTTGTCGTACTACCTCCGTTTCCTCGCTCGAATGGCAGAAGGAGCATTTGTCGTCACTGGGGTGAGGAGCCCCAACTGAGGAATCAGAAGAGGCGACCACCGCATCCTGAGGAATCACATGGAGCTTCTCTGCGATAGCCTCGTCGGAAGACGGCGACGTTCTCTTCTGCTTCTCCCTCGTCTCCATGCCTCCCCCGCGAGGGCAATCCTCCTCTGCCTTCTTAAAGGGAACCTGCTTGCCGTCCATCTCGAGATTATCCTGAAATCGGCTGGCCAGTTTTCTCGCACAAGACCTCGACGGCCTGCCTAGAGCCGCCCAGATCTTCGGGTCCTTCAATGGCGATGAGACTGCCCTTTTCTGAAGACTCGTGTTCTTCTTCCTCGACTCTGCGGATCTTCCCGCGCGACTCCTTCGAACCCTCTTCCCGGATGGTCCTTGCTTTCCTCTCGCAGCTGACTCTCGACGACCGCTGGGTCGAGACTTATCTGGGTTTTGATCTGTTCGATCAGCCGTCCTGCGGCCGTCCAGAGACCCACTCGCCGGCGCGCGATGTTCTTCCTCGCAAGATCCATCCGATCGACTCGCCTCTCTGATCTGTTGAGCGAGCTCGAAGTTCGGCGAACAATAGCAGGACGATTCAAAAGGAGAAATCATTCAGGAGTTAGGCAGTAGACAATAAGATAAACCAGACGAGCATTTCTTACTTGGTCCTTGACGGGCGTAAGCCATAGCTCAGGGGAGCAAGGTCTCTGCGTCCATTCAAACATCTCACTATCGAGGATCTCTCCGACGCGTGACTTACTCTGCAGTTCATTTACCGTTCCGAGAGGTTAAAGGAGTCGTCAACCAGGCAAAGAAGAGGAGATGTGCCCTCCATAGCCAAGAATCAGAGATTCACCGTGGGAGTCTTCCCAGTGAGATCGCCATCGTCCTCATCCTTGATGTCGCTGAAGCAAGGAGCCACCTGTGGCGGCGTGTCACCAGTCTGCTGGGGGCTTGACCTCCCTGATACCCGGTCCTCATCATCCTCAACGTCTTCTCTCATCCAGAAGAAGGGACAGAAAAGCGGCTCTCCCCTTTGGTCAACGGGGGCCTTCTTCCAGGCGGCTGCGGTGTCCATGGATGCCTGCTGGTACTCTAGTTTTGAAGGCCCTTCGGGCTTGGGTGGGGTCTCGGAGATGGAGTATGGCGTCACATGCACGCGCTTCTTGGAGGGGAAGGACGGCACACTTGAGCGGAGATCCATCGGCTCCGTTCCTGCGAGGCTCTCATTCTTCGATTTATTTTCTGATGCCTTCCTCTTCTTCTCATTACCCACTGTCCCTTTAGAAACGGGGCTCTCCTGATCTGCACAGTGCATCATAGGTTTGACTTATCTCATCATAATTAATAAGCAAAGGATCTGGCCTCAAATGATGAACAACAATAAACATGAAATTTGGGCAATGTAAGGAGTAGATTACTGAGCTGTTTTGAATCATGAGGTATCGCGTCATTCATATAAAGATCATATCTAAGCTTAAGATATAATAGCTAACATAGACAGCGAGTTCTGGCGATCCCAGTGAGATATTCCGTTCAATCAGGAGTAATTCACTGGCAGAAGGTTTTCGGATGCCACAGCGTATTCATTCCGCATGATCACTTGATGAGGCATGCGTAGAGTTTGGTAGATGTCACTAATGTTGGGGAAAAATAAATAATAAATCCCTTATCGCTTTATTTTTCTTACGGGTTGTTATTTAAAGCCAAAATCATCAACTTTCTGCATTCATGCCAGGGAAAACTATATTTTGAGGAGGCGTAAAAGTCAAATTAAACCTGAGTACAATATATAGCGGGTCTTATGGTGATTTACCGTCGGAGGTAATGCGTCCAGCCTCTCCCTGCGAGACAAAAATGTCTACTCCGGCGTCCGTTTCCATGCCCTTGTATATGGCCACCAGGCTGTCCATGTGCGGAGAAGGGCGAATATCTGCAGTGAAACAATCTCATTTCATGGAATGAACCAAAAAGATTGTTAAACCGCGAAAATCAGCCAAATAATTCGAAACTATTTAAATAGTGGTCAAAAGGATATATGAATTCCGCCTGATTTCGACCCGGTCCGTTGCTTCCAGAGAAAGACAACGGGGGGTACCAACCTCTCCGGTGGAAAGGAACTTTGCAGACTGGGCAAGTAGACGTTGACTTCATCGACTTTGAGATGCATGAACTGGAGAAGAACCCAATATCGTATCTCGTAAATGGAGTAAAATCTAGAGAGGATCATGGGGAATGTGTAAGGATGAAGGGGGAGAGGAAGGACGGTGCCTTACTTGCAGAATACGTGATTGCATGAAAGAGAAGCTGCCGAATGTAGAAGGCTCAAGCTGCACAAGAAAAAAAGAAAACCAGTTAGAAATCAGCGACGCAACTACCATGGATGCCTCTTCCACTTATCCGCCTCTCCCTTCCTCTCTCCGATTCCCATCGGCTGCGGGATCTAACCCGGAGAGAAACAATGAAGCATGGACGTGGATCGAAATCGAAACGGCGGCTTGCCGATTCCGTTACCAGATGGGGCACTTGAGCTCTCGGCCCATCCTCTCCAGATGTTCCATCCCCCACATATTTCCTCCGCCAGGCCACTCCGTCACGGCAGAGAGCGAGCGAGCGAGCGAGAGAGAGAGAGAGAGAGAGAGAGAGAGAGAGAGAGAGAGAGAGAGAGAGAGAGAGAGAGAGAGAGAGAGAGAGGGAGCAGAGTGGGATGCTGGGCCGGCGAAGGTATTCTTCTCTCGGCGGCGGCTACCAATTTAAAAACATCCGCGCGCTCCGTTTTCCCTCTTCCCCGCCATCTGAAAACACCTCTCTGTTACGGGGGAATATTCTGAATCGGATCCCTATCGGTTATACTTGGGCAATCCGATACTGTTAAGAGAGGAGTGCGCTCTTGTCAGGTTAATCTCTGGCTCACGTATAAATTTTCCACACCTTTGAGTTTATTCCTTCAAAATTCCACGTCACTAAAAAGTGGGAGCATCTTAATCAGTAAATGCGCTTTTTAACCATATTTAACGTCTGTAGGATATGACACCCCTGAAATTTCGCATATTTAACGTTATTTATTCATTTATTTTTAGGACCTAACTCACCTGAATTTTCTCAATTTTTTCTAGGCCTTACTAATGTAATTCGTTATATCAACCATAAATTTTGGGAACATGTTTACATGTCCAAATCACTGATTTTTGGTCTATTTTCCAATGTCGTTGTATTTTATACTCTAATCTAGGGACAAGATCGCTGCCATTATCCGGAATCGGCAACCGTGAGTAGATGCATATCCATGTAACTAAGCTTGGGCCCGCCTTTTTATTAGGCTCATACAGTTCGTTGAACTCCGCCCAAAGCGACATGCTCTGGGCCGGAGAAAAAGGGCTGAAAAGCCCGAGAGGAGGGTCAGGAGACATAAACACGTGGATGCTTGAGCTCGGGCCATAAGAAACGACAAAGATTCTGAAAACGGAGCCCGGATGGGTGCAGGTTTAAGGCCCGTTGAGTTGAGTTGACTGCTCAAAACGGTAAAACGGGCCAGTGGGACAGTCGGGTCGGAGGGGAAGGGACGTAGGGTTCTCGATCTCGTGTCAGTTAATGAGGAAGAGGAATACCGCTGCTGGCAGCTCAACTGCCTTCTCAAGACGGACCGTGCAGGTGATATACGACGAGCATGAGAGAGAGAGAGATGGAGACGACGAGAAGCAAGAGAGCCTTCCCCAAACCCCCATCAAAGCTCGCCTCCCCACCAAACGCTAGAGGAACGGCTTATTTGTTGCATTCCTGAAAGCTGCCAAGCATCTTAAAGCTGCCATTAATGACGGCTCGACCAATATAAATTGCACCCCCGAGAACCCACAAACCCCCCAAGCACAACACCATCGGAAGTCTCGACGGCCAAAGAGAAGGGAAGAGGGGGAGGGAGAGAGAGCGTCAGAGAGAGACATATAGAGTTGTGTAGAGAGAGAGAGAGAGAGAGAGAGCTAGCATGAAGGGTTTCACAGTGGTCTGCTGCGTGCTGGTGGCTGCTGCGGGCTTCATGGCCGCGGGGCCAGCCGCCGCCGTGACCTGTGGGGATGTGACATCGAGCCTGGGCCAGTGCTTACCGTTCCTGCGGGGGCAGGTGGGGACACCGGCGGTGGGCTGCTGCGACGGCGTGCGCCGCCTGAGGGCGATGCTGCCGGCCATCGCCGATCGGCGGGTGGCGTGCAACTGCATGAAGCAGGCGGCGGCACACTTCCGGGACATCAAGGGGAACGCCGTCAGCTCGCTCCCCGGCATCTGCAGGGCCCCCCTCCCCTTTCCCATCAATCTCGCCGTGGACTGCGCAAGGTGAGCTCCATCCCCTATATATATATAAATGCGTTTATATATATATAAATGCGTTTGGCTCCGATGCAGGATCCAGTGAAAGTGGTGATATGTTGCGAAAAGGTATTGGCTATACTTGTTCTAAATCGCAAATAAAAGGTGTCGTGGTGTAGTTGGCTATACTCCGGTTCAAGTCCGGGCGACGCCATTCGGTCGATAATAGACTTTGTTTTTTTCTTCAATTTGCCATCTATTATAAAGTAACCGTTGGTTAACTCCAATGTTTTTAATTTTTTATTATTATTACAGTGTATGTATACGCTTACTTGCTTGCTCCAAATAAGTAAAAATGTATGTTACATAAATAAAAATTTTAAAGTAAACCGTACGATTTAAGGATATCATTCCCCTAGTCTGGGTTTCTCGCGGGTACCTGATCAGTCGTCGCCGGGTCTGGTGTGCTCGTCTCGGGGGTGGCGAACGAGGCTTACAGACCAATGAAGAGAGGGGATTTATTCTGTTGAGGACGACTGTGCTAGAGAGAGAGAGAGAGAGAGAGAGAGAGAGAATAAATCCCCTCTCTCTAGCATGCTACTGTTACAAGAGAGTACAAGAGAGAAAATGATGAATCAAGCAAAGCTACTGTTGACGGGGTTGGTAGAGCGAGAGAGAGAAGGGTGAATCAAATGGTGCTAATTCCAATGGAGTAGAGAGATGAATGAATTAAGTGAAGCTAGAGTAAACGGGATAGAGACTGAGAGATACCTCATCATAAGTCGACCGAGATTTTCAAACCATCATAGGCAAGCTGCACTGGAATTCCTTCCCTGCACAGGGCAATTCAAGTCAGATTACTCAAAAGACACAGGCCTGATGCCCCAAAAAACACACCCAGTTTTCGTCTGTCGACTCCCCCCACCGACTCTTCCACAACCATTCTACAAAGTGGGAGATCCCCCTCACCTCTGAGACCACTCTGCCAACTCCAAGTTGTCCCTATGGTGATCAAACTCGTGGGTCATCCCCACGAGGAGCGCCCTCTTTGGGCAAATCTTCTTGATCGCTTCCAGAGTCTGTAGAGGAAATAGATTTAAGAGACGATGAACAACGCAGTCGAGCAGAGGTTTGAGGGCCCAAGAGTCCAGAGAAGGAGAAGAGCCAACCTGGGGAAGGCACAAATGCGTGTTGTGAGGCCTCACCTGCGTTAAATTCATCAAATTTAGAGAGGATCATCTCCCAAAGAAATTCAAGCAGAAAGCACTCAGATTCATCACCCGATCTGGGTCAGCTTTGGATCAATCTAAACAATAATAATAATCATCAATGTGCCCAGATATATATATACTTATGCATATGTATATTTATATTTCATGGTGATTATGAACTGAAGAGCGAAAATATTATAGATAGATTAATGAAATACGGTTTCTGGAGGGATAACATTGCCAACCTTGTACAGGGAGTCCAAGATGAGAAGATCCACCTGCCCGGCACCAGTTTTGGAAATGACTGCAGAGAGAAGGAGATACAGATCATCAGAACAGACAGCCACATTAAATGGAAAGAGATTCTCTGAAATATTTCTCAGCCAATTTTAAATCAGGAAGCTCGGTCATTCAAATTCAGAGAAAGATAACAGTCTGAGGACAACACGAGACAAAATACTGCCAGCAAGGAGTTGTGACTTGATCTCAAGCCTGTTCTTTAGGAGTTGATGCTGAATATTTCCATTTATTAGAGATCATCAGGGGAGTAGCACTCCCACTTTCTTTCTTCTGGCACGAGTTCAAGTTCGTAAGGAATGTGTGAAAAACGAGAGAGAGAGAGAGAGAGAGAGAGAGAGAGAGAGAGAGAGAGAGAGAGAGAGAGAATTTCATGCCCATCATTGAAACTCATCAGTGAGTTCAGTGTCCCATGGAAGGGATCTCTCTGCACTAAAGCCTTGGTGTTTTTCCAGATAAAAATTCTGAAACCTATTCATATAATGACTGAAATTCTAATGGGATTCTAGTCTCATACAAATTATAAAACTAAGGTTTAATACAATATTCTCACCCCTAAATAAAATTTCATTAAAATAAGAAAATATAAAAGTCACAATTAAATAATAATAATATTTGTAAAAGCATCATCTAGGTCTGTGGGTTCAAGCATCCATCTGTGAAACATGCTGTACATGAATTCCCAGGATTTTAGTTACTGTCAGAAATTCACAATATAATAATAATCGAATCCCTTTTGTAAAAATAAACTTCACAATATAATAAAAAAACTGTGGCGAAAGACAAACGCCCCAATCCTTTTGTATCTCAACATACATGTTCTTTGCTTGTATGCTGTTTTCGAGAGGACTTAACAAAAAAACATGTATTTTTCATATTAGCATATATGCCCTTAAGTGTTTGCATCTATGTTCAGAAGTCTCAAGGGTCTGGTATAAATACTGGACCCGTCCCTCTTGTAAAACAGATTCTTGTTTTTCATTGAATAATTTTTTTTCATCCTCTCCAAGGTGCTCCAAGATCTACCAGCACACTGAATAGAGGACTATACCATTCTACATGGTATCAGAGCAAGGTTAGGATTTTGAATCCATTTCTCTTGACATTCTGTGTTCATCCACAAGGGACGTTGCACTTCTGTTGGAGCTGTTGGTATCGCACCCATCTGACAAGGGATGCATCATCTTTGTAGTGTCTCCATAGAGCGAATCTAGGTGTGATCGCTCTCATTCGCTTCCGCACTTATTAATTCTACTATTATGGTCTTTGTACCGTTCTTTGAATATCTCTGTTTGAGATTTGTTCACGAAATCAGTTTTTCGTGAAGTCAATTGCTATTTCCTTAAAATAGAAACTATAGGAAAGTTGCTTCATCTTCTGGGGGAGATTCAGTCTCCACGAGAGAGGTCAATCTTATTCTTGGAGGCACAAGATTATTGATAGAACTACTTGGAATGCTTTCAAAGTTAAAACTAACTGAATGTAATATGATACAATGGTCAAAACATATTCATAAAGTATTGACTTGAAGAGACATGGTACACCACTTGATAGAGGGGAAACCAGACTCAATGTCATGAGAATTTCGAAGATGGGGAGAAGAGGACTCCTTGATTAAAACTTGGTTGTGGGGAACAATGATTCCCCAAATTAGTCGTATTTTTTCTTCTTAGCCACAGTCAAAGATTTATGGGATATGGTTCACACCAAATTCTCACAGAAAAATAATGAGGTCCATGTATATGAACTTGAGACAAAATCAATGTCCATGATGCAAGAGAGCAAATCAGTGATGGAGTATGTAAGAAAGCTAAAGAATTTATGACAGGAACTTGACTATTACCTAAGTCTTAACATTGAAAAACCTACTGAAATTACTGCATTACGAAATTTTATAGATTAAAAAAGTGTTTAAATTCTTGGCTAGACTTAAATCTGTGTTTGATCAGGTCAGACAACAGATATTGAGCTGTGAGAAGAAAATTGATTTAGATGAAGCTATTTCGATTATCCTAAATGAGGAAAGTCGCTGAAAATTGATGAAGTCAATTTCAGAAACTGATAATTCTGCATTTGTGGTTAAAGAAGGTGAAACTATGAAGAAGACTAATGGTTAGGCCAAACCACCACAACATGGTCAAGGGAAGAACCAGAAAACTGACTTTAGAGACAATTTATGGCATACATATTACAGAAAAACGCATCACACTAGAAGTAGATGCTATAAGTTACATGGTAAGCCACCACATTTCAACAATGAAAAATATGACAGCCAAGCACATTTTACAGCAAATTTACCTGTTAATCAACGGTCAGATTTCAAACAAAGTTAACACCCATCTCATATAAATGATATAGAACGACTTCAAGTTGAATTGAAACAATTGAAGTCGACAGTAACACATCAGTCATCAGTCCAGCATGATAAGCTTCATCACTCTTTCAGAATTAGAGCTTCTTCTAGATTTGTTTCTAATTCTTGGGTATGGAACTCAAGGGCAATGGACCACATGACTAATTCTTCTCACCATTTCACTAATTACAATCCTTGTCCTAGTGATAGAAAAGTCACAACTGCAGATGGATCTTTTCTAATTGTTGCAGGTATAAGAGACCTTCAACTTGAACCCCTTGACATTCTTTCTAATATTCTTCATGTTCCCAAACGATTTACAAATCTAATTTCTGTTAAAAAACTTGTGAGAGATTTCCTTTACTGTGCCTTCTTTGACGAAGATGTTTGTGTAATATTTGATAAGAAATATCATTGGAGGATTGGAGTTGTTTGCAAACATGATGGACTCTATCTTCTAGAAGGACTGAGCCAAACGTATATCATGGAAGTAGATCAATTCATAGAACCTCTAGAAGCTGTCAATAAGATCTGTCTACTTCATCAAAGGATGGGTCATCCCTCCTTTGGTACCTTAAAGATTATTTTTTCTGTTTCAAAGGCTGTCTTTAGACACTATCAAATGTAATATGTGTGAATAAAGACACTCTCTAATTTAATGTGTGTGAATTTTCTAAACACACATGTGCATCTTTTCACTCTCAAGCAGAGGGGAGAGAAATTCCTTTCTTCCGAATTCATAGTGACATTTGGGGGCAATGTCCAATCAATGATATTTGTGGTAATAAATGATTTGTAACTTTCATTGATGATTGCACAAGATGTATGTGGGTATTTCTTCTAACACATAAGTTTGATGTTCTTAAATTCTTTTGTACCATGATAAAAAATTAATTTGGTCAAGTATCACAAAAATTAGATCCAACAATATTGAAGAATAATTTAGTCGAAGTTTAAATGTATTCTTCAAAGCAGAGGAAATTATACTCTGCAGCAAAATGGTCTAGATTAAAGGAAAAAATGGCATATTTTAGAAGTAACTAGATCTATCTTATTTTAACATCATGTGTCAAATATTTTTTGGGGAGAGGGTATCCTCACAACCACATATCTCATTAACTGTATGCCTTCTCGAATCTTACACTTCCACAGTCCTATAGATTCCTCAGCCCATTTTTTCTCACACCACCAAATTAATACTAAAATAAAACCAAAAATATTTGGGTATGTTTCTTTTGATCATGATCACACTCAAAATAAAGAAAAATTCGCACCAAGATCACTTACATGTATCTTTCTTGGTTATGCTACTAATCAAAAAGGTTATAAATGTTACTACCCTCCATCTAGATTTTTTTTTACTTCTATAGATGTGACATTTCATGAATCAGTGCCTTACTTCAATAAGTCGACTTCATTATCTGCAAGTCAACTATTTATTCTTATTGTCTACAGATCATACTGTTATACATGAATCTGCTTCACCATCTGCAGGTCAATTGTTTATTCTTATTCCAGCTCCTGAAATATCTCACACCCTAGATCTGCTTCCTGAAAATCTGAGGTTTGACAAAGTATACTAAGAGAGGTGACATTCATGATTTACAAAATAACCAAGATTCTGACGAGGCCTTAGAAAATGTCCAAATATCTACTTCTCTGTCTCAGATGATCAGCCAAACCTGCAATGTGACTCACTTTCAATTGCCTTGCGAAAACCCATAAGATAATATATTAGAAATCCCTTATATTCAGCAGCCAATTTTCTATCCTGCCATCGTTTTTCTTCTCCTTATCAGTCATTCCTTACATCCTTAGATTCTACTACTATTCCTAAGAATATCTCTGACGCTCTATCCAATTCGAAGTGGAAGCAAGCCATGGACAATGAAATGAGGCTCTTGAGAAAAATGACACTTGAGATTTAGTAGCATTACCACTGAATAAGAAAATGGTTGGTTATAAGCGAGTGTAAATCGTGAAATACTATTTTGATGGTTCAATTGGGCAGTACAAAGCTAGTTAATGGCTAAAGGTTACACACAAGTCTATGGCACTGATTATCAAGAGACTTTTTCCCTGGTGACAGAAAATAATATTGTCTATTTTTTATTGTCTCTAGTTGTAATTTTCAATTGAAATATTCACCAATATGATGTTAAAAATGTATTTTTGCATAGTGATCTTATGGAAGAGGTGTATATGACACTACCACCGAAATAAGAGGGTAATCCCTCTTCTAAAATTATTTTCCAATTAAAAAAGTCTCTCTTGATAGACTAAAACAGTCCCCAGAAGACTAATTTGGACAGTTTACAACCACCATGAAAACATCGTAATATAGCTAAAGTAATGCTGATCATACATTATTATTTAAACACTCTGCTTCAGGGGGAGTCACAGTAATCTTGCTCTATGTTGATGATATTATCATCACAGGGACTGATGATGTAGAAACATAAAACTTAAGCAATAGTTTGGTTTCAGCATTTTATGTCAAGACATTAGGATGCCTAATATATTTTTAGGCATCAAAGTGGCTCACTCTATTAGAGGAATTTTTCTCTCTCAAAGAAAATACATAATAGATTTGTTGGTTGAAATAGGAAAATCTGCATGTAAATCAGCTACAACATCGATTAATCCGAATCACAAATTGTGTATGACGGAGGGAGAAGTTCAGGTTGATTGTGAAATGTATCAAATATTTATTGGTCATTTACTCTATTTAACACATACTTGACTAGATATCTCATATGCAATGAGTATCTTGAGTCAATTTATGAATTAGCTGAAAGAGACTATATGCAGCATATAGAGTGCTAAATTACTTAAAGGGCAGACCCAACAAAGAAGTTATCTTTAAACGTAGAGGGGAGGTAAATGTCGAAATGTTTATAGATGCTGATTATGCAGGGTCAATGATTGACCGGAAATCAACTTTTGTTCATCTCACATTTATTGATGGTAATCTTGTTACTTGGAGAAGTAAAAAATAGAACATGGTAACCTCGTCAAGTGCTGAAGCATAACTCAAGAGCACTTGCTCAAGGGGTTTGTGAACTTCTCTAGGTGAGAAATTTACTTGATGAACTACATATTCCTCTATCGGGTCCTATGAAGATTTATTGTGATAATAAGTCAACAATTAATTTGGTACATAATCCAGTACAACATGATCATACCAAACATGTGGAGATTGATTGATATTTTTCAAAGAAAAGCTTGAGGCAGATGTGATTTGTATACCATGCATTTCAACCAAAAATCAGTTAGCAGATATACTCACCAAAGACATCTCGGGCACACAATCTTGGGCATACAGCTACAAAAGATTCTTCCCAAGCTGGGAATGGATGATATCCATTCACCAGCTTGAGGGAGAGTGTTGTTGAGAGGACATAACAAATAAACCCTGTATTTTTCATGTTGGCAGATATGTTGTTTGCATCTACATCCATGTCTAGAACTCTTGAGGGTCTGGTATAAATACTAGACCCCGTCCCTCTTGTAAAACAGATTATTATTTTTCATTGAATAAAAAATCTTCTTCCTCTCCAAGGTGCTTCAGGATCTACCAACACACCGAATAGAGGACTATACCATTCTACGTATCCAACCCCATACTTTGTATCACAAATAAAGGATAAGGGCTCATTTCTTGACTCCAATATACATGCCAACTACAACCCTCAATATGCATCCTCAGAATTCAGCATAGAGAAGCTACGTGTATATGCACCCCAATATGCACCCCATCTTGTTTGAGGTAGGACGACAAATAAATTTGGCATATGAATACCAAAAAATAATTCATTTTTCCCAAAAAAAAAACAGGTGCTATATTGGACTACAGACAAAAACCAGATGTTCAGAAAGGATTTATTCAGACAATGCTAGCATATGTTGCAAAATATATGTCCATAGGCAATGGGAAAGAAGAAAGCACAGTTACCATATTCAGTGCTCTCAGGAAAACGTGAAACATCAGATATGTATGCTATTCTTGATTTTTTCCCAAAAAGAAAACCTAGTGATATGTAGTCCTCCCCATGCACCACCTGCATGAGAAACAGTGGTTCAAAGAGGAGGAACATAAGGAGGAGGATAAAAGAATGGCATTTCGGAGGAACAGGGAGAAGAAACTTACTGGCAAGGGAACAAACTGCAAGTCAGATGCTGTAAATGGCTTCTCACAATCGCTCTCTATTATTCTGTAATCAAGCTGAGCAACACGTCTCACTTCCTCCCCTTCCTTCAACTTTCTTGGAACGAGGTATGGGAACTTTACTGCAATACTGTTAACACACCACAAAGTATAGACATCAAATGATGAGCTGAGATAGGTTGCACAATTTATCAACAAAAAGGAACAGCAAAGCTAGATACTTGAGGCAAAACTCATGTGAAGATAAGGGGCATCAAAATATCTTATTTTGGTTTTTTAAAAAGAAAGAGCACAATTGACCATTCTTCCTGGTTATCAAACAGTGCATGCAAATATCTCTGTTATGCACATCCAGATGATGTACGTGTGGGTAGAGTAGCACAAAAGTAGACCAAAATGATAGTCAATTCGGGAAAGTGATCAACAAAGTAAAAAAACATACAAAAAGGACAAAAACTCAGCAAAATTTATTATTTTCAAGAAGATAGTATTTCATGCTGACAAGAAGATTTTCTGTCTTTATCATTCTCCATGGTATGCAAAGGTTTTATTCATGTTCACTAAAAGTTTACGAACATGTCTTACTTCAGGCGTTATGGATTCAGATTCGTGGCCAGGTACTATACTTGCATGTACATTCTGGCACATGATGCACAAAATAACAATTCAAATCGCAAAACGACTCTGAAGCAAATAATTTCTTTCATTTCCATACATGCAACGTAAATCAACAGAAATTTTTTTTGGTAGTGAAAATATGCATCCGTGCATGTAAGCATACGTGCTTGCAGTATATGGAATGCCCCATTCGATTGTATGTTTTATATTGAGTTTCCTTATGACACATGGCTCTCAGTGGAGACACAACCTGCATATGTGCCTGCTATCCATATAGGTGAGGGAATACAGCAAAATTGATGACATTAATTCTTCTTCAGAAGACCAGATCAATGATATCCTGAAAGTGTCCCAGCTTCATCTATGATATCCATTCTCAACATCTTATGTAATTTTGGTATTGACGGCAAAGTAGCCAGATTAAATGGATTTTAAAAGTGCTTTAATATTTATTTTAAACACTATGAAATGTCGACATATAATTTCAGGTCTAAGGGCTTTTTTACTTGAGAACATGCAATAGGAAATTGAATCACTTGAACCAGGAATCCTGATGTTTGAATCACATGGAGGAAAAATCAGAAAAAGCCATATATGCTCAGCATCAGCAGATCAGACCGATCCAAGCTTCAGTGCTCCGTGGATCATCATGTCTTCCATGTGATTCATGCCACATCTCATGAATTTCATAAGAATGACAACGTTGATCTCTGGTAAGGACAGAGAAGAAGAATAGGAAAATAAAAGAAAAAAGTATAAAAGGAAGAAGGTGAACCAAAACTGCCACAATCGGCATAGAAAGAGAAGCAAAAAATATCATTTCATAAAAGGGGGAGAATTGAAAATCACATGTTTGAGTTTTCATGGATGCACGAAAAATTGTAACAAATAGAAAACTTTAAAAGAGACAAAAGGGCATCACTGAAGTACGGTTTAGAAACAATATAAAGAAGGCATTTCAACTTGTGAACAAAAAATGAATACAACTAAGGAGGAAACCAATGTGCAGTTACAATTTTAAAAAAATACGTCCCCTACTGAAAATGAAGAGCGGCCGTAGGAGGAAAAGTCAATCTTGCAAAATTGTACGTCAAAAATAAACTTCAAAGACACTGAAATTATCCTGAATTTTTTTTTAAGCCCTGCAAGTTGCCTAAAACAACAGAAATGGAGATGTGACGATGAGTACCTGTCCATTGCGAATTGTGTGAGGTAGATCGGCATGGGATCAATGTCATTTGTAGGACTAAATGGCTGGACTGTTCGTATGTCATCCAACCCAAGAATTGCATCTGCATGTTCGTGGGTCAATATAATCTGCATTTGAGTATGAAGAAACTTCAGATAACACCAAGGCATATCTGAAAAACCACTGTAAGAATATAATGAGCAGATACTAATAAGATGTTATGCCCAAGAAGATAGGAGGACGAGTCACCATACCCACAATAAAAAGGGGAAGGAATCTGAAGTAAAGAATAATAAATGAAATCTAAATGCCAACCAAAAAAATTAGATAATGCTAGGATTTATCTCATTACATTTGGTCATTAGAGATCATAAGAATGATACTATTTCTTCCAATGCATCGTGCTTGAAAAAAAGGTCCACGTCAAGAACATAAAACGTAAGCTTCATAAAGATTGGAACAGACAGAATCAATTCGCGGAATCTTATGCCAAGTGAACCAGCGGAGAACTTGCTCCCTAAAGGTCTTCCCAACATCGATAATTATATACTTGTGTTTGTCGTCACCAGAAAAATAATCAATCAGCAAAGAAGTATTGCACCTGTAAATGAAAATGAGGACAAAGTTATGATTACAAAAACAAACAAAATAAAGAGTTCAAAAAAGTGTTGCCAATATGAAGCACATAAGGCACAAGAAGATATTTCTGTGGTAGAATTGGGCCTATTCAATAATTTTGACTCCAAAAGTGGGCATCTTTGGGAACTTTATGGTGATCCATCTGTTTTAAGAAATCCAATCAAGATCAGAACGGACAGAAAATTGTGACGCAAATGTATCCTAAGGGTAAATGATTTGGTTGGGGTTGAGAATTTAGTTGATATATCTAAACAACGAGAACTCACGATGACACGCATCCCTTGACTTTTTATATTTTTGATTTCCAAAGAAAGTATGGCTGAATTCGTCTGGGAGAATTGCCCGTCAGTAGTTTACCAATACGAACAGAATCAAGGTCTAAGTAAACTAAAAAATACCAAACTACGACAAGCTTCTTGGGGCGACAAGCTTTATGGGGATCAACTTTCCGCCAACCGGTCCGTTACAGATCCGTATGGTACGCTCGGGCTCATCACGAAAAGAGACTTTTATGCAATTAACTGAAATCTGAGACGATGAAAAAACTTCCACGCAATTGATTTCCCGGAAGCACTTTCAAGTAAAAAAATTATAATAATTTCCATGGTAACGAATAGGAGCAATCACCACCGACAGAATATAGCGGTGGTCACCCTGATCCCGTCCTCTCTCCCCCCACGGCCCCACTCCATCCTACACCACCGAGGAAATCAGTGTTCTAGCGATCGAGATCTGACCTGTAATTCGGGTTAAGCTCGGGGGGAACTGAGAGCGCCTGGATGCAGACACCGCATGGAGAGGCGGAGGGCTGGATCAAACACATGGGATATGGGATGGCGCTGGAACAGCCCGTACCCAGGAACACCAGCGACGACGGAGACGACCCCCGGGAGACACCGCCGTGCTCGTCGGCATCCCCTCCATTCTCCATGTTGACACCTAATCGCGCTCTCACTCCCCCCCGCCGAGGCCAACCGGAACGGAGAGAGAGAGAGAGAGAGAGACCACATGGAAAGGAAATACACCTTTCAGTGGGGCCCGGTTCATGGCACCACATCAGAAACATTAACTTTATTAGATTTTAAAAAGTAACGATTATAGATAAATATAAATACTTCTTCCATCATACACTATGGCAAGTCTAGTTTAAACCAGTAAAAAAATAAAAAATTCTATGAGTATTTGTGGGAGATTTAAATAATAATAATAACAAGGAGTTTGCCATCGATGGGATCCAACATTAAGAAATAATACATCCATAGAATCGTGGAATCAGGTGCAATTTGCATTATCCATTGACACACTGCGAGAAAGACGTAAAGAAAGACTCTCTGTCTCTCTCATAGTGGCTGAAATAGAAGAAAGAAAGATAGCAAGGCTATATTTAACATTTACTGGATAAATTTGGTCCACGCATTGTTCTTTATTTGCTTTGCTTGTCTCAGTCATAATCCTCGACAAAAAAAATCGTGAATATAAGATAGCTTCAAATAATGCATAAAATAGATTTTAAGGAGCTCGGCCCGACTAATATTTCTCAAGCCCAAGCAAGCAAGGCCAGGAAGTGAGGCGTTGATTTGCCATCTTTCCATCTTTTTGTGGGCGCCACTTTGACCAAGGGAAAAATTCGAATCGTTGCGAGGAAAAGATCTATCTAAAGGGTTTGCGGTGGTACCCTTAAATGGGCTCATAACTCCGGCCCACGAAGATCCGTGAGGAGGGGGGGGGATGTGACCCTTTCTCTTCGACCGCGGGGAGGAGCCTAAGGGGGCCTGGCCAGGACGAGCCGTGAGACGAACAGACTAGAAGATGATAAAAAAAAATGTTCAATACATCAACGAGAATAAAGTTGATGAGATCATTGGGTGAATTGAACTCCTTGGATCTACACCAATGCATTCTGGCTCTATTTGAGAATCTCTCTCACAGGTGGATGAGGATATTTCTATTCGGGAGAGTAAATGGAAAAGAATGGGAAAATGAAGATAAGGGCTACAGTCCAGGCAAAAATAGTCTTTCCCTTCTGCATAGATTCCTCGTTACGCATCATGAGAGAGAGAGAGAGCACTGATTCAAGGCATCTGATCAACAAAGATGAGAGTCCGAGCCCATGGAAGCATCCAGCAGTTCCATTGAATTGGCGATCTGATGGAAACAAAAAGCAATTCGACCGACTTACTGAAAGATCCTCGAAATCCCGATGCACATGGTTTTGCTCTCTATTCCTAAAAAGAAAAACAACAAATTTGCCGAGGCAATCGATCACAGTTGTCCATGGCTCTTGGTTGTCGAGCTGCGTCTCAACAGCTTGGTGCTTGGAGTGAGGTGCTCGTCCTGCGAGCAAAAAAGAACAACAGACAGAGGTAATGGAAAGCAACGACCGATTATTGAAGAGATAGACAATGCAGTAGAGGCTTAGACATTATCAGAAAGTGGGTTGGATTTGGGACAACAGGAATTGGTCAGAGACGAGCAAAATTGAGCTGGAATGAACTGAAGGAGTGGCAGAGTGAAGGGGATGCTTTCGAAGGAATTGATCAGGGAAAAGAACATTCATCACAATAATAGGCCAATTAGTGACCTTCGAAATTCACTGGTTTACAGAATCACTACAGAGGTCGGGAGGAAACAGCAGCAGAACGGGTTACCTTGTAGAGAGAAGCTGCGGACTCAGACTCCAGAGTTTGGTTTGGAATGTGCCCAAGGGACTGGTAAGCATCCAAAGCATCCAATGTCAGCTGCCAGCCACACAGTGCAGCCGCAGAAGAGCTGGAGGTCGAGCTGCTGCTGCTGGCACAGCCAGCGGCCGCAACATTGCCGTTGACCCAGGGGCAAAAATAATGGTGATACTGGATCGGATCAAATTCTCCAGCCCCCCCTTCAAAATCATTCTCTCCGTTCACGGGCACTAGGGAAGGAGAAGAAAAATTACAGTGAAGCAGAAACGATACATAAACACCTTTGTTAGTCTTTCATGTTAGACTATTTTTAAATTGATATGCCATTTAACAGGGAAGTCACATCACCGTCATCACAGTCGTCTATGTACACCATAGACGAATGAAATGAAAGAACAGCATTTTCCTACATAAACACAGACCCCAGGTGATAGTTCGGCAAAAATGTTATTTCAGAAAAAAAAACTGAAGTTTCTGATCAGCTAAACTTGGCACGGAATTTGGGGTGACATGAAGATGAAACTGTAGTCCAATGGGTATTCAGGGTTATCTTGTTTGAATAAGATCTAATTCAATTACCACATTATCTTGGGACACATGAACCATATTTATTTATGGATTCAACAGTGACAAGTAAAACCTTAAAGAGACACATAAAATTCATGAAGTCGTCAGAAAAGTGGCTCCCTTTCTATAAGATGGCTTAAACACAGCAATGGAAAGGGAACAGATAGTCAAGCTGATTACCTATCCCATTTGCCGCATAATCCGACTCTGCCAAGACACAGTCATCAGTGATGGAAGCCTTGCCAGCCTGTGTCACTTCTTCCTTGGATACCTCGTAACCAGAGTATATCACAGCATTGCAAGAGAGGGAAGGATGCGCACCACTGTCATTGAAAAAAGCACGGCTGATCTTCTGCCCACTTTCAACAGATTCGGCTTTGGTCAAGCCATAGACTTTTGAACCACTGTCGGCCCTTACAGCTGATCTAGAAATCACATCCTGACTGTCACCATGAGGATCTTCTCTGTCCATCTCCTCTGGGACGAACTCGCCCATTAGTCCAGGATCTGGAGTAGACTCTCCAGTCTGACCATGATGCTCAGTAACATCTGCTACTTGGTCTGCATATCTGGCAACACTGTCTGCCCTGTGGACAGAAAACTCAGCACCACGGATTTCGGCTTCATGGCTTGCCCCCATTCCAACACTCCCACCACTGATTCCAATGCTAAACGTATCCCTACCATGAACTGTACCGGTTTCCGCATTCAATAGTTCCTCTGCATTTGTGCTGCTGACTCCCATTTCTCTAGCCACACTTCCAGCTGCTGGTTGCACACATGCGCTCTGCTGGGCTTGATGACCGTAGTTGTATCCGAATGCATCCTGCATGTCAAGGTTCTTAGGAGAAGAAAAATGAGCATCATCAGTAGCATCTCCAGGATAGTTCTCAACACTTTCCATTGAGTCCTCCATAGCACTATGACATATTGTATCCATTGCAATGACAGAAGATGCCCGAGCTGAATCTCTAGTGAACACAGGACCAGCAACCAGGTCACTCTCTTCCCTGAAAGGATCAGCTCTGTTGACATCTATATCGATGTCAAAAATCATCCCATGGCTTGGTCCAGCACCAGAAGAATCTATCCTTCTGGATGATTGGTAGGTGGAAAAGATGTCCAAGCCACGGGCACGCTTGAAAGGGCCATCTGAGTATTGTCTACTGTCATCAACTTCGTCACCATCACGATCAATTACAGTTGCTTCAATGCTATCAGCCTGCTGGATCTTGTCAAGTGGCCTGTCAACTGTACTCCCACCTTCTTCCAGACTACGCTTCCTAGTGCTTGGACCTCTTGATTCAAATGAAGCTGCACGATCACCAACCTCACTTCCGGATGGCTGCCCAATCACTAGATCTCTTCCCATACCACCGTCATCAAATCGTTCAGCTGTTGCTGGTTCGTTGAACTGGTTAGGTGGTAACCCTCCTGCCATGGTGAGATTTAAATCCACACCAGCATTTGACAATGACTTAACTACATCTGTTGTTGCAGCCTCATCACGGTCTTCAGTTTGATCTTTACCAACTCCATCAGTGGGAACCCATCCGCTGATTCCACTAGCAGCACTAATTCCACGTGTCAAAACTAGTTTTTTGCTTGTTTCAGGTGTGTCCACGTTGTTAGAACCAAATCGAGCAGGACGAAAAACTGTTGAAAAGTCCCAAATTCTCACTGTAACACCACACAAGCTGCAGTCAAGCAGGGGTGACCTTGAACTCAACCTGGATGCAGGCACTGAGATTTTTTTCTTCCCAGTCTCTTTCATGGCAGAAGCAGAAACGGCGTTCTTGCTGAACCCACAATCTTGTGAAGGACGAAACTTATCCACTGTCGGATCAAACGAACATCCATACCTGGCAGATTGAGCAGAATGCTCCTCAAAGTCTTGCACATTTGGAAGCCATCGAGGCTCCCATCCACATAAGCTTATCAGCTTCTGAGCCTACTCATCAAACAAATAAGAATAAAATCTAAGAAAATTCATATGAGGGCTATATTCATCTGCAATTATGCTGCTGAGTGACGAGCATTATGCGAATTTGAGAATAGAGAAACAGATAAATTTACCTGATTATAAGCAGACAATGCCTCCTCATGAGAGAATTCTGTTCCATTTATGTTATCCATCCTTAAACTTAATTCCCCAACTAAGAAGGCATAGGACTGAGATAGAAAACGGTCAATCTGAGTGCCCCTAGATTGTCTCATTTTATCAAGTACGGATAAAGCAACAACAGGAAGAGAATGAAATTGCAAGAGCCCGTCATAACGATCCTTATAACCACCAATGAGAGCAGCAGGAGGAGTTGGCGGGAACTGCACCAAACTATCAGCACAGCAGTTACCTCTCCATGGACAAGCAACTTTGTGGCCTGAATCAAGTTGTGCCACAAAGACTCCACCATAATTATCAGCTAAAAGAGACACATATAAGAAAAACAAACTATTAGTTCAGGCTTGAGATGACTATCTGATTAATGAATTTATAGTATCACAGACATATGAGATCAAAATGATAGCAAAATGCGCGGATCACTGGATGATACCTTCCACTGTCGTCCAAGAGGCCGATGCTGTAAAACTAAGCTGCACACTGCATGTTTCACATTCTATTTTGTTGATATCAACATTCATCCAACCTCTTCTAGCACAGTCAAGGGAACCAGCACCCTGAAAGTCAAAAGGTGCTTCAATAAGTTCTTAGCATTAGCAAAAAAGGTGTCTTAAGGTAATCTGGCACTGAGTTGTAAACGGGTACACACATGAAGCAGTGGCAAAGCCCAAACATGCCACTTGAGAAGAAAATGCAAATGATGTGTTTTCCGATAGTGCAAGGCCCAACACACAAGTGACACAAAAGGCAGCTCATTGTACTCACAATAAGTAGCCAGATTCAGGGCATGTCTAAACCTATGCTCACATGATGTCAAAGCTAGATTCGGTCCATAGCTAGATTGCCAGAAATAGGTTCATATCGGATCAGGTAAAAGCATATTTTGTTGCCACCAATAAAACGCACTTGAACTTTCATGTGATTATGCCTCTGGATGTTAAGGTTGAGGCAGGACTCAGAGTATGGACACCACAAACAAGGAAGGCCATGCAATATACTTGTAATAAGGGAGACAGAGTAACAGTATTTAAGGCCTGTACATGGCAAGAAAGCAGCGAGCAGAAGATGTCACAAAGAGGTTTTTTATCAGCTTTAAGGATGACTGGCATGGATTAAAACCTTTGGTTTTCCAGACCAATTCGATGGCTTAAATGTAGCAAGACGACACAATAAATCTCCTCTTTCCCATGGTCTACATGATGGCTGTGAATATCCCAGAGCAGAACCACGAGCATTTGTACTCAAAGAAGTCCGCGGACATTGAGAGCCCAGATATGACAGTGAGCATGTTTTTGAGCCATGGGTGCTTCCAAGATAATCTACGCTGCCAACATTTGCTTGAACTGCTGGTGAGGATGCTCCAGCAGAACTGCAAATAACCCATATTAGCAAAACCACATACTTGCATGGGAAGATAACATTAAAACTGGAAGCATATGGGGTAGCGAAGATGAATATCAGACGGATGGAAGCTTCCCCGGGTTATCGGAATAGAGAAAAATAATGATAAATGCTGAGTGACTATGTCAAGCGTAGCCAAAAAGTTGTTCCCTGTAAACCAGCTAGAAAAATTTAATCAAGAATCATATGCAATGTGAAGTTTAAAATATACCAAGAAACAGTTTAAATAAAGTATACTGAACAGGCGACACCCAATCATCAAGATGCATTACCCTCTGCATGAAATAACTGCAGTCTTTCAGTAAAAACACAGGCAACAGAGCAATTTTCATATTGACATTAAGTTAAACCTTGCTTCCAAATTCTGCGAAGTCCACCTTCAACAGGAGTAACGTAAATAGAAAGTAACACGGGAATACAAAAAAGATATAAATATATTGTTCAACCAACACAATAAATTTGATGATAACGAGGGGATAGGCCAGAGCCTCTATGCCATGGTGGCAAGACAAGTGTCACCTACACAAAGACTAACATTCAAGTTATTTAAAAGATGATTTTCATGCATAAATTGGCTATGAAAAAATTCAAACAGAATAAATCAAGCGCATGAGTTTGATTACAAAAAAAAAACATTCTGATAATCAGGAAAGCTAATGGCGTTTGGAGAATGTATAATTCATTTCACTCTAAGACAAAAAGAAAGCAAATGCGTTGAAAAAATTCCATAAAAACGAAGAGTTGGAGACATGTATATGGGCGCCAAGTACTGTCCAGAGCAGCTCCTACTGCCGGTGAGTGGTGTGCAAGCTTTCGAAGTTGTTATGCAGTGCACCAATGTAAGTAACAAGTATTCTTCACCAACGCCCCTAAAAGGGTGTCTAAAGGAGATGGGCACTTCGGTACACACCCAGATAATAAATTTTCTAAAAGTGTGCATCATGAGTCATCAAACATGCATCAATTACACAGAAATCCGATAGAACTTCGACTCTCCACTGCAACCAGAAACCAACATAAAACGATAACCGCAAGCAACTAACTCCCAAAGCCCAGAAACTTTGATGCCCTACGGAGATCTTTCGATCCAGCTGAAGAGCTGGTGTCCTACGATGGGGAACTGAAAGAAAACTTATCATATCCCTGTCCCACACCCTCCCCATTAAAGCCCTCAAAAAAAGGCAAAAGCATACTCCGAACGATAAAAGAACGACTAATACAACTAGAATCTCCAAAATCCCAAACCCCAGGGAACCACCCGAGACGAAAAAATGGAAGCCACAATCCCACCTAGGCCAATTCCAAACAGCTCCGCCTCGAAAAATAGGAATTTACTATCGCAACTTCAGAGCAAGAAACGACGAGTGCAAGGACGAATTAGGTTAATTTCACCTGGCTGCCGTAGTCGGGGCTGGGGAGGCCGATCGCGCGATCGGAAATGGATCCACCGTGCCCCCCGAACTTATTACCTCCTCCCTCATCCCTCCGTCCCTCCAGCTCTCTCCCTCACTCCTCTCTCTCTATCTCTCTCTCTCTCTCTCTCTCCAGCCCTCCACTCTCTTCTTCGTCCCAATAAGAAAGGGGAGAGGGGGGTGCGAGAGCCCAGCGAAGTCGAGTGAAGGAGACGGCGGACGGCCAAAGGCCAGTCACCGAGGGCCAATTGTAAACGGTTTCTCGCTTCTATCGTGCGCCACGCCGCAACGGGCCGGGCCTGACCGGACCGGAAAGAAGTCAGAATAAGATGTAGAAACCTCATCAAATTCCAATATTACCGCCCACATCAGCAGTGTTCCCAGTAGGCCTACTGGCCAATCCATCCACAATTTTAACGCCTCTTGAGAACTTTTCTACTGGGTTACTACGGCCCAACCGTGGCATTCGATGAATTGGAGTTAATCGGACCTCAGATTATTTCATGATTTCCTCACCTAACTCGACATTCCTTCTTATCTGGGAGGGCTTCTCAAGTACCATTTCTAGGGGTGCCCCCCTTCTGCTTTATGCCCGAATTTGGTCCCCATTAGCTACCATAACTCAACCCTATTGGACTGATTACCAGCTCGATAAGCTATGATGCAGACATCCCCCTTTCCCAAAGGCCCTGCGAGCTTTTTGTGACACTCGCTTGAAGGCATGAGATTTTAGGAGCATAACATCACTGCGTGGACGAGACCGTGCAAGGAATGGAGGAGGCTCGCACACGATTCAAGCAGACAGCTTTGTTGGGTCAGAGCAGTGATCAAACACCCTTATTTACCTCTTAATGCCCACCACTCTCGAGCGAAGAAAGGCCACAAATATGATATCGTGAGGCCTACCTATGGTCCGATTCTAGATATCCCTATTGTGTTTAGGTCTTCCGAATCATCATACGAATGAGAAGGCATCATCAAGTTCAGATTTAGATGAGGAACCCCTCTTCCCCCCCACCCCCACTGGAGGTCCTTAACTGAGCTTCTTCAACAAGAGGGGGGGGGGATGAGGGCGAGGGAGAAAAGCTAATTGAGAGTCATGGACGATTTGGGCCATATTGAGATCTGTTTGGGCTCATTTTGAGGCCCTTTTCTTTTTCGGACCCCATTTTGAGGACCAAGTCTAGGGTGCTACCGAAGGTTGGGCCTGACTGGGGCGGGGATTTTGAGGCTGTAATGTGCCTGAGTGCGGTGGAATATTGGGATCCTCAACCGTCCGTTTGAAGATATTTAGCCGCGGATCGGACGGCGAGCAGGGCGGGAGCTGTGTTTTCCCCCGGCTCGGAGCTAGCGGGCTCCCCCGCTAAACCCTACCTTTCTAGGGTTTTGCAGTGGTGGCGTCTCTCAACGCCGCCCGCTCCTAGCTTGCGAGTGCCCTTCCTTCCTCCTTTAAAGCCAACATTCGGAGGTTGAAACAACAGCGGAAGCGGCGCCTCTCCTCTCTCTACACCCGTCTTCTACACCTGGTGAGAACCATGGGGATCTCAGTCCTTCAGTAGGGTTTTTCTCTTGGCTTCCGCCATTCGACTGGGTAGTCGCAGTCGGTTTCTCTCTCTTACTCTCGGTGTCCTCCCTTTAGCTCCGATAGTTGATGCCCTCTCTAGTCTACTGCATTTTTCTTCGATGCCGTGTGTTCGATTAGAGCTAGATATCGATGGAGAGCAGGGGACCCTCTTTGTTAGCGTTTTTTTGCCTTTTGAATCATCATGGCCTCTTTGATGACGTTCTTTACGTCTCGGTGTTCAACTATCAGATGCTATTGTAATTCGAGTTTAAGCTTATGGACGTTCGCTTCTCTTTTTTCTGTTCACATGAAGAAAAATTTCCCACTATAGACTATTGCTGCTTTATTTCAGATTAGTCAACCCACTAAAGCTTGTATGCTCTTTTTTTTATGGTTATTACTACAGTGATATTTTCCCAGTTATCTGAAGATGGGCAAGTCAAAGAAGAAGTCCGGTGTTCAGGTATCGACTGAGGTTTCGGGGTTTTCATGTTTGATGAAGAAAGTATTTTCTTTGGTTGAAATTGATGAAAGGCATTAACGCTGTAGGTTGTTGCGGCTCCTGCTGCCATGCCTCCTCCTAAGTTTGCCAAAAAAGGTTGGTTGGTGATAATAGGATCCATTTGACCAGTTAGCTTACTGTCTCTTAAACAAAGATGTTTGCCAGGTAAGAGAGGCGCCGAGGAGCCTACCGAGATTCCAGTGAACTTGAAGAAGCAGAAGAAGACGGGTGTACTTAAGAAGGAGGAGAAAAAGACGAAGAAGATCGTACATAATCCGCTACCGAAGGAAGACAATGGTACCTCTGAGGAGACCATATCATCAGAATCTTCTGATGGAGTAAGTGTCAGAGGGCTCACTACTCGGTTATGGAGGTTTTGTTTATTAAAAAAAATACCCATGCTTGTTTTATTTCAGTTTTTTGAAAATATTTGCCAGCTTTGAATTCGTTTTATGTTGATTCAGGAGCTTGGTTCTAAACTTTCTGCAAAGTCGTCTGCTGTTGCTCCTAAGAATGGTTCAGTGAAGAAGATGAAGGTATTTCATACGAAAGTTCAGTAATATGATCAAGATGTGGTATGATCTGATGTCAAATCGTTGTGGGTATTCTTTTCCACGATAATTCCATAGAACTTCACTTTGCTTTTCGGAGTGTCTTATAAAACTAGTTTTTAAAGTTTTTGACGATAACGCTGCAACCTTTAAATCGTCTCCTTCTGTGTTCCCATTAATCAGCGACAGCATCTCTGACTATCATTTCCCGCGTCTTTTTCATGATGTTTCTTTCGCTGCACGCCTCTGAAATAGAGTTGAAAATGCTTTAATGTAGCAGCATTGATTACCACAGAAAAATCTAAGAAAATTTTAAAATATCAAGATTTTTCCGAGGCTATTTGTGCTCTTCGATTTATAGATTTCGCTTTCTAGCTTTGGTAGTTGGGTATTTCATTTCTCACTTTGATTCTGATGACGAGGTCATTATGCATCTTCGTTATTTATCAAACTACACTGAATGTTGTGAGCTCGTCACTCTGATATGTAGTTTCATATTATTAGAATCCTTGATGCAGAAAGTGGCGCCAACAGCTAAAAAAAGAGCTGCACCTAAATGGGAGGAGGATGAGGAGTTGAGTGACGCCTCCGATCGTGACTCAGACGCAGACGAGGAGAAAGTATGCTTCTTAACCCGCAAATACTACTATTTCACCATTGTTCATTAGCCCTAGAATAGAAAAGAAAATGAATCAAAGCATTTATTGGAATTCGAGTGCTTTGCCATTATATGAGTCATTAGAATGTTATTATTTACGTTGAAGTTTATATCCTATTGAATGGGGTTCAACAATCATTCGGGTGCTTATCTTTGATTCGTGTCTGCTTAATTTTTTGCATCTCTGCAATGTCTGACATCAAGAAGGCCGACGCCAAAGTTTCTAAGATGGATGAAGGTCTTAGTGATGATGGTGTCGATGATGGCAGTGCTGAGGAAGGGTCCGATGGTGAGCCCTCCGAAGTGCAAGAGTCGAAGCAGGTAAAACCTCAAATAAGATTTCATTGAGGTGCGTCTGCTCTGCACGGAGAGATCATGCACATCTTTGTGTTTGTGTGGTCTCTTCTATTTCTTGGTCTTGTCTTATTCGTTTGTTGCATCTATAATCGAATTCCAGTCGGCAGATGATTCTGAAGAGGATTCCCCTGATGAGGACTCATCAGATGAAGAAAGCGAAGATGAGAAACCTACCAAGTCCCTGAAGAAGGTGAATTACGTCCTGAGAACAAACGATTTTTTTTTCACTTTGTTGTTTATACAAGTTTTCCGCAGATTTTGACAATTGTAGTCAGAATCGGCGTGCTTGTTCTTGCCCACGCTGCAGTCGCTTTCCATAGATGTATCCTAATGGCCTACTGATTTGAAGTCAAAGATACGCCGGTGTATCATGGCAAGATATTGAGGAATACTCTGTCTTGAGCTGCTATGAAAATGATTCTTTAAATTCGATGTTTACCAGATCCATGGTGAATTTGATGGAGCAGTAAATTAAGGGCTCATTTCTGCGCCAGCCAATCAATTAATCGGGTTAAAAATCGTTTATCTTAAAAATCCTATCATAATGTCCTGCAACGATTGGTATTTGTGTGTGAACCTCTGAAACACACGCATCAGTCTTTTTAATCTCATTGCTCAGCTGACTTGAGTAACTCTCGTGAAATCAGAAATAAATCTTCGAAGTTTTTTTTCGTCTTGACATCCTACCTTCCTGATGATATGAATTGAGGCTTGAATGGTTTTCTTGTAGGCTAAAACCCCGGTGTCACAGTCGGGTGAGAAAACAAAGACCTTGTTTCTCGGGAACTTATCCTTTGATGCTGGTGAAGATGACGTGTATGTAGAAACCAACAGCTTCAATGCCTGCACGTTATAATCTCCTAATATCTTTGATTCACTGTGGTTTATTATTTCAGGACGGATTTCTTCAAAGATGTTGGTGAGATCGTCAGCATTCGACTGGCGAAATCTGAGAACGGAAAATCTAGAGGGTTTGGTCATGTTGAATTCGCCACAGAGGGAGAAGCCCGAAAGGTACGAACATCAAATCTGCGTTCAGCTCTATATAGTTCATGAACTCTTCTACTTTGAGCTGTTGTGAATGCGATAATCCGTCTATAATCGATCTTCTGATGTCTTCTATTCATGGGTGTTGTCTTATCAATTTTTTTTCGTGTAATCATATGGGAGGCTCTTGCACTTAACGGGGAGGAGATGCTTGGGCGCCAAGTGAAGCTCGATTTAGCCCGCGAGAAGGGTGCATCCACTCCACAGAGCGGGTACTGTCCTATGATCGACCTGCCTTTCCTTTTTCATTTCTAGTAGGATCGATTTTCTAGGATTTGTTTTCGTAGGAAAACTATGATTTTACAATGATAGCAGTAATAGTTATAATTTTGCATGCCCAGTTTTTCCTTTTTTGTATTAGTGAATGGTTTCTCTTATGATCATGTGTAGAAGAACTATTGTCGGGATAACTGTATGTTTATGATAAGCCTATGGTCCAATTCCCTAAGGAAGTCTCTGGTTTTTAACAATGAAAGTGCTTATCCAACACTTTTTTTATCCTAATAATACTTTTTACTGTTTTGGAATGGATCGGCAGTTTTTCAGTTTTTTGATAAAAATATAAGATTTCTCTTACAGTCATGAGTAGAATTGTCCGGTTTAAGGCATGCTGATGATAAACCGATGGCCTTTTTTCTTAGGAAGTTGATGGCTTTACAAGTACGTAACATTCTTTGCCGGCTCTCATTTTCTTGATAACGTTATTACTAGCAATCTGGAGTGGAGAAAACTGCACATTTTTTAAATAAACGGTTTCTCTCATATTCATTGCTAAGAAGATCTTCAGACCAAATTGGAACTAGATTCTATTTTCATAACAATTATATTGTTTATGATATTATTCGACTCTATTTTTCCTGATAAGGTGTTGATTCTGGGTAAATAAAATTATCGGTTTAAATCTGCAAAACATTCTTTTTTCGATAATCGGCAGTTAGATCGAATGTAAATCCAGTTGACAGTTTTCTCCTAACCTTTAGGAAGAACAACTCTGACCAAAAGGTTGGAAGGGGAGGCGAGAGCCAGACAGTCTTTGTCAAGGGGTTTGACCGGTCCCTTGACGAAGATCAAGTAATTATTCCCTCCCGCGGTAAGATTAAATCGATCGTCGGCCAAGAACCCTAGTTCTCAAACCATATCTACTTTCTTGCAGATCCGGACTTCCCTAGAGGAGCATTTTGGTTCCTGCGGTGAGATTACTCGGATTTCTGTCCCGAAGGAGTATGAGACCGGGGCCCCGAGAGGGTGGGTTAATTGCGTTTAGTTGATTTCTGGATACAATTCCTTCGAGAATTGAGTCTTTGCGTTGACTTCGATGGGCGAATTCGTGGTCGCAGGATTGCTTACATTGACTTCAAGGACAAGGACGGCTTTGACCTGGCCCTGGATCTCAACGGTTCTTCTCTTGGGGACCACCCCCTGACCGTGGATGGAGCAAAGCCTAGGGTGGACGGCGGTGCTGATAGGGGTCGTGGGGGCCGCGGCGGTAGAGGCCGGGGTGGCGGCGGCAGGTTTGGCGGCAGGGGTCGCGGTGGCGGCGGCAGGGGTCGTGGAGGCGGCGGCAGGGGTCGCGGGAGGCGTTGACTTTGACGCTCTTTATGTGGTGGCTAAATGTTAGGCGATATTTCCAATTCTGAGTATTTGTTGTTGTATCTTTCCGAACAGTGCAAGTCGCCATAAATGTATTCTGTTCCCGGCTTGAATTATTTTATACCCAGCAATGTCTCTATGCTCGTAGTTATTTAGATTCGCATGAGGGAAAGGGGGAGAATTTACGTAGTAAGTTATTTTTTGTACCACCGATTATATATATGTAGAAGTAGAAACAAAACTAGAAATGATAAAAATGTTCCCAAAACTTGAAGCCGATTTTTTTTATACCTTTTTAAGATTTAGTTTCTGCTTGCGGCTTTATTTGACTCCCCACCGGGGGGTGGAGAGAGAGAGAGAGAGAGAGAGAGAGAGAGAGACAAGAAGGCACGCTGGCGGTGGGGTAGATCGTGGGTCGTCCGTTCGTCTTGATTATCGCCGATAGATCGGACGGCACAACTCGGTGGCCCGAGGTGTCAGGAAATTCTCGCCCTCTTCTTAAACCCTAGGCCACGGTTAGGGTTTTTAGCACCAGCAGAATCGGCGCCTCTTAGCGCCCCTGCAGATACCACCTTCCCTCCGTCCCTGCTTAAACCCTAACTTTCTACTGTTCTTGCGGCTGCAGAGCGGGCGCCTCCTCTCCCGTCCAATCTCTTCTGCCGACTTCTTTTCCTGGTAAATCCATCTGTTGATGTATCAGCTTCTGGGGTTTGTCCTCCGTTCTTCATGTTTCGTAGGGATATGGAAGTCGGTCTTTCTCTCTCTCTAGCTCCATCTCCATTCATCAATCTGTTTTTTTTATCGTCTTCTCGGATTCTCGTGATGATATGTATCTGATGCACTGCGGTAGCTCCTCGTTTCGTCTCAAAGTACGTTTATTCCTGGTTTTCCGTGGGTTTTGGTTCATGTGTACCTGACTTGTGTTAAAGCAGACCCAGGACTTGATTTGAGCGTAGGGCTTGCATGATTAATATAGTCTCTTTCTTCCTCCCTCCTTTTTCGCGTTTAGGTGCCTTTTTTCATTTCAGGTATTCTATTCCCACAGAATAATGCTTATCTGTTGTTGTCTAAATGACTTGGAGCAACAATCATACCATGTCCTATGTTTATCTTTCCTGTGTAGAGCTTATTTTTTGAAATGTTAGCAAACTTATGAAATTTAAGTATTTTTGTTTCTCCTTCAGTTCCTTGCGTAGTCCCATTTATACCAAGATGGGCAAGTCGAGCAAGAAGTCCAGCATGGAGGTATTCATTACCGCTTCTGTCATTCTTTCTTTATTACGTTATAATCCCTACCTCTTCCTTTGTACGAGTTAATATTATTGTTTCGCCGCAGATCGCTGCTGCTCCGGTTACACTCTCTCCTGCTAAGTCTGCCAAGAAAGGTTAATAGATATCTCTTACTTCGTTGTTCAGTTTGTGCTGAAAATGTCATGTGTTGATCTTGTTTTGGTTTGTTGCACATGCTCATGAAACCGTGTTTATCTCGTGTAGGGAAGAGGGATGCTGAGGAGTCCATAGAGAACCCCGTTAGTTTAAAGAAGCAGAAGAAGGAAGTTGTCAAGGAAGTGCCTAAACAAGAGGATAAGAAGACAAAGAGGACAAAGAAGACACTTCCTGTTGTTCCTCCGAAGGTGGAAAGCACTAGCTCAGAGGAGACCACATCTTCAGAGTCTTCGGATGAGGTGAGTTTGAAGGACTGGTGGCCTGTTGTCTGTATAGAATTTCTGCCCATATATGCCTGTGAAAATACATGCCACCTCCTTATTTATTGCATGATGTTTCAGGAGCCTGTTTCTAAAGTTGTTAGCAAGCTGCCTGCTTCAGCTTCTAAAAACGGCTCAGTAAAGAGAAAGAAGGAAAGTAGTTCATCTGAAAGTGAGAGTGATAGTGATTCTGAGGAAGAGAAGGTGAGTTATGTAGTCAGATCTTGTTGGTTTCTTTTTGTTCAAAATTCCCGCTTCTGTTCCTTTTGATTCATGCTAACTGTGTATTTTGTTCAAGATATTTGACGTACTGGGAATCATATGATATCTATTAATTCATAGAGTTCGCAGTTTGTGAATAAGTTCTCTATCAGTTTATCCCTCTGCCTTTTTATCTGCTTTTATGTTTTTTTTGGGTGTTTGAGGATCCGTTTTATGCCAACTGTCTGTTTGTTTTTATGAGGGTATATCCTTTATGGTTGTCTGAGAACGTGTTTATTCTCACTTTCCCTTAAGTCTAAGATCTTCTCTTTACATTAGACCATTTACTCGCAGGCAAAGACTACCAAGACAACTCTACCAGTCAAAAAGCTTCCGACCGCAGCAGTGAAGAATGGGACCGCAGTGGTTGCTAAGAAAGCTGAATCAAGCGATAACAGCTCAGAAGATAGCAGCTCAGAAGATGACACTGTAAGTTTAAATATTCTTTTAATCTTCCCATCTTAGTAATTATCAGCTTACAGCTGAGCATGATATACGTGTGTGGATGTAGTAGTACCTTTTAACACTTAATTGATTAAGTTGTAAATACGAAAATTTTCAGGGGAAAGTTGTTGCAGTTCCTGTGCAGTCTAAGCAACCATCGAAAGCTCCCGTGTCCATCTCAAAGAAGAAGGAAGATTCTAGTGACAGTTCTGAAAGTGATTCTGAAGATGAGGTCATGCCTCATCTGCTTCTTATCCATTTACTTGAAGAAAATTCATGTGAACGTTATTATGCTGATATTTAGTAGGGTGTTGCTTCATTTATTTAATACAGAAGCCTACTTCCGTCCCAAAGGCTGCTCCAGCAGCCTTGAAAGCTGCTGCATCTAAGGAAGAGTCTAGTGATTCCTCAGATAGTGATTCTGGCACAGACGAGGATAGTGTTAGTTTCTTCTCCCCGGCTAGTATGTCAGCACGTTATGTCTCCACGTTGTCTTCTTATTTTTTAAGGTCCCGTATGATTACACTTGTTTTCAGGTTCCTGCTGCCAAACCGGCTGCAAAGCCTGCACTCGCAAAAGGAAAAGATACCAAGCAGGTATTCAATTATGTTATCTCGTGTTTTCTTTGCAGTTACTCCAGGGGATAAGTTCATTAATGAGAAATTTCTCTTTATCTTCTCCCGCTGCTTTGACAGTAGCTATTTTTAGTGGTGCAAAATTTATCTACGATAGGTATTCCTGGTGATATAAGGTTTCTAGGTCGTAGAAAAATCACCCTTATTTGAAAAATTGTTTTCAGATTTAACGAGGATTTTCTTTCATTGCCAATCAAGTTATTTGTTGAAATTATTGTTTGCATTATTTAGTATCCGTAATCTAATCTTATTTTGTTACTCTTTAATGTTTATTATCTAAAGGCTGCCGCCAAGGTTGCTAAGAAAGACTCAAGTAGTGATGAAGAGGATGATGATAGTTCTGATGAAAGCTCAGATGAAGAACCTTCTAAAGTGCAACAGATCAAACAGGTTTGAAGCCCAACTAAAAGTCTTGTGAGACGCACATTATATATATGCATATATATGATAATGTTGATGATTATGGTTTTGTATGCCTTCGCTGTACTTTACATTTATATTGGCTTTGATAATCTCTCGCTTTGGTCTTATTAGCCTGCCAAGGCAGCTACTAAAAATAGCAGTTCGGAAGAAGATTCCTCAGAAGACTTATCATCAGATGAAGAAAGTGAGGATGAAAAGCCTCCTGCCAAAACCCCAAAGAAGGTGGCTGATATTATTCCCCTATTTAAAATTTTATTAGAAATATCATCATATTTAATTTAGCGCCTCCAATAGCTGAGCTGAATTCTTTTAATTGTATCAGGACACTGACGTGGAAATGAAAGATACACAAGCGGCCAAATCCGAAAAGAAAGAGGTATATTTCTATTTTCTATTATCGCTTTATATATTTGTATTGTGATTGGGTATGAAGCTCAGCTACTAATTGATTTTTGTAGGTCAAAACCCCTGCACCAAAAGCAAGCACAGGGGGAACCAAGACTTTATTTGTTGGAAATTTATCATTTGATGCCGGGCAGGATGATGTGTATGTGTACACCAATTGACGACGCTTTCTATTTATCAACCACTGTCCTCTCCCCCTCCCCCATTTGTTATTTATTTGTTCTTTTCTGTATCAGAAAGGGGTTTTTCCAAGACGTGGCAGAGGTTGTTGACGTCCGACTGGCATGCTCCGAGGACGGGAGCTTCAGGGGATTTGGCCATGTGGAGTTTGCCACTGATGTGGACGCCGAGAAGGTAAGGACACCTAATGAATATTGATTGTTTAATAATTATTTTTTTTGCAGGCATAAGCTTTGGTATATCTCTGATTTGTTCACTGATTTTTTTGACGAATAGGCGCTTGAGCTTAACGGGCAGGAGCTGTTTGGCCGCCAGGTGAGGCTCGATTTGGCCCGTGAGAGAGGTGCTTTCACTCCGCAGAGCGGGTATTGTTCTTTGTCTTGAATTTTTTTCTTCGAGATGTCTTTTTAATGAAGGTTTAAAATAAATACGATTGACATGAAGAAGCTTACCAGTTTATTGGGCCATGTTATGTCTGCAGGAGGGATAACAATAGCTACCAGAAGGGTGGTAGAGGTAGCGAGAGCCAGACTGTGTTCATCAAGGGTTTCGACCGGTCCCTGGACGAGGATCAGGTGAATCGTTTGTGTTTTCAAAATTTCGTTACTTATTGAATATCTTCCTCAACCCTTGGTCTCTTCTTGTACTCTCTTCTTTGTCTGACTAATCGTGTTGAATATCGCCCTGAACCTGATCCTCGTCCCCTCTCTCTCTCTTCCCCTATTTAAATTTTGTTAATATCTCCCATTTCTGATCATCATCGAAGTTTCTCATTTTTCTCGCTAAATCTACTGCAGGTCCGAAGCTCCTTGGAGCAGCATTTTGGTTCTTGTGGTGAGATCACCCGAATCTCCGTTCCCAAGGACTACGAGACCGGTGGCCCTAAGGGGTATGAAAATTCGCAAAGGAATGAATGTTCTTCGCCCAGTTGTTGGTGGCTCTCATGGGTGGTTGGCGGTGGTGTGTGCCTCTTGCAGGATTGCCTACATTGACTTCAAGGACAAGGACGCCTTCAATGGTGCCTTGGAGCTCAATGGCTCGGCCCTCGGTGACTACTACCTGACGGTGGACGAAGCCAAGCCAAGGGGTGACAGCGGCAGCTTTGGAAGTGGCGGCTTCAGTGGCGGCGGCAGGAGCGGTAGCAGGAGTGGCCGGGATGGGGGCAGCTTTGGAAGTGGCGGTCGCAGCGGTGGCCGAGATGGGGGCAGGTTTGGCGGCAGGGGCCGCGGTGGGTTTGGTGGTGGTCGAGGCGGCGGTGGTGGCAGGGGCCGTGGCGGCGGTCGGACTCCTGGCAGGCCGAGCATGGCCACCCCCGGCACTGGTAAGAAAAGGCCCCCTCCCAGAGGGCGGTCATACCGTTCTTCGTTTCTTTGCCGCCTTGTCAATCATTTACCGAAATTTCATCTGTGCGTAAATCTCCCTCCTCGCAGGGAAGAAGACCACCTTCGGCGACGACTAGGAGGCCTTGCCGGTGGGCTCTGTTCAGTGACCGATGTGTGAACCGTTTGATTGCCGGTGGATTGCCCCAGTTAATCTTTATGTTAGAAAACGTCAAACTCCTGATTTCTATTTTTTTTGTCGTGTGACACTTGATTGCCGACTTTCATGGGTTTCATCCTCGACCTTTATTTAGCCCGACTGGAATTCATCGATTTTTATAGAGGTTCTCGCAATTAAAGCAATATAGATACCTATAAAGCAATATAGACTCGTATCATATCAAATGCATTAATTAGAGAACTAAGAGAGGGGATAGATGAGAAAGGAGACTGAATTAGCATTGCTATCGTACCCTAAATTGGACAATACGAGGAAAACGAATGCGAGACAAGATGTAATTGTTTGTTCCCAAGAAAATGATCCGACGACTTGGGTAGGCACAGAAATGATGATTTTCTGTCTCAATTGCAGAAAATTTACCAATACCAGAAAATGCTTTCACGACTACATTATTTTACCTGTAATTATATTTTTGGGGTACAAACCTGTACGGCTATCTTTTCAAACAACAGAGCTAACAAAAATCTTTGACGCACACATATTAGATGCCACTACCGTCAGAAATCGGAATATGATTTTCTCGTCGGAATGTTTTAAAAACCTGCACAACTATGTTTCAGGAACATCTAAATTTGAAATCCTGAATGTATGGTTAACTATGTTACGCCACCCATACTAGATGTGTATGCTTTAGTTGCTACATCACTCTCTAGCCTGTGATGCAATAATAACGCGGAAGATAAATAATATTTGGGGTTGAATCCACAAAGTTCTAATATTAGGGAAAAAATCAACCTTTGAATCCATAGATTTAGAGTCTTCAACTCTTGAATCCACAAGGGGGCGTTTGAATTCACAAGTAAGAAGGAAAGATTATCACAATAGAAAAAATTAATTCAACTAAAAGGTGAGAACCTCAGGTTAAAATGAGAGACTTTATACAGGCCTAGAAAGGAGGTGGGGCGCTTTCAAAAAGATCCTAATAGATTCTAGGGACATAATCTAACTAGCTCTGAAATGACTTAAAATAGACTTTTGAAAATACTTTGACTAACTTTGAAATGACCTGAAACAAACTCTAACAAGTAAATATATTGAACAACTTAGGTACAAACTCTGACATTTAGAGATATTGAGCAGATCTTAAGTACACACTCTAATAGTCAGAGATTCTGAATAGATCTTTGGTATAAACTAAATCATATTAAAGTCACTTTTAGAAAGAAATAGACATAAAGTGCCTTATAAAAGTGAAAGGACATAAAGTAGGAAACAAAGATTACTTTTCAGACCTTCAGTCCACTAGTGACATATGTGAGCTCCCTTTTTAGCACTTTTTACTTTATGACCCAAATTTAGGATAAGTGGGCCTAAATTTGAAATTGAGACTTCAACTTTTGTCTTGAATTACATTAGTTTCTCCTTCTTAAAGAAAACTCACCCTTGAGTCTTCATTTAAATTGTCGTAATACTCATATATGTCACGAACATTGAATGTGGGTGAAAGTCATATTAATTGGGAGCTCAATGAGGTATGCATTATCATTGATTTTCAGTAGAACTTGATATGGTTCATATTGTTTTGACTTTAATTTGTTGTAACTATTTATTGAAAATCGTTCTTTGTGAAGCTACACCATTAGTTTGTCTCTAACTTTAAATATCTTATTTCTTCTTTTCTTCTCTACTGCTTCTTTATATTTCTTATAATTTGTTGTGAAATTGTGTATCACACCTTCATGAAATATTTTGATATGATCTACCATATTGTTTGTAGTAATACTATTTCTAACTAGTCTTGGTACTTGTAATATACTAATAAAAATAGAGATTAGTTAGTTGAACGATTAATCATCAAATTATAACTAAACTTTACTTGAGCCAAATCATAATCTAATTATTTTGACTTTCTCTTGAAGTACAACGAATCAAATTATTAAGAGTTGTGTTCACAACTTCAATTTGGCCGTCAATTTGTGGGTTGGTGATTAGTAATATTGAATTTCAAAAATATGTCAAACCTTTACCAAAGAGTTAGCTAGAAGTAGGATATAAACTTAAAATCTTTGTTAGAGGTAATTGACTTAGAAATTCTATGTAGACGAATAATTTCTGTAAAGAAGTGATTTACTACTTGACTTGCATCATTTATCTTTTTACATGCAATCAAATGTGTCATTTTTGAAAATTTATCAAGGAACACAAAAACTAAGTCAGCTCCTCTCTATGTTTGCAGGTAGACCTAATATAAAGTTTATAGAAATATTAACTTATAAACGTTGTGGAATCGGTAATGAAGCATATAATCTAGTTTTTTTATTTTGTCCCTAGTAAGTTTGACAAACCTAACATTTACTAAGGTCTTATCTTTGTTTAGTTTGAGTCAAGAATATCACTCTTCAATTGATTGTAAGGTCTTATCTTGACTAAGGTGTCATGCTAAACCTTAAGAATGTAATTTTTGTCATAGTTTCTCCCTTAAAGAGCTACAAGGAATTCACAATTGTGTTCCTTGAAATAATAAACCATCTTGTATATGAAAACCTTTAGTTGATATTCCTAACATAAGATCATATATTGTTGAGAAAAATCATAATTGTTTGGGTATAATTCATTGAGATATGTCAAATCTTGTGACTTCAGCACATAGGTTCACCAAACATGCTATTTTTTTACTAAGACTATTAGCAACTTGATTCAGTTTCCTTGACTTGTGTTTAATAATGAAAGTAAAACATTGAATGAAAGAGATTCATCTGACATGTATTATATTGATAGAAGTCTAACTATTGACTGATTTAAGAGCCTGATGATCAATATACAAAATAAACTCTTATTAAATCAAGTAGTGTTCTCATATTTATAAAGCACAGATCATGACATAAAATTTTAGTTTATATGTTGTTTATTTTTTTCTTGCCTCAGAAAGTTTTTCACTAAAAAATACTATTGGTCGACCTTCTTACGATAATATACCTTTAATGCCAACTATAGATGTATCACATTATACTTCAAACAGTTTATCAAAATTTGGTAGGACTAAAATAGAAACATAACATAATTTCTCTTTTATCATGGTAAAACTTTTATTAGTTTCATCAGTTTGTTTAAAATTATCTTTTTTCATAGATTCAATAACTGGAAACATTATTGAGTTAAAATTTTGAATGAATCTTCTATAAAATGATGTAAACTCATGAAAGCTTTGAACCTAATGAATTGTGGTTGGTGTTGACCAATCTTTAATAACTTTGACCTTTTCAACTTACAACATATTTCATGAATAATAAATTAGTAATCGTGAAGTCACATTTCTTCTAGTTAATATATAATTCATTATATTGTAACATTTAAAACACTAATTTGAAATGTTTAATATGTTCTTTTTCTGTAGTATTGTAAATATTAATGTCATCAAAATAAAAAATAGAAAAATACCAATAAAAGGTTTTAGAAGTTAATTCATCACTCTCATAAAGGTACTAGGGGTGTTGGATAAGCCAAAATCTATGACCAACTATTCGAAAGACCTGCCTTATTTTTAAATGCAGTTTTTCATTCATCTCTTGATCGAATTCCAATACGATGATATCTATTCTTTAAATCAACTTTTGAGAAAATTTTAGAACCACAAAGCATATCCAACATGTCATCTAGGTGCCAAATTGAGAATTTATACTTAATTGTTATCTTGTTGATAACTCTACTGTTGACACACATCTACTGTTGATACACATTTAGAACAAGTAGAGTAGGCATAAAGTATGGGTTGATACTTTCTCTTATTAATCCTTTACTTAATAATTCTTTGACTATTCTTGAAGAATTTGATTTTCTTCCCAACTCATCTTATAATCTAGAAGGTTAGACAAGCTTACTCATGATATAAGATCAATATAATATTGTACATCTCACATTGGTGGAAGATGAGTAGATAATTCTTGAATTACAGTAAATTTAGATAAGAGACTTTCAACAATGTTTGGTATCACATCAGCTATTTTGGTATTTGAATAAGGTTTTTGAACAATAACAAATGATATCAAACTCTTTAAGAAATTATCTTTGGTTGATGAGCATTACTTTTCTTTCCTTGTTTTCTTCTTTGTTAAAATCACTATTTTGCATTAGAGTCAGAAGAATTTTTTTATCATTTCTATAGAAAATATAATATTTTCCTTGCCACAGTGTGTAGCATCAACATCAGACTACCACAATCTGCCTAATATCATGTGACAATCATTCATCTCAACAATGTCACATTGCACTTCATCAGAATAAGTCTTATCCATTGAAACTTTGATCAAACATGTCTTTGAAACTTTATTTTTTATTTTTCTCTTAATCCAACCAATTCGGTATGGATGAGGGTGCGAGCTTGTCTACAAATCTAATTTTTTAACCATAATAGAAGAGAATATTCTCACTACTGCCACTATTAATAATTATATTACATACCTTAGAATTCACAGTGCACTTTGTTCTGAAGATATTATGGCACTTTAGGTCTTCTTCTCTTTTTGGTAAATACATTAATCTTCTAATTATAAGTGAATGTGATAATATATCTCTAGTATCAAATTTAATAATTTTTTTTTTACCTCACCTTGGGTAGAAGAATTTGTTAGCATAAAGAGTGTAAGGATTTGCTCCACTTGATTTGACAGAACTTTGATTTAGTCGCCATTATGTGGTGTAGAAGAAACAATAGTGAATCTTCCTCTATCTAGTTGAAGAGTTGAATTTTGGCTTCCAAAATTTTAAATCTGGTTTTTCTTTTTTCTAATAAGACTTCAATATGCTCTACAACCATTATGATATCATTAAGCTTGAAAAATAACTGTAAATTTTTCATCTAAAATTACCTTTAAATCTTGAAATCATATATGACTAAAATTTTGTCAAGTTAATTTGAGAAGATAAATGATAAAATTATTCAGCATAATCAGAAACTAATAT